TTATATCAAGCTGAAACAATTTAGGGGAATTTAGATGAATTTAGCCAACAGACATGGCAGTTGAACCATGTTTAGCCATCAAAAAGGATGTTTTCACCACCAGGAGCTGCAACAGCAGACCTTGGTGGCCTTCCACGCGCTGCCCTTCACTGTGAAGCTGCGCATCCTCATGGCGGAGAAGGCGCGTTGATCTGGAAGGAAAACCGTAGGAAATCCCTAGGAAAACCATAGGAAAACCATAGGAAACCATCGTTGGATGGTGATTTCACCCGCAGAAAATGGGGGGTGTAAATGATATGAATGTAGCTGATTGATGATAAGTTGGTTGAGAACTAGGTGAATTCTATGGTTGATGGTAGATTTATTGAACCTAGTCAATTGGGGTTATAATGGGTTATATAAAAACTTATAACTGGGGGAAACCACATTGTGAAGCAGAGATAGATGGTAGTTTTCCCTGGTTTTCCAAACAACCGTTTGTTATGAAGAGATTCTTTACTACCACAGGGAAACAACTATTTATTTCTGGCTGTTTGGGGTTCCAGGATTTGGTAAAGTTATTTACAGGTAAAGCCCTTCTGTTATCTTCTGTTTCTTTTTCCAATTTGGGAATGATTACCATTGTCCCAATGAAATGAGAAGCAGACCTCCGTCAAAAAGTACAAACATGGACAGTCATGTAATCCTCATTGCCACTGACAAGAGTTGGATTGTCCACCCATGTCTAGCCATGTTGGGGGATGGTCGTCAATTCAGTAAAACGGTTTTATATATATATAATATGGTCCCACAATGGGTGTGTCTATATATATATAGACACATTATGAGGACTTCCATTATGGGACGGATGACCATAAACCACACACGCTACAATGTTTTGACCCAGCCACATACGAGCTGATATAACTGTTGATCATCAGCCCATCAGATGGTCACCGCCACCACAGAAGATCCTCTCGATCAAACGGCCCGTCAATTACCAAGGCAAACAACCCTTGAAAACTGCAGAAATGTTGATGCTGCCATGCCATCCAGGCTTAAAATACGGCACTAAAGAAAATCCAGGCATGCCATGTTTGGTTGTTTGACTCCTATCCATGTACAGTAAGTGTTTGTTTGTTGATCGAGTTACAAACAGCTTCAGACTGCAACTTTTGTCTCTTGGCATTTTTGTTCCTTAATTGATTACCATCCGGCAATCAAACACGGCAATGGGAAGTCTCTTATTATAAATTGGCACTTTCATGGGAAAATCATTACTAAATGAAGAATTTTCCAGCAAGCCATGCTTGATTGCCGGAGGTGAAGGACCCTGATCCCAAAATGTTTGGCTGGATCTGAGAGCGACCTCACCATAGAAGATGGTTGGTATCAAGGATCATTCCAAAACTCTACCACAATTTTAGGAATAAACACATAATTCTACCCACACAGATTTCGTAAACAGTTGTGTTTTTTTTCTAAAGGACGAATCGTAAAGTTGGAATTTAGATCCTTTCTTTTTTCTACAGAAAATTGCATATATATATACATAGACTCCGGTAATTTAACGTAGCTATGCAAAGTGACCAATTTATGGCTGATTTACCTACGAAAATTGCTATGTTAGTTTACCAGGGTATATTCCTGTTAAACCCCGTGAAATCCCATTTGTTGATGGCTCAAGTGAGAAAACAGGTCATAATTCATGTGGCCACATTTTCCAGCCACCTGTTTTTTTCCCTGAGGGATCATCCCCATTTATAGATGCTGTGCCCATGAAAAATACTGCCAAAGACCATAAAGTTATCCATAAAATACCTCCATATTTTTTTGGGGATTTTTCCCATGATTCCCAAAAAAACCCAAGATGTCGATTCCAACTCAGTCCCCATTCGTTGAAAACCTGTTGGCTCCGGAGGCTGTGGCCGTGACGCTCCTGGGGGGCGCCTTCACTGTTGGTGCCCTGGTGGTGCTGACCATCTCCCTGGAGGAGGGACCAGGGAGAAATGGCTATTTGATCTGATGGGTATAATCCCAACTGACTAATTTTTTTTAAGGGTTGAAACCACCAACCAGTATTATATATACATGTATATACCCTCTGGTAGTTTAACATAGCTATTGAAAATCGTCATTTAGTTCGTTGATTTACCCATTAAAAGATTGCGATTTTCCATAGCTATGTTAGTTTACCAGAGGGTATATATATAGTCTTAATGATTAATGGTTATGATTTGATAATAGCACTTTATAATGTGAACATGGAATTTAACACGGATTTTGAATGAATATCAAATTTATTAGATTTGACTAGACTCTCATACTGGTACATATTAGAAATGTTCTATTATTGGGTTTATAATGTGAACATGTGTATATATATATATATACGGTATATATTCCTATATACGGTGTAACGACATTTAAATATGTGGAGGGCAAGCCAGACCACAAGGCTCCGGAGGTAGTAGGAAACACAAGTTCCATCTGCATATTTAAATGTATGTATGTTTGAATAGATTGGATTCCGTATGTTGAAATGGCCAGGCGGCCTAGGAAAACCTTCCTGGAGGTAGTCTACAATTACAATACCAGTTCCTATATTACAAAATCCGTATATTTAGATGTAGTTACCGTATATGACAACGAGTTTTTTTATGCTTGAGAAATTGTTCTTTTACAATGGGATAGTGGATGAATATATAGTGGGATTCAACTTGGATTTGAGTGGGATTACGGCCAGAAGGGGGTGCTGCCCGGGGAAGTGCGTTTTGACTGCGCAGGGCTAGTTTTTTTATGCATTTTGGGATGTCGGCTGAATGGCCAAATGGCTGACGAGACTTGTTTCCATAACACAACACCCTAAGCCTAAATCTGACATGGAACCCTAAGGAAGCCTTGAAAGTAAAACTTGTTAAAACCTTGGTAAAAATCCTAAAAACCCAACATGAAACCCTAGAGAAACCCTTTTTCAAAGCCTAAACAAAGCCTAAAGAGTTGGTGACATGATAAACCTCTGGGCGGCACCCCCTTGGGGATGGGATGAATGAAACGTTGCATCGAACTCAAAGCCACGGATGCGAAGAAAGGCCCTTTTTGGGCTTTGCAAGGTGACAGTACTTTCGTTTCAACCCAGACTTTTGCTGATGTGTTCTATCCTTTTCTCAGATTCCTTTCCCATTCTGGTTTGTAAGACATCGACTTGTCGGGTAGCTCCCTTTCCCACCTCCATTGCCCTGTGCGCCTCAGATCTTCTCAGCCTGGGCCTGCAGAGTGCAGTGCTGAGACTCGGACGAAAAAAGGGGGTGCCTGCGCCGAAGATTGGTCCAGGCGGACTGTGAGGCCATGATGGCCATGGAATGCCAAACAGGGGCAATGCCGGAATTGGGATGCAAACTTCAGCAGAATGCTGATGAATGGTCAATTCAACGCTGGAACCCCATGGAACCTCAACCTTTTCTAATATTAAAACCCATGGCACCCTGGGAACTGCACTGAAATTCCAACTTGAATTTGCAGATTTCTAGATCCTGAAAGCTCCTAGCATCATCAACATGTTGGTGAAACATATCACTTCTCGTTAGATCTCGTTAGTTGTTTGACCTAAAACCCGTAAAACATCATTTTGATAGTAGACAAGCCCCATATTTGGTGTTTGTACCCCAGCTAGCATAACTACACATCTCCTGCCTGCTGGTATATGTGATCTCCAATTGACTTTTTTTTCCCTCTGCGGTGACATTTCCAACCAGTGCTTGGTTGTTTTCCCACCTTTGGGTCATTTCTCAAACTTGGGGGAAGTCTAAAATGAACCCGTATCAATCAACTCGTGTTGATTAATCAGCTGGTGGTACATCATGTACATCCCCAAATATCAAACAGTGATAGTTTGCTACTAGAATGGTACCCTGCGATTGAACAGCCCAAGGCTTTGGTCCTTCTCAGAGATGTCCGATGATGGCAGCCGTTGAATTCATGAGAGAACAACAAGCTCTAATGGATACAGGCAAAAACAGCTTTGCTTCACCATGAATCTAGCCTCAAGATGATGGTCTATCTGGAATATGATTCATACAAGATACAAAATGTATCAAAATGTGTTCATAGGCCTCATAGGCTGATCGACTTTGTGCCGTTGGGATCTGTTGGAAGTGAAGCTTCACCGCATCATGGCCACAAGCCATGGTGCAGTGGTTTCCAATAGCTGAGCTCTCAGGCAGGCCCTTATGGGGCCCTTTTTTCAAGCCTTGAGACTTGAGTTCCCAGCTAGCAACGTCAATCTTCATGTACATTAAGAAACAATTATAAGAAAAACACTGAAATGTTATGAAATGTTCATATGATTTCATATGTATGGCATGTTCTTTGTTTTTTGTTCTCCCTGCAACCTCCCCCAGTTAGTACTACTGTGGATGGATGAATTCCTGCGCCATCAAAGGATGGCTGAAATCCTATAAACAATGGGATGTGTACCACCTATCAACTGGTTAGGTGAACCATGGTGAACCAACTTAAAACAAAAAAACAACGTGAAGTTGACTTAGATATCCCCACAGTGATGGCCCATCCGCAGTAGGTGAACCATAAAAACATATCCAACATAAAGGCCATGGGGTTCACCAACATATCCCCAGTTACTACTGTGGATGGTTGCGAAATCCTGCACCACCAAAAGGATGGTTTTTCAACCCCAACAAAATCATGGGATGTTTGCCATCAACTGGTGATTCGGATTTCGCTGGCCCATCCAGCGTAGGTTTTTCCCAACATAAAAACCATGGTGAACCAACTACTAGGTAAACCAATATATTGGATTATCGGAGGGTACAAGGTGGTGCCCCATAGTTAGCTAAGTTGGTTTACAACTCCCATAACTATGGTTTATGGCAGATATAACTATAGTTAATGGGGTTTATAAACCAACTTATAACTGGGGGGCACCATCCTGTAAGTAAACCAACATATCCCCAGTTACTAGGTTTTTCCCAACATGAACCAACTCTCCAATGGGATGCCAGATGGAGACCTTGGCCACGCGCGTGGGGCGCTTCGAGTCGGAACTGGAGGCCTTGCGTCGCGAGGCCTGGAAGACATGATGGGGCGGCGATGGGCGATGGTCGTTACCATGTTTTTTTGGAGTAAGGTACCATTGGAACAAAGGGACATATGATTGAAACTTGATATTTTTGGGGGTTTCGTAATCCGGAGTTCACATGAAGAACGGATGATTACTGAAAATGGTAAGTTGTTCATAGCAAATTGTTTATTTGCCAGGGGGCATAGTAATCACATGTAATCACCAAAAAAGCTGAAACCCATGAATTATGAGGAAAATGGGTTTGTAGAAATGGGATCAAATGGGGTTTGAGCGATGATCTAATGTGCTTCAATGGATAAACGGGGCCTCAGATGGGCTTCTGATGGGTCTAAAACTTGGATAGCAGGTTGGTATTCTTCAAATGTTTGGTCCAAAGGATTTTGAATGTGGGACAGATTCAATATGGGATTGACCCTATCACAAGTGGTTTGTCCATGTGTTGTTCAAAGATAGGGATCACTGATGTATGCCAAGTTTAAGAGGGAACATGAGGTTTTGAGCCAGCGGATCTTTTGGTACCGGATTTCAGACGCACCCAAGTGATGCTTGTAGGTTCAATGTTGGGTTGGTCCCAAACCATACCTGTGTGGATTTGATCGCCCCAAGCGGAACAAATTATAGTATCATTGGGTTTTCTAGGTTGATTGGATTACTTTCCTGCAATATAGGAACCACCAAAACTTATATGAAATTGCTGATGACTGTTTTGTGCTTGTAGCTTATTCAGATGAAATTTCTGGGTTATGGACCAATGGCGGACATAGAGTTCTACCAGTCTATGCCCTACTTATTAGATCTCATTAGCTTGTATGGGCGATTCTAGATGGCATTCACTCACATTGTACCCAACGTAGCCATACTAGTGGAGTCTCCAGTATATATGCAAGGCACATGAATGAGTGGGGATCATGAACTCGTTCAATATTGGAACCCCTATCAACCAACACTCATCAGAAAAAGGATGATCCAACAATTTTTGAGCTATACTGCCAAACCATCTAGAATCTTGAATATGCATCACGATGAAAGAAGTCAAAGATCTGCAGTCAATAATATATGAGCCACACCCAAGTTACTTGATTTACGCTGCTAATCCTACCAGTGCAATAGAATCGTCCCGTTTCTATACACATCTATATATCTTATATCATAGGTGATTTCCCGAATAACAATAAACACATTATCTCAATCTCAATGAGTTGTAAACATGTATAAACAATGTCAGAATAATTTATCCTGAACCATACCTACTTGTCGGACATCCAGCCATATCCAGCAGTCAGTTTTTTCCGGTCGCCTGCTCCGTCACCATAGGTCTCCCAGCTGCAAGGGCAGAGTTCCAGCGATGCCCGAAGTGGCTCGGGGATGCAGGTTGGGTCGGCTTCGGGAAAAGGTCCTGATGAAAGCTGGTTGGTGGTGTCAAAAATCCAGATAGTCCTTGGTGAATGGCAGTTTAAGAGTTTGATATATGTGGTTTTGATTGTTTTTGGCACATGAGGATAAGAACTGATAAGAAGTATAGTTATCCACTAGTCAGCCGAGAATGATATGTTTGCAGATAATTTAAGATTACTCGTGCTACCAATGTTGTATATACATATATATATACATATATATATATACATATATACAGTATATATATATACATATACATATATATATAATTATATATATACATATATATATATATGTATGTATGTATGCATGTGTGTGTTGGTGATGAGGAGCCGCAAAAGAAGGAAACAAGTGCGATCTAAAACGAGATCCCCCATTTTTTGAGTTGAACATCACTTGACAGTGGTAGATGGTGGTTGAAGCCAAATGACCCTGATTGTGATCGTGTTGACATCTGGAACCAAACCAGGTGCCACCCGGTTTCCAGGTACATATGAAGACATACATGATATTCATGTATATTCATGTACGCATGACAACAACAATATGAAATATCTATCTATATATCTATATATATACATGTGAAATATATATCTATATACATGAAATATGTGTATATATATATATACATATATATATTATCTATATATATATATGATATATATATGATATATATATATGATATATATATATATATTATGTATATTTCAACCTTCACAACACCAATTTATGCACTGCCAGGCCTCCGAGCTCCAGCTGCAGTGGGTCCGTTTGTTCGAGAAGGAGCTGGAGCAGCTGCGACGCCAGGCCGAGTCCTACAAGGAGCCACAAAGGGGGCCGAGTCCGGGCGGCAAATCCCCTGGGGGTTGGGTGAAAACCATGGGAAAACCGATGGAAAATGGGGAAAAAAAAATGGAAAACTCCCAGAGTTTGATCGATTTTCATGGTTGAGATGATTTTTTTAAAAATCTTCAGATAAAAAATGCCAGATCAAGTCTAGAACTGGTTAGCAACTGAGGTTATGAAACCAACGATGATGGGATGGTAGGGATACTACAGGGATATGATGGGATGTACCATCCCCGCCGTTTGAAGATTGGAAAGGATCGTTCTCCAATCTTCCAACCCCCCATTTGCAAGTTTCAGGATCAAAAATATGTCTATATGTCACTTGGATGGTGGGTACATCAGCTTACCCTCTGGTAATCAGCTCCATAGCTGGAAAATTTCCATCCAGTAGATTCAGTAGATGATTTTCATCTTCCTAGATTTTACCCTCTGGTAATGGCTGACATAGCTATTGAAAATGGTCATTTATAGTGAGTTTTCCCAATATTTTTAATGCTGATTTTCCATAATTATGTTAGTTTACCAGAGGGTAACATCCATTTATAGTGGATGTTCATTTGCCACAGTTACCGGAGGGTCTCCATCGCAGGTCGCAGCACCATGATTTGCCTCAGGAACCCATTGCTGTGCTCGAGGAGCGCTTGACCCGTCTGGAGCGAGTGGCCGGGTGGCCAGGGCAGGTGACGGGTGCCAAACTTGGCTAGGACATTGCCTATCTGGTTAGTGGTTTGGAACATTTTTTTATTTTCCATAATGTATAGGATAATCCTTCCCATTGACTAAGATTTTTCAAGATGGTTAAAACCACCAACCAGCTATAGTATCCTAGTTACAGAAGGGCATTTCAATGGGAATGGGAAAATCGTCGAACTGGGGGAATTTTGCAGCAAGTTATGGAGCTGATTACCAGAGGGTACCATCGAAAACGGTGGGGGCTTCAGGGTTTTTGACTATCAAACATGGAGGGTATGTTCTTGTACATAAGATGAACTGGGAAAAAACACAACGCGTTTTTTCTCTCATGTCATAGATTGGTGTACTTCCCATTAAACATCCGATTACATATCCCATGATATCCTCATTATCTACACTGTGTTTTCTACCCAATGACATTCCCTTGCAAGAACCTATTTACGGTGATCGTTTGACCTGAGTCATATCCTCACCAAAGACGCTGACCTAATCCATCCCATTGACGTTTCCCAGCAGGTGATTCAGTGATTTGGTTTGATGGCTTTGAATTCCTCATTTCGGGGTGATTTTCCCCCCAACTCACAAGTTTTTTTCCAAGTCGGAAACCTGGAATGTATGGGACAAGCATCGTCTTCCTCACATCCTGGAAGAACTGCCAAAGGGCATCTTTTTGTGGACCCTTATAAGGTATCATAAGGTAGATTTTTGCTCAGCAAAAATCTAATCTTGATAAGTTATAACGGCCTTGGTAGTCCCAGTAGAATCAGTAGAAAATGTGAAGTATCCTCCAATCAAAACCCCTGGTGGAATGATTCACTCCATTCAAGTATCCTCAAGTTAATTCCTAATTCACTCATTTAAAATTTAGTTTCATGTTTCATTTGGACTAAGCAGTTCTTACTTTGGATTCAGCCTGAAAGAAACTCCCTCAGCTGGTTGACCCATCCCCAGGTCCCCACACTGAGGCCTCCCCAGAGTCGGGTAGGGATCTGGACGAGTTGGCAGAACTGGTCTTAACGGAGCTGCAAGCGCTGAAGCAGAAGGCGCCGTTCGAACTGCGCCGTCAGGGCTCATGGCGGAGATCGGATGTGGTATCTTTTGGGGGTTATATAATCTTTATAGATGACTTATTATAGATGACTCATACATATCTATCAGACATCCATAACAATATATATATACAGTTGGTTCATGGAAAACATGAGAGTGCTTTCATCGCTTGCTGAGAGTTAAATTCCATGGCTTGAGACTTAAATCCAGATTTTGGGTCTCCAGTCATCTTCCGGACAAAGTGAGGTTTGTCGATGATCCAAAAACAGACTGGCCAGGTTGGGGTTCAAATGGAACCATGCAAACTCCTTGTTGCTTTGATGACTGTCAGGTTGTGAACATACTTTTTTTTGTATTTCAATATGGGGATGGGTCAATACCTATAGTACCGTTTTTAGTGGGATGAACATCCATTTACCAGCTATTTTGATGTTCACCAGGGGGATAGGGTTTTGACCCATCCCCATATATGTCATAATTATTTGCCCAGTGAACATCATGACATCTTGGAGATTGCAAAACAGTGGCCAGGCTGCAGATGTGTTGACTTCCATCATGTTCCATCCCTTCTCAGCCGAAGCAAGGAAGCTCTTTTCACCCTTAGACTCTATGTGCCTTGGTCAAAACTTGGATCCTATAATATATATATATATATTAGGGATGGTCATCAACCCATTTTCATAGGGATTGATATTCTCATAACAAAGGGTACCAAATATGGGATGACCATAAACATCATATACCATGCTTTGACCATGGTACAAATCGGCATTGGGACGCGCCAGGTGTACCAGCTTGCAGCACCTAAACGCCAGGTCAGGTCGCAGCCAGTCGGATGTCATCACACTGTGCTGCTGCTTTTTTGCAGCACCAATCTCAATGGATTGGATTAGGGGAAATTTACAGGAAAGCCCCATATTTAATGGGAAAATCTATGGTTTCCTGTAGACTCTCCCTTAAACCAATCCATTGACAATCCATTCAGAGCATGGGACATCCAACAATTGCAGACAGCCCAATTTTCCAGGATAGACACGGATTCTCACGTTTGATCCAGCAAGTCTATTCCAACATATTTCTCCAGTCTTGACCCTGGTAAAAAAAAGTCCCTAAGTGGGTTTGTGAATGTTTGTGATGCATGTACTACAATATCATTACATATCATGACGTATATATTCATAACATATATACAAAATATAATGATTATAACTCATTGTAGCAATGGCTACTAGATAGATCTAGTTTCTAAGTTGTTAGTAGCCATTTGTTAAGCCATATATATATAATATAATAAAATATACTATACAATAATATAATATAATATAATATAATATAATATGATATAATACAATATAATATAATATAATATGATATAATATAATATAATATACAATAATATAATATAATATAATGTGATATAATATAATATAATATAATAGAATAGAATATGTATATATATATTGTAATGTGTATATATATAATATAGCCAGTGTCAAAACGTTCGCAAAATCATGTGCATTGCGCAGTTTTTGGGCGTTTGTTTATCAATCTAGAGGGATTTATATAACCAGTCTATTTAGATCAGTATTATTCATGATTTCGATTCTATATGGTTAATTTAATTTGTTTGTACGTTTTCTTGAATGTTCATCATACTTTCCCAATCGATGTAGCCATCACCAGGGGCGCATGAAAACATGGCACTGCCAGGGTGTGGCTCTTCACGGGGGAGCTTCCGCTCCACCGATGCCACAGCTGACGAACGCAGGTCCGTTCGAAAAATTCGCTGGCGAGCCCGCTCAAAATTCCAGGGAATCTACTTAAAAAGCTGACTTAACATGGGATTAATTATATTTCGTGAAATATAAGTGATTAACCATGGATTAAGCGTGATCAACCATGATTCATGAAACATTTATGGATTCACCAAGGAACAGCGGAGCTTGAAGCCATGATTTCATACGACCATGATTCAAGCTCAACTGGGTTCCTGGGACCTGGCTCGAGCTCATCAGCCATAACAGCCCTCAACATCCCTTACCCTTTGGTAATTTAACATAGCTATTGAAAATGGCCATTTATAGTGAGTTTTCCCATTAAAAATGGTGATTTTCAATAGCTATGTTAGTTTACCAGAGGGTAACATCCATTCTGCCGTAATCTTGGATACCCCCAAAAAAAAGCCCGGTGAAATGATGTGAAATGTGTTTATTTTATGGGGAGACCATATTTTTTTTGTGTTCAACATCTGCAGGAAAAGATGTGATTTTAGCAAACCGGCAAAGCTAATCAATGGTGAGCAGTGCCGACATGATAGGAGCACAAGATGAAACGTCGGAACCATCTCCGATTCAGCCTGTATTTTTTGCTTCAAGAGATGTCCTTGTGTATTTGTGTGACCTGATTTCGAGAACCACATATCCCGGGGAAAAACACATGGAATTCAAAAAACCGGAGTTTGAAGATGATGTTCGAATTGGACAGCGGCACTATTAGGGGTTCCCCTTGCGTCTTAGAGGTGATAGCTCTTACATGCTCTTACAATATGTTCAACAATATGTCCCTTCCATTCAAAATGGGTTAGTAGAAGTACATTATTGTCAAATCGGTGGTTTGTTTGTTGTTTGCTGCCACAAAGGGCATACCCAATTGGGTAGTGTGTGTGTCATTTGCTTCAGGTGCTAGTGGCCAAGGCCGTTCCCCCACAGGTTCGCAGTCGGAATGGGTACAAGTGTCAAGCTGAGCTATCAAGAGTTATGCGTAGTCGTTGCGCCAGAGTTATCCAAGGATCTCCGTTTGGGATGTAATGTTGCTATCTGCGTAGAGGATACAGATGCGCACTGAATTATTTTGATAGTGGTCAGCTGATTGCACTTCCTCTTGCACTCCATGGACGTGTATGGTACGTGATGTGCAGGAGGTCTGAGGCAGAAAGGCTGGCTTATTGATGACTCTCAGATTAGAATCTGAATTCATTGGTGGTTTCATTTGGTGCTTTCATTGCCCTATCCCTCTTTTGGAAGATGATTGCAGTAGGTTAGATACTGTTTCAGGAGGCTGAAACTTCCAAAAAGATCCCCTGTTCCGTTCAAAACTAAGTGGGTTTCTCTTGAGATTGAGGGGTTGGCACGTCAATTACCCACTGCAGAGTCGAATTCCTATCTGACAGTCATTTGACTGGTTGAACTGCTTGGATTTCTACGACTCCTCTCAAATTCCCATTCTCTTCAGGATCCCCAACCTTCGAAATCTCTAGAAAGTCCAGGTCATTCCATAAATCTATAATATTTATAATAAATCCACATAATTATATATATATATGTAATTATGTAATATATATATATATATTATATGAATAGGGTTGCTATACATATACCATATACTGTATACATACATATATGTAGATGAATATATAGTCATCCTGGAGTAGACATGGAAATGTGCAAGAAAAAATGTAACTTATTTGAAAGATTCATGTTCTATCTACTTCAAAGATGACTATATATATATATACACTTATTACTGTATTACCCTCTAGTAAACTGACATAACGATGGAAACATCACCATGTTTAATTTGTAGATCATCGTTTAAATCATGAAGCGTTTTCCATAGCAAACCAACAAATTTCGGGAAAACATATGTCCATTCAAGTTGCCCCATAATTTTCTCATAACCATCATCCAACTGACAGTTATTATTATGTTAAATCCATCATAAAAAGTCAGATGTCCGTATTACCAGTCGGTATCCCAATCAATCTTACTGGTTGGATCTGGTTGGTATGCTAATGATATGTCCATTATTCATGATACCACTATTTGTTGTTGCTTAATTCCCGTGAATTTCCATTGTATGTCACTGTTGTTGGTTAAGTGATCTCATGATTTTGTACTATAGATGTCCATTGTACATCATTATATCCCGATGTTCTTGGTGAAATCCCATATAAATCCCATGAATTACTAGTATAAATCCCATATAAATCCGATATAAATCCCATGGCCCCCTTCTGACCGGGACGCGACGCGACTGTAGGCGCTGCGATTGCGCGTGTGGAACAACTGCAGCGCCTCGAGCAGAGCACGACGAGTCCGGGGATCTCATGATTTTGTGTGGTGATTTGATAGTGATGTTTTTTTTTACATTTATATATTGGTGATTAATGATGATGAATGATGTTTGATGATTTTTGATTAAGCAAAAAAATGATGATTTTTGATTAATAGTGATGATATTACCTTTTTGATTCACCATTTAATCACTAGTTTTGATTATATAACTATTTTTGATTCACTATTTGATAGTGATGATTGATAAATGTTAATCATATGATTTGATAGTGATTTTTGATTTTGATAGTGATTGATTTATGATGGTGATAAATGCTGATAAATGGTTATTCATCATGATGAAATCACTATTTTTAATTAACTATTTGACAGTGATTAATAGTGGCTAATAGTGAGTAAAGGTGATAAATGGTGATTCATGATGGTGTTTGATGCTGATTTATGGGCATTTAGTAAGAACGATATGGACTAATGGTGGTTTATGGTTATTTATGGTGATTTATGATGACATTTTGTGGTGATTGTTGGGGTTTGACGTAGCTTTGGAAGCATCGACTGTGGTGAGCGCCGCGTTTCAGCTCGGTCCCGTCCCCGTTGTGATCCCACAGAGATTCTCATGTGCAGCATGGAGCAGCCCATCCCTGAAGATGAGGAAGATGGGGGATGGAAACAAGACATGAAAAAACACTCATGGTATATAGCTATATCATCAACTATTTAGGTCTGTTTGAAAATTGTGTATACCACAATGGGATGTTTAGTCCGCCAAGGCGTTTTCATTGTTGGTGACAGCCAACAATAAAACACTATGCAACTCGGGTCCTTAAATGTCCCCAGTTTTGTCTGGTCACACCCAAATTATCAAAAGTTGGATAGGTTGACCCCCAACCAACACCCATTTGGCGATTGTTCCAGATTTAATCACCACCCTAATTGGATGGAGCATGATGGATTCACACATGTACTACCAATCCTACTCCCCACTAAACATGGTGATCCCTAATCCCGCAGTCTTGTTTCATTACATACAGGATGGGCCCCCCCAGTTATAAGTTGGTTTATAAACCATAACAAAACCCAAAACCACCATTAACTAGTTCGTTATATCTACCATAAACCATAGAATTCAGCCACTTTTTTTAGGGCAACTGAACGCTATCGACTGGGGGGCCCCATCCTGTATTGGAGATCGGGATCCTCATCGTAACCAGTGCTGGGTTTAGGGTATCTAAGATTGGCCATGTACCCTCCGGTGCTGGCGTGCTGGAAAATCCACCATCTATAGATCACTTATAGACTATAGTGACTAGTGTTTTTTTAATGTTACAGTGTTTTATATGTTATAGACTATAGTCCATCATCATAAATAATTATATATAGTGTTTTTTTTCTGTTTTTGTTTTTCATATCTTCCCAATTTTTCCCATGATGTTCCCAAATCAAAAGCTCCATGGCTAGGCCTAGCCCGGCCTAGCCGACATTTTCCCAGCGGCGTTAGGATTTCCTGCCCACCAGCGTCCCAACCTTCATCAAGTCCGAGGAGGTGCCGATGGCGAAAACAACTGACGCCATTGCAACCAGAGAGTCATGAGTCATGATGTTTTTTTGAGTGTGTACGGATGTGTGACATGTACATATATGTATGTATATGTATCTGTAACCTCCAGGACCTGCATAATTTCCTGCCTTATTGGCAAAATCAACCTTTCAAATCACAGCCGGAATTCTGAGGTATGTCGTGATTTTGTATTTTCAAGGTTTGCACACCTCTTGAGATATTGGACAAGAGATATCAAGAGATCTATCACCATAAACATCCTCATTTCCAGGCCCCGATGAATCAGCAAGGTGAAGCTGCGCCAATCATTCAGTGGCTCAAAAGTGGCTACCTAAGGTCTGTGCAGGGACTTGTTGTGAGAAAAGAAAACCAAAGTTTATGAATCACACAAACCATAGAGGCATTAATCATTGATCATTCAACATGTCCCGCTGATGCAACGCAATAGATTTATCACCAGGTGTCCGCAATGGCTTAAAATAGATGTAGTTTTGGGGCACACATGAAAAGGACCGACTGCCCATCCTTCCTTTTCTTTCAAACTTGTTGCCCAGCCACATGGTGTTGGCGGCTTCTCACACAATGCAAGGGAAGCAAGGTGGAACTGGAACCAGGCAAAGTGTGGGGCAGGAATCTTGTTGAAAACAGCATTGCATGATATTGCATGCATGTGTTATCATTTTTTGTTGCCAGAGCTTCATCCTGGAATGTTGGTGAACACACTTACTTATCCCCATTTTCTATACCCTTATTCCTCCTTCTTCCACCTTCTTCAAGCGCCTTCTGCAGGCAAATGATTCTCACGCAGCTGGCCTTGACCAAGCTACTCATGTCAACCCTGCGTGTTTGCAGACATGAGCGGGTGGCTGACTGGACTGGGCCCAAAGGTACCCTATGCATACAATTCTGTGACTAGCCACCTTCAAAACTGGAGGTAAATGATGGCAAATTGTAGCTAAAAATAGGCAACGGTTGGTGTTGCTGGCATGTGTCAGAGTGATGCGAATCCTGTGAAGATTTGCCAGCAGGTTTTCAAGTTTCTCAGAAACAAAGGTCTTTTGACCCTAGCTGATTCTGCTTTCCACTTCTGCAGCCACAAGCTTCTCCATAGGTATGCCGTCATGCAATCCCATGCAATCCTAATTTGATTCATACCCAGTTATACACGTCCAACCCGCTTTAACTTACAGCCCCCTGGTTTACACAAATGCGCATGAGCCCAATCCATTGTAAGTCAACATTTTTAAAGTTATTGTGGGGCTGAACTGGTTTCATTTCTGTCCCAACCATGCCGGCTTTCCCTCGGCGTGCTGCTTCTGAAGCGGAAAACTTAGAGCCGGAAGAATGCAAGCTAGACCCGGCTTCACTTGCCGGCATGCTTGAAGCTGATGTCCGCGTTCGAAACCGCCTTCGGTACAGAGAGGAGGGAAAGCTTCTTAGGTGGATGAAAAATGAAAAGGGTAATGATGTGGTTGGGCAATTGGCGATGCCCATCATTGCCATGAATGTGAGGGTGCTTACTATCCTAGCTCGATACTGGTGCCCGAAAGCCAAGAAGGTGGCCAAGTCCCCTAGCATCCATTTGGTCAGAAAAGAGGCGAGGTTTGGAACATCCCCAGTTTCAAGTATTTTTTGATTTCGGTATCAAAATTGTTTTCAATCAGGTTGAGTCATTATAGATCATTCCTACAGCTACTGGTGTGAATACAAGTTCTGCCCATGGTCATCTAAAATGAAAAGTGAATCCATAATTCCTCCAGTTTCCCATTTGTGGTCGAACCCAGGCTTTACTTTTGCACGCAGGTCCTTGAATTGAAAGCTGCGTGCGGCTTCAAGCTTGATTCCGCCCTTCTAGAGGCTGATTCGTGGGGCCTTAAAAAGCTCTTCACATATGGATGTGCCAAGGGTGGATTTGGGAATGACAAGAGTCCCATCCGTCGCGACCCTTGGCTTAGCCCATGGACCTAAGATTTTTTTTGATAAACGAAAGTTCCCCATGTTACGTGAGTTTGATAGAAACAACTGCTCAATATTGTTTAATGCATGCATGTTTGACAGGAAGCTTACGTTTACACAGCAGGTAGTAACAAATCAATAGATGCATACTGCATATATCCTGCATGCGTGTGTGCGCACAAGGACCCAGCAGTCAATGAGTTCTACGAGGAGTTGTTCGAACACTGGCGTCCTAAGGCGAAGCCGGTGCTGATTGACTTGGAGAAGGGGGATGACAGTGACAACGGGATGGACCTGAGTGGGTTGTTTTCGGTGAAGGGTGAGGAGGAAGAAGAAGAAAGTGGGGGGAATGAGAATTCATATGCGTTGATGGACCCTTACTTCACCCAAATGATGCCTGATGATGAGCTTTTGCTAGCTTTGGGCAGTGAACCAATTGAGACTGGTGAGGGCGAGGGTGTTCACGCAGAGCAAGGCAAACATGAGGACAAGGTTGAATGTGATGGTTTGGAGAAACCTCTTGATCCACCTGGTGCAGTTGGGGTTGAGGGAAAGAGCCCAGCCAAACCCCATGTTGAGCAACCGGAACCAGTGGGATGTATCTCTACCACACCAAAGGCTTCAGTTACCAAAGTCCCATTCACCCCGGCGAAAGAGATCTCCAACAAAGACCTTGATGAAAAGATTGCAAGCTTGAAGCAACTTGCACATATTATGTTTCGACAAAAAAGTTTTTTGTGTTGCAAAGGGGAACCAAGTCCAAACAAAAGCAGTGGCAATACATGGCAATGGTCACTATATTAAGTACATGTTTCCTTTATTAAGTTTCTTTCCTTTAGAATTCATGATGCAAATGAAAAGGAACCCTGACCGTCTACAACGTCAGTCATGGTTTACCTGTTCTATTTCATGTTTGCTCTCTTTATTCGGTCCCTTTGCTTCCGACTGCCTAGGCGGCGGCTTGCAACGAAGAAGCCTCAGCCTGCCCAACCTTGTGCAATGGATGCTGTGGACACCCTGGCGTTCGATGCGACTCAAGTGGCTTCTGACATGCAGGAGGCTGGTGCTCCGATTTGGGTTGAGGATACACAATCTGATGGTGATGGGCCTGGGGCAGTGTGCAGGTCTTTGGCAGCAGATTTCAGCAGTGCCATGTTTTCTGAAGAAGGCCAGGTCCAAAATATATCAGCTTTAAATGGGTTTGAATTACATCTTTTGCGTGCATACGCAAGCCCTGTTCCTGGTTTCATTTGTTCTTGACAGGTTTCATTGTATTTGGTATTGGATATTGGTTTGACTTGGACCGTATGTTCGACCAACAGCATGACTCTATACCCCTTTCCCAGGTGATCGAAAGGACCGCTTGGATGCCATGGAAGTTCCCATACTCCAGAACCCGACGGGGGAGGTGGATGATCAAGGTTCTGACCAAAGGGTGGAGGATGAAAACGAAATGAATGATCAGCAGGTGGAGGCTGATTTGGGTGGTGAGCACATGGAGGCTGAAAAGAATGAAGTGGGTGGTGAACAGGTGGGTACTGAGCAGGCGGAGGATGTGAAAATAGAGGCTGAGAAAAACGAAACGGGTGGTGAGGACATGGAGGCTGAGGACATTGGGATGGGTGGTGGCGAGGTTGAGAATGGAAAAGTTACAGCCGTTGGTGAACAGGTGGAGGATGAGAAAGCGGAGATGATGAATGAGGAGGTGGAGGATGATGAAGAAGAGATGGCCCAACAGCTGTCTCAAAAAGATTGTGACATGGAGGAGGAGGAGGAGGAGGAGGAACGAGAACCTGAAAAGTCAGTGGATGACGATGAACCTGTGGCTACTGACCTGGACCCCCTTAGCAAAACAAAGGAAACACAGCCTGACGTTGAAACCGGTGAGCCCCCCATGGTTCGGCGGGTAGAACAGTGGCAGCAGAAACCAAAGGCAAAGGCCAAGGCCAAGGCAGGGCCTAAGGCCAAGGCAAAGGCCAAAGCAAAGAGCAAGGTGCAAGGGAAAGGCAAGGAAGCAAAAAGCAAGAAGAACAGTAAGAGAAAAGCAGAGGAGACTGTTGAAGTTTTGGCCTCAGGAGAGGAAGGTGAGGTTCCTGAGGAAGAGGTGGCAAAACCTTCGCAGAGAAAGCGTGTTGCAAGAAAGGCCCGAGCCAAGTCTGCAGCCAAAACAGAGCCATCCGGCAGCAATGAGCATTCGGCCAAAGCCTCTGACAGCAAGGAAAACAAGGAGCCCCCCATCAAATACAAGCCAGTCACTGAGGAAGGTAAGGCTGACATAGAAGAAGCTTTCAACTGGGAGGAAGGGAATGGGAAGGGTCAGGCTGGTGAGGAATGTGAGAGCGTTGCTGGGTCTGATTTGGGTGAACATGAGAATCAGGAACCAGAACCAAACACTGACAAGAAAAAGAACGACTTGCAGTCTTTCGCCCGTCGCCCGCCCCCAAAGACTTCACCATCAAGGGACAGGTGGTTGGTTATCCGGGACGTTTTCAACGAGCATTTGGTGCCTGCTTTGAAGTTGGTGGGATTTCCGATCTACAAATGGGAGGCCTGGTGAATGATACCAAACCACAAAAAGGATGGAAAGGGCAATCTTAGTTACTGTTTTCCAACTTGAACCCTATATAATCTTTGCATCTTTATTTTATGTTCAACCTGAGAATTTAGTTCCTCTTGGTATCCATTGATCTTTGACTTTGAAGTGGTTGCTGTCCATTTCTGGTGTCAAATAACCACCATTCTATTCTTTAAACGGGGCTGTTCTTTCATCACTATGCCTGCCTGTGAACCTGTCCCTCAGGTTGAATGGTGGGAGTGGGCTATGGACAAGTTGACTGAGGACAGCGTGAGCAACGAGAATCTACGCGGCTTGGGTGGTGATGCCATCGCTGAGAAGTTGAAGCCTGTGGCCATGCACCAACTGAGGGAGTTCTGTCGCGACTCTTGCATTCCCACGGAAGAGTGGCCAAACCTGGAATGAAACGCTTTGGTCCCTGAAATGAAACATTTGCAATGTGATAAGAAATGCGCTAGATCGCTCTTAACATCTTAGCCTTGTTTCTAAAGCTGTTTGTGATTGTTTGTGCATTGTAACCTGGCCTGAGAGGGGCGCGAAGGGACTGACAGGAGAGCTTGCTTTTGGGAGGTGTGCATAACATATACTATGCACTATGCACCTCTTTGTTCCAAATTTCTTAGGGTCATGCAGTCTGAAGTGGCTGCGCAATTTGGGGATCTTACTTGGCAGCTTGATCATTCAACGTGTTTCTTAGCCGTTTTTTGCAGTAGCTGTCTGCTTGGCTTTGCCGGCTCTTTCAATCTTGCTTGTCGCTGGTGTCGGAAAATATGACAGCATTCAGGGAAGCTTTATTTGAACATCTCTGTATGAGCCAAACCATTCTTTAAATGAAAAGAACCTTTCAAAACGAATATGAATGATGAACCTGTTGCCTCGTGTACAAGCCTTTTTTTTCTCCCATTCCCATTGCTTGACCCCCCACGAACAAATGCTGTTTATTTGCACGCTGGCCAGGTGAATGCCCATCCAACGAGGATGCCGGAACCTTGCCAAATTCGGCATTAGCACAGTGACTACTGGAGGTGGTCCCTGCTGGTTTTGTGGTGTGTTGGGAGGGAGTATTTCGCGGTGTTCATATTTTGTCCATTCTTCTATGTTGTAGTGTTCGCCACAAGTTTTTTTTTTCAGAAATATGTCCATTCTTGCGGTGGCAGTTCTGGCTGAAAACAAGCTGTGATTGCAAGGGTATATTTATCCCAAACAACGTATTGATTTGCCATACATCGATGACTCATACTGTTGAAATCCACCAACAAAGCATGTGCAATGAATCAAGGTCCAATAAATCCATTATGCATATACTTCTCAAAATGGGGGATGCTCGAAATTATTCGATATTAAGTACTAGTAGGCGGTTTTCGAGCATCCACCATTTTGAGAAATACCCATGTGCATGTATGCACATGCATATAATCCAATGTAATATTGTATACCCCAAAATATCTGGTAACCATAACACACCACATCACACCTTGTTGGAAAACATATTTGAAAGGTGTTTCACTGTTTCACTTCTTCTAAAAAGATCCATTGATCTTTCGCCATGACCCCGCCTCAATTCGAGCTGTTCATCAAGCGGCTCATCAAGTTTGGCATCCCAAAAGATGCTTGTCCTGCATCCGTCAAGCCATGCTTCCATGGTGCAACAAGACTGGATCCCCTCTTGCATATATTTATACCCTTAGAAACTGAACTGAGGTAGTGATCTTACTCATCTTGCTGGTTTGGTGGCTTGACCTTCCGCCACAAGGTGACCCTTACCAAGTGATTGAGATGTTTGCAGGGGTAGGAAGGATAGCAGCCCTATCCAAATTTGCTGGGTTCAAGTCAGCGGCCATTGACCTTGAGTATGCGAAGGAAAGGTGGGAACGGGTGGGCAAACGCTCACCTATGGATATCAACTCTGATGCAGGATTATTGTCCCGAGTTTGCATTAAACATGTTTTCCAATCTGGGGACCCCATGGAAAAAGGAATGAATGAACCCATAATATCATAGAATTTTTAAATACTCTATTGCAAAGACTGGGTACATGGGATAGTCATACAGGCCAAGGGAATCCATTGGGCTTTGCTCCGGTTCAGCTTTCAGTGAGAAACCCTTGAACTTCAGGTTATGTATCCATTTGGTGTTGACTTCGCAATGGGAAGAACTGGTTGGCTTCCTTGCCATAGTCTGTTCATCATGGGTGCCTGTCAATCGCGGTAGTACTGGCAGGGGAATTCTAACGCCACTTGGAAATGAATCCTTTTTGGCAGTGAGGCGTTCGAACAAAATGACATCCAGGCCTTTGGGATGAGATTTGTTCAAACAACGTTGATTTAAAAAAAAAACATTCTTCAGTAGTGTGCTGTCCATCATGAATATCCCCCGAAATAACATACCCTGTTGAAGTTCAACAATGCTATTACAGCTGCTATATCATTTGGAACATTTGAATGATCTTTCTGTGTGGCCCCTGAAGGTGCATAATCATAATGGCTATGATTTTCGCCGCTGGAGGAACGTTCCTGGTAGAAAACCCTGCCAACTCATTGATCGCCCTTCACCCCCGGTGGGTCTGGTTCCTCGAATGCCTTCGTAAATACCATGTCTTTGTGCCTAGGCGATCCAAGCACTGTGTGTTTTTTTCGCTCCAAAATAGGGCATGGAACATGTTTATGATGAAAACATGTTTTGAACAAGTAATTAATCTCCTACTGCTTCCACTCTATATTGGGCCTATCCCAAGGTATGGAAGGTAGCGTTTTGGATGAGGAAATTCGGCGCTTTGTCATGGAAACGCACATGGTTATGGTCAAACAGTCGCAGTATCGGGGCCCTGGACAAGGGCCGTTTGACACGTCAAGAGCGAAACACTGCCAGACCGACTACTACAAGATATCGAGACAAATCGGGCAAACTAAAATTCAAAGGAAATGGAAACCTTAAGAAATCTCAGAAGCTTTAAAGCATTCATGTGCATGTGTGTGGTTTCAATTTGTGCACCACCTTTTCAACTGTATTGACCCAAATCGCGCTTTTGTTTGGGGATAAATTTTGTTTGGGGATGTTTGGATCAGGTTCATGTTCAAGAAATGATGGGTTCAACTCTCCCTATGTTTTATACACTCTTTAGTGGCCTGCTCAGGGGTTCCATGTTCTTGCATGGGTCAAACTCATGAGGATTTACACCTACAAGTATGCAGCAAAGTTGGTACAGCTCATCCCAGAATTTCAAGCTGACTCCAAAGCTCGTGACTTTCCCGTGGAGGCATTGTTGAATTAAACCATCATTTTCTACAATAATAAATGTCAATTTGATACTCCCCCATTCTATCATCCCTGATTTTCCTCTGCTCTTGGCCCTGGCAGGTGGAGAGTGAATCCACAGCCTTGGAACTTTTCGCTACTATGGCCTTTTGTGATGAGGGCCAAGCTTGGGACCAGGAGGCTGATCTTAGACGTGTGATTCGCTATGCCAGGGGGTCCAAGAGACTCCATATTCCTAGTGAATGGCGGCCTTTGCTCCCAACTGAAATCTAATTGAACCAAATTAAATGGCTTGGGCAGTTTAGATACCATGAATAAGTGCAATCCAGATACCTTTATTGGCACATGATGACCATCACACTTTGTGCTTCCTTCGCTTCCAATGCCCTAGCTCCTGCATGGCAGAGTGACAAGCTTGCGCCAGTGGGTGGAAAGGTGATATGGATCTATCCGTGGCAACTTCGGGATCGGTAGATTGGGGTTGGTATGAGGAGATTGTGGAAAATGTTTTGGTTGCCAAAATGCATTTTGATTGTAAACAATATGAGGCATGTATAGCCATATCCCAGATATTGTCCAAAGGACCCAATACTATCAACAAAACGAGTCTAGCATTCAGGATATCAGTTTTGAGAGATAAAGACTTCATGGGGTCTGGATCACAAAAAAGAGCTTGCCATGAGTATACCAAAACCCTTATTACTAAGATATTATTTCTTTTACTTCTTCCAATTGAGAAAACAAGGATGACTTCAGGGATGCCCAGTATCATCATGAATGCATATATAAGCACGGTCTATGAAGTTTAACAGACGTCAGGTATACCCTTATTACTATATACAATGGAGAAAACAAGGATGCCTTCAGGGATGCCCGGAAACATCATGAATGCATGTATAAGCATGATCTATGAAGTTTAACCGACTTCAGGGACCATACTGATCCATGAGCAAACCTCATCCATGAGCAAACCTCAGGGATCATACTGGAAATAACAAACTTCAGGGATCATAAAGGGGATGAACATACTTCAGGGATCATAAAGGGAATGAACACACTTCAGGGATCATAAAGGGAATGAACACACTTCAGGGATCATAAAGTTAATGAACACACTTCAGGGATCATAAAGGGGATGAAAGGAATTCCATGAACAAAGCTTCAGGGGTCCATGAACACGATTTTCATGAGTTTCTTCATGAATCACAAAAATTGTGGCCGGAAATACCCAGGAAAAAGCAGGAAATACCCAGGAAAAAGCAGGAAATAACCGGTCGTCCATCTGAGGGCTCATGCATTATGAGAAAATCAGGGAATCATGAACTCAGAGCATTGTGAAGAAATCGACATTGCTCATGAATCATGAACTCAGAGCTTTCTGCTAAAACAAATTCACAATAAAAATATCTGCAGCCGCTTGAGTGGATCATTTACCATTAGTATAGCTCTTATGCCCACTGAGCTTGCTTCAAGGGTGTTTTCTTCAGAGACGCTCGTAGAGGGTCTTGCTGTGGTGAAGGCTGAGATAGGCATGGATGACCTTTCTGGTGTGGATATTGCCCAAATGGAACAAGAACTCAAAGACCTTGAGGCCTGTCCCAAGTGTGATCCTGTGCCAAATGGATGGTAAAATCAAGGTGTGGTATTCACATGCATGTATAATATGCCATTGGTATACTAAATTTATATTCAAATGCTGGTTGGACTTTGAATCTTCCATTCTATCAGTTTTTCAATGGTGTGGCTATGCCTCCATCGGCAAAACAGATTCCGCATGATTCCACCATGAGTGCTGTAGGCCTTGAGAGCGAGCCGTGTCATTCCAACTCCTGTCCGAACTGGTGGAGAACAGTTGGGACCACATGAGGATACCATCCCAGCTGATTTGGAGGTATCTTGCATTCTTGATGCGTAGTGCCTCCTAGCTGTATTGACTGCAGTTCTATATATTATATGGTAATCTGTTTATTGATCATTGTTGCGCTAAAAAGTGAAACTTTGATTTCATTTTCAAAGTAATTACTTAGTCAGTGGGTTCCCTTACCCCCCAAAAAAACCTTTTTTGGTTGGGTGTGAAATAGATTAGATACCCCCTGGGCGCTTGAACCCAACAAAAAAAAAACTTAAACGTTCCCTCAGCCCTGATTTCATGAGTTGTTGTAAAGCCCAAACTGCCCAGGTAACGGCCGAACCAGCTGAGAGTCCTCCTTCTGGTGAGGACAACCCTCCTGACCATGGCATGTCGGTTCGGGACTTGGTTGATGGCTATGATTCAGCGGAGGATGACCCTTGGACTAACTGGTTGCTGGTAAAAGTGGCAAATAGTTCAAGTATCATCATCATCATCATCATCATCATCATCGATAAGCCTATCGCTGTATGTCCACTCTTATGCTGTCTCTGCATGTATTGAGGATGAATTGCTGAGACGCTTACAAACTGGTGAGTTGGCATTTCCTGAAGACTTCACCTCGGAGACCCCTGCTGTAGATGACCCATACTTCGGACTACCCAATGCTGATGATGCCCAGGTCTGGGGTCTCACAACATTGCTGACAAAATCAAACATGATGTACAATTAGCATTTAGTGCATGAATGCTCCAACATCATTGGTAAAGCAAACCAACATTTTTGTTTGCATGATTATTATATTGAATTTGACTATAATCACCTTCCATCCCTGTGCCAGCGTCATACAGGATCTGAAACCAGACCAGCTGGCGGTGATGGATGCTCTGGCTGCTGCTTTTGCCCAGGATTGGGGACTGGTGTGCACGGAAATTTTGTATACCTTGTATATAAGCAGAATTACTATATGTCACGGCCCTGAAGTGCCTATAACAGCAAACCACAGTCATGCCTTCGAAGCAACATCACATTGAGTGTATATCGAATTCAAAAACATGCATGCTTTGGGGGTTGATGCGCTGCAGGAGGATGTGGCGATGGCTGAGAAAGGGAATGAGAATTCCTTGGGTGATGATTCGAAGGTGCTTTACCTTAAACCAAACTGGCCGATGTGGAATCTTTCAAGTAGGAGATTGGTTCGCTTCTTCAGGCATATGTTTTCTCTTTAAAGCATTTGTGCTGTGTGTTTGTACCCCTTCAACATCAATGGGTCGCCTCCCGCGACTCCAGGTGGACACTGCACCCTCTGCATCCTTGACACCGAACCAAGACACCGGAACACCAAAGACCTACAAGGTATTATGGCTGCAGCTTATTTTTCCGTGAATGCATGTTCACTTCACAACTGCCAATTGGTTAGATTGAGATCATTACAGTGCAATGACTTTATCTTTGGGGTTATATTGGGCCTGCTCTTCTCCATGTTTTTCTGAGGCAGGTGAGAGCAACGCTATGAAATGCCTACGTCGACTTGTCCAGCCCCGTGCGGATGGATCCTTCCTAGTCCCTGAAGAGATCATTGCAAAGTTCAAAGATATTGCTGGGGGTGGGCGCTCGGAAGTCTTACGTTTATATGAGCAATGTGGATGCAACAAGGACCCTAGATCAAGTTGGAAAGAAACACACGTGGTCCTAATATTTATAAGATATGTCCCAACTGTGTTTCCCGAGGGTCTCCTCATTTCACATCCACAGCCGTCGTTGCAAGGATGCTTTCGTGAAGACCTGCCGTCGCAAGATCGAGCAAATCAGTGAAGAGGACTTGTATGTGGAGGGTGAGTTCATGGCTGAGGCTGACATGGCGGATGAGGGATACAAAGAGAGTCTTGGCACTATCACTATCGATATGTTTCACCTGTTGAGCCATGCCATAGCATGGGCACACCACATGAGGATTAAGAACAACTGTGATATTTTGAAGGTATCCTCTTGCAATGAACTTCATATAACTTCATGCATCATCACATGATATGCTTGTGGAGGAGCATTCTCGGGTCGAATGTCATCTGGTTATATTAAATCAACAATATTAACATGTTGTATATACACTGCCCGCTAAGGACCCGCATCGCCGCTATCAAAGCGGAGTGTGCAAAACATGAAGGTTGGATCCGGTCACCAGGCTGAAATTTATATGAGGTGGTCAATCAGAACAAAGCTATCAAAGTATATGCTTTATTTTTGCTTCACTTGCTGAAACAATTTTGAAGTGGTTTCATCTTGAAAGAAATGAACCCAATCCCGGATGGCTTTGTATGATTCTTGCTCTTGTAATGCTGACCCCTCTAGCTAGACAGGACTGACACCCCCTGGATCCAGCCTCTCCAGCTCCTCTATATACCCGCAATGGCCCTGAGGAGAGACAAGTATGAGAAGCAGGTCAAGCTCTATTGGGTGGAGACGAAGCAGGGTGGCCGCAAGCTGTTTCTTGGGTGCATTTAACTGATAATACTGTTAATGCATATATTATATGTATATAACTATATGTTTGTACCACTTTTCCCATCATGAAAAACATCAAGTGTGTAACCTTTCTATAAACAAATCACGCATGCTTTTTGAAAGGAAACGTAAGCGACAAGTTCTTGAAGAAGAAGATGAAATTTCGGCGGATGAAATGGAAAAGTTGAAGAATGAGATGGAGGGGTTCCCTTCTGACTTTGTCTTGCCCAAAGACACGACGGGCACCTCTACTGCACATGACATGTATATGATGCATGGTCTATTTACCATCATACACCAATTTGCAACATGTGAGATCTGTGCATGTTCCCCCTAAGCTCAAGATTGAACACCCCCTGCAGATCCCGTGATCTTGGTGGAGGCTGATGGCAACGTGGATACTCAGAAAGCGCTTAAGGCGCTGAGTTTTCCTGTGATGGACGATGATGCATTGCCATCAAGCTATATCCAGAAGATCTTGGGTGCCCTTGCAAAGTGGAGGGTCAAAATGAATGGTATCATTGAGACCTTGGATAGCTTGGAAGAGAAACCTGACAATGCTCAACCGTTGCTCACATCAAATAGCTGACATGCTGTAGCATCAAGTTATCTTGTGATATCTTTTGTTTAGCAAAAACACTGCTAGGAGTGACCCAAAGTAGATGCAGTGGACCAAGGTTGGGAAGTCGAGCTGGTCAAATCGACAAAGCGCTGGTTGAGGTGGAGTCAAAGATCACTTCTACCAACACTCAGGGAATCATTGAAGGCTTCAAGCCAGAGCCCCTTGCTTTCAACACATATATTACTATAGTAATGTAATCACTAAATTAATCGGCTTGTGTCAACGACATTTTGTTTTCCCTGCCCGTCCATTGGCCCATCTTCCCTTCTCTGCTTGTCCCCAATTGCGCCTGAGGCAGCAGGATCAGTTGGAAGAGATGTTCAAAGAAGCGCGCAAGCAGTGCCCTGTCAGGGAATGCGGTGGATGGGGCAGTCCCTGTCGGAATGCATTTTTTGCATGCATCATGCATGTGTTATTGGTATGGATTGCGTTTATGTCATTGTGCATGCATGTGCGAAATTCACCCTTTTGTTTCTGGTGAACGGATGCAAAGTTCAAACATTCTGTCAACATAAACTACACTATAATTATGATTCATTACAATTGCATGGTAAGAGAGGCTCAAATACTTTAAGTCCTTGATCTAGGGTCCGACCATGAGACCCCCATGGCCCATATTTATAATTTATATTAATTTATATTACCATGTAACTTTTTGGAGTCAAGACCGGATAGTATCCTTACAGCTTCATCATAATCATACCTCATCTACAAAAATACATGCATGGTCTGACTTTGCCCTGGTCCCGTGCAATGGACGAATTCTTCTTGGACTTGTTGACCTACACCTGCCCATTCACTGGCAGAAAACGATGTGCCATCAGTGCGGAACTGGAAACGCCTATGGCGGTTAAGAAACCACTGTTGGTTGAAGAGGATGCTTGGTTGATCCAAAATAATTTTCTGTGGTGCTTCAAGTCCTACAAGACAACAGGATTTTTTGAATTATGGGTTTTCCTATTGTTTGTTTCTCTTCATCCAACTTCCCGTAGTTCAGTCCTTGAATTTTCCTTCGCTTGCTGCCTCATGTCAGGGGCCCATTGGAATCCAAAAAAAGATCATATTTAATGTGGGCTGGAAGCAACCATTGATCGTTATTCTGCCGACACCCCTGCATCGAAACACTTAAGGAAAGAAAGAGCACACCAGTGTCCAATGCTGTTGAATGTGGGCAACTGCAAGTGGATTGGGTCCAGTTGCTCCGGTTCAACATCCATAACAAAACTATGAAGATCCAACCGAAGTTGCCAACATCGGGGAAAATTCTTGCCCATTGCAAAAGAATGGTATATGCCTTCCGGGAATCCTTGGATGTGAAGCTTTGTGTTTTCAAGATTGGTGTTACGGCAGACCCAATGAACCGCTTCTCTGACTACATGACCAAAGCATTCACCGTGATGTGGGTCCTCTACATCAGTGATGATCTGGGCCTTACCCATATGTTGGAGGCAGCCTTGATTTCGGAGTTTCATACTTCCACTGGCTGCAGAAATGCGCCAGAAAGTGGGGGTGAAGGTGGGCTCAATAGGAAGAAGCATTTGGGACCACCTTTTTTTACGTACATCACCGGTGGCAGAGCCGACCAATTAAAAAGGGTTGGGTAGGTATAGATAATTCGCTGTTTGCACATTGAATTGGTGCCAGCTGCTAGCTGATGTATCAGTGCTATTCGTTTCTGATGCTGGCAGAAAAATATAGATCGACCTCCACCATTCCTTTCCACTTCCCATCTTGCCATGTTCAAAATTAGCCCTGGCCTTCCAGCCTTTGCATCAACTTAGGTGCGCCGAAGCTTTGAGCCTTGCAACCAGGGCACAGTGACTGGGACGGATCCAACATACATGTTACAGCTGTAAAGAAAATCAAGATGATAACACGACGAAACCTGTTCAATCAAATGATATTTGAACCTTCGCCAACCTTCAAGAAACAAGATTTGTTGAGAACCTTCAGCCTGTCAGCCAAGGCCATTCCTTCAGCACATCAAGTCCCAGGAGAGGAAAAGGATGAAAGATATGGAGAAAGAGGAAAACCCTCGGACACCCGCACCTGCCCGTGTGAAGGTGGAGCCAAAGGCTTCCAGTAGAAGATCCAGATGAGCGACCTTGGCATGTGACAATCATGCTCTAGAGCTCGAAAGCGAGCTGCATGCCATGTGGCATGCCCCAGGAAACATAAAATGGCATTGGACTGAAAATTTGTAATCTCGATTTCTATCATACCACTGGTTTGTTTATGTTTTGCACAGCTGAAGGCTCTCAATCTCTGAAGGGGTTCTGCCAACAAGGGTGACAAACATCCTTGTTTGGATCACGGCAATTTGGCCATTTGATCTGTGAGCGATGCGTGCGACTACACGGCATCACTGGGGTTCAGCAAAAGCGTATGTATCTGTGCATGCATACTCTTGTTTTTTTGACATATGGTGTTTGATGACTCCATGATTTGAATGTGCTAGACATACTGTAAATGGATGGTTTTCAGATATCAAGTATAACGAACCAATTTATTTTTCCTAGTGCGGACGGCCTACTTCAAGCCAGGTGAACGCAACGATGTCAACCAACACCGCCCGCTACTGGAACATCTAGTGGAAAAGGTTGCTGATGGAGTTTCTTGAATGCAAGCCCGGTGGACCAACTCACCCTGTGGGCCAATTTACCCATGCGTAGGCCTCCCAATCCTTCTGCTGAGGCTCCAGCTGTTTCTCTGGCGCAGCACACTGAAGCCTTGCGAGAGGAGCTGGATGATAGGGAAGTGTTCTCAAAACTGTCAACCAGTGGGCTTGGTTGCCAACCAAAAAATGCATCAAGGCAATACAAACGCACAGTGAAAAGATTTGGGTTATCCGTGACACTTGGTTCTTTGCAATGGCTGAACTTATTTATTTCAGGGACCACCCAACTGAAGATGGATTTCCTCATGTTGATCCAGCCCCTATATATACTCCGCGCATTGCTTGCCCTCATCTCAGGAACATTCCGACATCCTACCATCAGTATGAGGAGAATGGGACTGTGGTCAGACTTGCCTACTTGCGGCCCACTGATATCTTGAGATATTTGTTGACCAATGAGCCGTGGCTACTCTTGGGTGGATTGAAGCCAGGGAGAGAAGCACAGAAGCTATTGTCTACATTCTGGCAACTTTACCGGAATGAACATGGATCTCATGAAGTCTTTCAGATGGCAAGGGACAACAAGGTCCAATTAGATCACACCATACCAGTGTTCATTCATGGTGATGGAGGGCGCACACAGAAGAAGACCCCATTAGAGGTTGTGAGCATCAGGCCGGCACTTGGGATTGACACAGAGCAGGCCCCTTTGAAATGCACTTGCAATGAGTCGGTGGTGTACCATGGTGCCAACAAACAGGATGCAATGTCAATGCGGTTGAATCAGAAAAACAATTCATACTTGACTCACTTCCTGGTATTTGCTTTTCCCTCGAAGAAATTCAAAACCACTCCTGGCCTTCTCCAGTCTCTCTTAGAGGCTACATCTGTGGACCTCAAGACAGCTTGCTGCGATGGCATTTCGGTTGGGGACACTTTGTTCCATATAGCTGTGCTAGGCATGTCTGGAGATATGGAGTACCATGCCAAAACAGGTGTGCTCAACCGGTCGTACCAAAATGTTGGACACAAGAACTTCATTCCATGCTGCCATGAATGCAAGGCAGGGGAACTTGCATATCCTTTTGAGGAAGTATCAAGCAACCCCACATGGACTGAAACCTTATATGCCACTCCTCCTTGGAGGGTGCCTCCTCCATTCAAGCATATCCCATTTGAGGATTGGAACACGGGAGGTGCTGGAAGATTCTTCAAGAAAGACCCATTTCATATTTTTCGACTTGGCATAGCCAGAAACTTCATTGGTAGCACCATCGTGCTATTCTGTCTTGAAGGTGTTTTTGATTTTGATGATTCCGACAGTCTTGGGATCGATGCGCGTTTGGGAAGAGCTTGGAGCTCATTTGCCTTGTGGTGTGACACACACCATGTGACTCCTGGTGCAATCCGGTCATTTTCAAAGGAAAAAATGCATTTACCCACAATGGGATCGTTCCCTTGGTGTGGCGGGAAGGGGTCAGATTCCATTCTGTTACTAAAGTGGCTTCGCTTTTTGGCTGTGCTGCATGGCCGCGAGCATCCTGAGATGGCTATTTTTCGCTTAGTGCTCAAAGCGTGCGATGGTGGTTTAGCTTTCCAGTGCATACACGCACACGGAATGTGGCTGATGCCTACGTGCAGGACCAAAATTATTCGAGCAGCAAAAGATTTTGATCAGTCCTATGCGCGGTTGGCCTACATTGCCTTTACAAATCAAAGGCAACTCTATGCTATGGTTCCAAAACTCCACGCTTTGGATCACTTTCCTGTTCAGTTGGGTTTGCAGGAGTACGACGATTACTCACTTAACCCGGCAGTTTATGATTGCAGTATGAGTGAGGACTTCATTGGAAAAGTATCAAAACAATCGCGAAGGGTATCTTTTGTCAATGTGGTGGAAAACACCCTATTGGCATACAAAGTGAAAACAAAATTTGTCATCAAAAGATTCAAGAAGAAACGCTTTCAGTAACTTTGCTACCTGTTGCGTTGGGAAAAGAGTGATTTTAGAAAATTGTGCTGACTATCGCTGTGCCCATTAAATGAAACATTCCTTGCGCAACATGGCTTTCTTGCCCGCTGGGATCCTGACGGCTGGATCATTGAACCGGCACCCCATGGCCACCGGATAAAAAGTGATTGGCGAAGTGCGTCAAAGGTGATCAAGAAAAATGTTGGTCTATCAGCCATCAGCCAGTGACTGGGATCATTGGTCTATTCTATTCATTGAAGCTGATTCAATTTTTATCAACACTACTGTTTCAAACATTAAATGTGGTTCATTTCTTGGATGAATTCCTGGTGGAGCAATGCTGCAGCAACTTGGAGCACGAGCGTTGGAGGCTGAGAACCCCTTGAAACTGCCAAAACTAATGGGTTCCCCAAAGTGCTAGGTATGGAAATTTTGATTAGGTATGAAATTCATGTTTGGGTATTGAAATTTTCAGACTTAATGGTAAGTATGAAAATAATGCACAAGGGGAAGCTTCAGGTATATATACACATATGATGATATAATATGTATAATAGGGATTTGATCGGAAAATAATTGGAACATTAGAGTAAGTATATAGCTATATCATCAACTAAATGATATTTAGGTCTGTTTGAAAATGGTGCATACCACAAAAAAAAACAGCCTTATCAATTTTAGTAGGATTAATGGTGATTGCAAGGTTGATTTTGGATAGTCGATTTTCAGACAAATCCAGTAGGTGTTTTTTTGATTCAACATCACGTTGACATGCAATGGTGGTTGTATACATAAATAGTTTACAGAAGGGGTTTTTGGAGGCACAGCCAAGCAAGTGACGCCCTCAGGATGAGTTGTGGTGTAGTTTTTCAGTGGAGTAGTGCGGTTTGTGACATCAGGCAGGATGACAAAATGGATGCTGAGCGTGATCCTGTATCAAGCCAAGCCAAAAAGATGGATACAAAACCCCGAAGATCCCACCAGTGTTTCTCATCTCTTCTCTTGATGTGGATCTGAAGCCTTATTTATGTTGTTGCAAAATCATAGAAGTTTCAACCTGCAGGAGTCTTCATTCCCAGAATTCAAGGGAACATGTACAGGAAACACCTACAAGTCCCCAAAATGATAGCCTCACTTATAACTTGGTTAACGTTTGGTTTTGGGGATATCCGGAATACAACAAAAGTTGAGGGGGCTTATAAACTAACAAAGAAAATATTAGGGGGTCATTGGGTCATCACCTTGTCTAACGACTGAAAGCCCATGGCTTTCCGGTGATTTGTTTCCCAACAAGTCGTTCGGAGGACGACTACACACCGCCAACTCGCTCCTGGGACATCACTCCTTTGAATGAGGAGTGGTAACGGCGGAGAATGACAGAGGAGTTTGTAACCTGGGATTGGCCCAAGAACGAAGCTCCAATTTTGCAGGATTTGTACACTCCATTTCTCTTGAAACATGGAGATGATTTCTGATTGGGTTTACCATTTTCCATCGTGGTGTCTTTGTTGATAGTTTGAATTAAACCGTTATCTTAAAATTCAGGCTACCATTTTTGGCGGCAGTTGCGGGAATATCGCCCCTGGAAAAGGTGAAAACCCATAGATGTTCTTTCTATCTCCCTTAAATCACCTGATTGGTTGTGGTGATGAGTGATTTCATTCATATGTTTGTTCCAGATCCTAAATGAAATATGGATGAAATATCAACATTGTTGCATATCAGTGATCAAGATTTTAACCAACAAACCCCGAATCAGACTATGAAACGTCCTCTTCTGCATGTGTCTCAGGAGGTGCGCGCAACCTTGGCGGAGGTGAACCAGCGCAAGGTAGGGTTCATTCGAAAGATCTTTGGCGCGTGGAAATTGGGAACAATTGCAGAACTGTCTGAACATGGAGATGAGTATCACATGGGGATCTCCCGCAAAATAAAGCGATTTCATTTCGAGTATGATGAGATATGATGAGTAATTCATTAATTCATCACTAGCCTTGCAGTATATATCCCATATTTGGATGTTTGGACCAACCTTTGTGGATTTCAACTGATCTTTAGCAATGCAACATCGACCTCCAATATGTCCTTCCGTCCTCAGGTAGCTGGTTGGGTAACATTCCCTGATTTTTTTGTCAGGCTGACAACGCCGAAGGCACGTGGGCTAAGATTTCGAATCCAGGTTAAACAGCTTTGATTCGACAAAGTTTCATAGCATGTGTATCAATACCTGGGTGTATGAGTAGTTTCTGCAATTCAAAGTCTACCATCGTCGATGCAAGTTATATAAGTCTGTTAGTCATGATCGTTTTTAAATTTTGTAGCTTCAATACCCATATATTTATTCTCCAGTCGTATTTAGGTTTCCTCAGAAATGGGTATATAGCGGTCTATAGACCAATCGGCGACATGGCGAAATGATGATCCCCCTGGATTTTGATCACCAGGCGATGATGATCAGCTGCCAACAGTTTCTTGGGAGTTGACTCCAGACGTTCAAGAGACTTTGCAAAAGGCGCAACAGAGGCCCCAAAAGGGGAGGGGGGGAGGCGCAGTTTATGGCGAAGAAAATCCAATAAAGAATAATCCGCAAAAAAATTATGGAATCTCAATTGTATCATTGTCCTCTAGTCAATTCACCGGAAATGTTACAATGTTCAATTGACTGAGATCGTTCCAATTTGGCCTTTGAATATGTCTATCGCTTCTGGTCAAGATCATTAATTTCCATAGTTGAACGGTTTAGCATCCCTTTCTGGAAGTGGCCACAGTACAGATCCCAAAACTATTGTTTAATGCGCAGCAAGTGGCTTCTAATCCCGATGTGTTCCTGTGATCTCCTATATCATATGTCCCGGCTACCAATCTCCATACACTAATATGATTCAGCTGAATGTATATATATATATATATGGCCAGATATACATGTATACATATACATAGTGAATTATATGATAGTTTATACATTAATATACATATATCATATATATATATACCTCACGGATCCAGGAGCAAAGATCGCCCACGGAGGAAGTCCTTTACTTTGCTCCATGAGGATCGCCGTTGCGATGTCGAGGATGTCCACAGTCCTTAAACCGGTTTAAAGACATTTGTATGATAGAGGTAGAAAGGGGATATCATATGGAACTGTGTGATAATGTGTATATATATATACGCATGGATATGGTATATAGCCAACATTATGATTTGCTTTGGCTTGTTTGAAAATGATGGCAATCACCCCGGACTCTGGGGGTTATCCTAAATACGAGAAGCCCATGTTGCAGTTCACGTCAAGAATTGGGACTTGCCACAACTGAGGTAATCATAGTGATTTACATACAGCCATTCAAAATGTGGGTGAACATCGCTTTAGAAAGTGTGTCTTACCGGTGGATTAGTTTGACACAAATGGGCATACATGGCTCATTCAGATCTTCACCTTCATGTCATCATGTCCCCGCTGAAAATAATCTACCTTCTGGTAATCAAGCAGGTGCTATAGAACTATCTAACCTCATCAAGGACATTTCATATCAACATTATCAACCCCTATCTAATATCTGAGGTTTCAAATCTTCTACCCTCTGGTAAATTAACATAGACCCTGAAAATCACCAATTCTTAGTGGAAACTAATCTTCCAACCCCTATCTGGCAGGGTCTATGTTAATTTTCTGGAGGGTAATTTAAAGGCTTACGCCTGACAGCCGGGCGCCAAGCAATCTTGGCCCATGTTGGCGCTATGTTGGGCCTGACAGGATCCGGCTATTCAAGATGCCATGAAATTCATCAGCGCGAGTCAAGAGCTGAAGAAGGTCGCCCGGTGAAGGCGCGGTGGTTGTCGGGTTGGTGATTTGTGTATTTTTTGATGGGTGAATTCACTAATTGCATCTATTTTCGGAAATCCACTGCGAATTAGGTTTTTTGTTTGGGCCATCTAGCAAATCAACGGACAGTTGGTGGTTGATGGGTGAAGAGGAAACCAAATGTGGCACTGTGGATAAATGTGGATAATGTTTTTGGACCATCACATTTGAGGCCATGTTGATACTGGACAAAAAATGACAGGAGTCGATAATTTTCAGTCCTACCCCCATACATTTCATTTTGGATACTGAAATCCTCACGTTTGGTTCAATAATTTTCCCAAGCTGCAGGTGTTATCCCGGCGCTCCTCAAAGAGCGGGAGAGGCCGCGAGATCACTGGGTGAAGCGTGGTGACAACGGGTGGACTGGGTGAACCTCAGGTATCGTTCGACAATGTATAATCATCATTCATACAAATTCATACAAAATTTCATATTTTGTCATAAATTAGGATATGCATAATTATGTATACCTAGGGCCTCCTCAGACTTAAATTTCAGCCCGAGCTCAAAAAGGCTGTTTTTCTGCCCGAGTTCTTAAAATCCGCCGGAGTCCCAAAAATCTGCCTGAAGCCTTTTTGAGTGTGGTGTTTTAACTACGAGGCAGCTTCATTCAAGAAACATCAAGAGCATGCAGTTTGGGAAAATCCGCCTGAATAGTGGGAGAATCCGCCTGAATAGTGGGTAAATCCGCCCGACTATCGTCTTTCAAAATCAAAAAAACAATGGGAATAATCCTTGAGCCTGCCCTGGTTATAATGGCAAAATCTGACTGAATGGCAAAACCCGCCCGAGGTCTAATTTTCAGCCCGAGGATCTAAAAGGATCCTTTTAGGAAAAGGTTTTAATTTTAGCCCGAAAGGTGGTGCTAGGTATATACCTGCACCTTCCAAATCCTCAGAATTTTCTGTGAATTGCGTTCTTCAGGAGATTCATCGATTTCAGCGTTTCGTGGCATACTCACGGAAGTCTGGAAAATCAAATCTGCCACATTTCTGTGTGTCCAGATGGCCCATTTTCAGTAGATTCAGTAAACTTCAGCGTTTGTGTTTACTATCCATCGTTTGCGCATGTTTGCGCCCAAAACATAGTCAACTCCGAAGTCCACTGTTTTTTTTTGGACGCTTTCGCCATATTTATAGTCTCGTTCTTTCAAATATAAGGCCTAAGGGATTGTTCCCCAGGGTATGCAGGATTAGCCATGATACCATCTACATATATTCGAGACATTTGGGGGGCAGAAGCATCAAGTATCATTTGTCGACATTTGTCTCTACAAAGTTCCACAAGTCAACAGAACGAAAGAAAAGGACGTAAATTTATTATCATAGGAATTCTCCTGCCGCATGAGTAGCTGTTGAACAATAATTCTTCAACAAGGCACCAGGGTCCAGGGCTGCCTTGTTTTTTCCCATGCCAGTTGACCAACCGCTTTGCGTGGTGTGCTGACCTTGGCAGTCGCGAGCGATCGTTTGTGCCACCTGAGCACAAGGCACACACAATGTCACCCCGGGGTTAATAAACGCGAACCATTGCTGATAGTATTTCCTATTCTGGTAACTGTAAGATACTCTAGTTCTCTAGTAGCATATGATCTTTTCGGGAGTAATCCCCAATTAAGACTAATTAAGAAACAGCGTTTATTCATCTGGGGTTGACATTATCACACCTTCACGTTGTAGTTTGTTGAGTTAGTATCAGCCAATACTAAATCCGGTATCGAACTTCTCAGGGTAGCTATTGATTGATTGCAATCATAGGTTTTGAGTTGTTGTGCGATGTAACATCTCTCCATGTGCCTCGTTTAGATTTGTGCCTTTCCAAGGATGTTTGGCCAATGCGGGAAGAGACTGGTCCTCCAGCTGTCAAGTATCAACGATATCACCGGTAGTAATCACTTGCTGTCATGTTTCCTCAGCTTCTAACCTCCAAATCCGATGTTGTGTGCCTTCCCCAATTGTTTGAGATATCCACAAAATATGTTTTATGTATATATAAAATGTATATATCTAAATGCACATGTATATTATATATATAATTATATATATAAATATATATATATGATTATATATGTACCTGTTCTGTGGCATGTCTGAATTGTTCCCCACAGCGCTTGACACGGTTCTAGGTCCCTGGTAACTCAGGCACCAGGCATTCATCAGCCATCAGTGTTTTCCCGCGTCAGCAGAGAGTTTCAAGCTGGCAGCCTCCCATATTTGGCACTCGAAAATGTGGGTGCAAAACATCAAGAATTTCACTGCAGAGTCAGTGTGCTGTGTGTGAATCGCATCAAAGCTGTGCAATATGGGAAGATATGGGAGATGGTGATCATCGACATGTAACTCGAGGTTTTTTCAGCGCGGAAGTCCGTGATGTTTGTCTTAAAAGTCCCAATTCCTGTTGCTTTGAAAACAAAAAGTCATTCTGGAGATATTGTTGTTGTTACATGGTGTTACTTTTGTTTGAATCTTTTCATCAGATGCTGTGGGGCTGTGTCATCCTGGTATGGCACCCTAAGTTGCTTCAGTAGAGCTGTGTTCAAGCCACCAAATACCGTAGTAACGCCGTAGTCTTTCCCACATCCAAGACTCAAAGAAACCCCGTCAAAGTTTCGAAAGGTCCAAGAGAAAGTCAGTTGATGTCAGTTGTCTTCCTTGTCATTCTGCCGCACATTCAGTATGCAGATCACGACCTGTAAGTCACCTCTAAATCTCTCATTAAGAAGTAATTCACAAGTCCCCATCTGGAAGTAGTTTGATTGGGTGATCTCCGCTGATTATTTCAGACCGTCCGGGACAAATTCTGGGATCGTCCCCATGGTTCTCGTCTTGCACAGCCACCTGCCCCCAACGCCGGGCAGGGCAGCCAATCCATCCGTCGACCGCGGACGGATGGTTTGATGTGTGTAGTGAAGCAGAAAAAAAAAAACAACCTGCAGCAATCTGGGTTTAATTTTTGGTGGTGGTGGGGGGTTAATCAACTGGTGGGCGAAGCGAAATCTTCTGGAATTCTTATACATAGCTCAAGTTTCTACACTTTTGGTTTCTGTTTGCCAGCCTAGTTCTCAGTGTAAAACTGCGTCAACATCAACAAAGATTCAAGACCCGGGGTTATTCTCCTCCCAAAAGTGATCAGTTGGTATTCAACCAAGGTGCCCGCAAATTCAACCAAGGGGGTGTGAAATCCAGACCTGACATATCTTGACATGATGGAAGGCAAATGCCAGGAGGATCCGGGTTTGAAGAGTTAAATATCCAGGCTCCATGAGGTTCCTGTTGCTTTTCCTCTAGTCAACTTGTTCGCAATCTGAGATTAAACGTTGTGATTTAGGTCATGCTGTCCAGCAAATATGTCGGAATATGTTAAACATAAATGTTAGGACAAGTGTCAGACTGCACTATAGAGTATATATATAATTATATATTATATGTCAAAACCATGGTTGCAACGCCTGTAAGAGGCCGTGTCGGTGATGACATCAGACAATCACAGGATGAATGTGGAAATGTCCGAAACTGTAGTAATTTGCGAATGTTTATTGTTCTTCAGTAAATTTGCTGTTAAAATTCCATGGAAGGGTCGCCTCAAAATTGGAAAATCTAGTGTTTTGCCACAACGAAAGTGTAATTTTGTGTCCGGAGAGCTTCGTGGAAAAGTTCCTGTTTTGTTTCAAGCACAACGTGCAAGAGAACGTAAGAGAACGTCCAGCAGCGTAGCATGACGTATGTGTGGAAGTGCAGGAGAACGTACGATGTAGTTGAAGTTGAAAAGAACGCTATTACCCCACCCCACCCCACCCCACCCCCCCACACCAAAAAGATCAACACGCGCATGGCCTCTTACTGGTTGACCAGTGGTTGACACCAAAAACATATGTCAGAGTCATGTCAGAATGTGTCATGTGAGTGTGTGTGTGTGCAACAAATGCCTGGAGAAATGTCAACGTATATGCAAGAATAAATGTCAGGAAATATATGTATACTCTAAAATGATGATATATACTAAACATACATGTCAGAACAACTTTTATGTTTGAATGTGTCTTTCCCCAATGGGAATCGCATGTTGAAGTACCTCATTGAATTCCAGCCAAAGAAATGTTCCCAAAGTGTCAGAAATGAGGCTTAGAAGAACGCTTGCAGCGATTAGAGAAGGAGGCTCCCTCCAGATGGGCGAGCTAGGCGAAACGGCTGGATCAGGCAATGTTGATACAAGCTATGTATCAAGTTATTGTATGTATTAACCACACCCAAAATGTCAGGTTTGGGAATCGCTATACCACTGTGCTGTCATTTTGTCCAGATGAAGACTTGGGAAGTGCTTAAGAACGTGGCTTACACCATGGCTATACCAGGATCAACCACGATCTGCGGCTTAACAACCAGTGAGCAGCGTAGCAGCGATCGTCCAGGTGTCACCTGGAGAGGGTTCACCAGGCCCATCAAGGGAGGGGTTCACTGGCTGAAGGGATTGGTTGATGTTGGGAAACCTTGGTGATGATGATAAATAGACGATAATAGACTGAATGACATTTATAACTTAGTTGATGGTCAATCATCCCTAATATAGTTGACACTACAACAACGACTTGAGTAAACACATATAAACGCCTTTTGAAGTGTCCAGACTGTGGACAGAGAATCACTAGCAAATCCATCCAAACAGCATCAAAACAACGTTTGAATTAGGAACAGACGATGCTGTTCAACATCCAAAAGCTTCTCAATAGCAGCATGTTTTAGGTGAACATGTATACAGATCTTCGATACATTGAAACTTGTGCCCATGCTCCCTAACCCGAACCTGCCAACAACTCTGAAAGACTTGCACCCTCGTAGGATAAGGGAGTCAATAACAGTACTAGGTTCAATATTGAAAACCAATTTCAAACATATATGATTGATTTACAAACTGCTCTATGCATAATTTTGGTATACACTTGTATATTGTTTGATTCTGGAACATGTGTTATCATCATCTGAACAGGGTGATATATACTGAAAAGCAACTGGCAAAGCCACCCTACAACGGTCAAAAAACAAATGATCTAAGCAAAAATCCAATCACCAACAATAATAAGTACCCCAGGAGCAATTGCCCACATTTATTGAAAAAACTGAAATAACACCAACATATACACCAAACAACACCCCACAGGAAAAAAACCTGAACCCGAATGCATTTTTTTTAAAGCTCACGTACAAGAAGGGTTCCTACAGAACAATGAAAAGCGAACAGGAGATGCTCGATCGCATTAAAAGCCACTCTTGCAGAACACTCTTGCTTGACACTCCTCGGACAATCATGTGGGACACTCTTTTGTGACACTCTTGTGGCATACTCTTGTGGGGTACTCTTGTGGGACACTTTGATGGGACACTCTTGTGAGACACTCTTGCCTGACACTCTTGCTCGACACTCTTGTGGCACACTCTGGTAAAACACTCTCTCTCTCTCAACACTCTGGAACACTCTTGTAAGACACTCCTGTTGGACACTCTTACTTGACACATCTGGAATACCTCGCCGTACTACTTTGTACTACAAAGCATCCACACAGTACCTCACAGTACTACTTTATACTGCAAATCCTGCACAGAGTAATTCCCAGTACTGCTTTGTACTACAAATCTTGCACAAGGCACTTCCCAGTACTACTTTGTACTACAAAGCTTGCACAAGGCACTTCCCAGTATTACTTCGCACTCCAGACTCCACACTCCACACTTGACTCCACACATCACACTCCACAGTCCACACTTCCCACTCCACGCTTCACACTCCACATTCCACACTCACTTCACACTCAACACTCAACACTCCACGCTCCACGCTCCACACTTCACACTCCACACTCCACACTTCACACTCTCCACTCCACACTCTCCACTTCACATTCCACACTCCACACTCCACACTTCACACTCTCCACTCCACACTCCCCACTTCACATGTCACACTCCACACTTCACACGTCACACTTCACACGTCACACTCCACACTTCACACCCTACACTTCACACTTCACACTTCACAGTCCACACTTCACAGTCCACACTTCACACTCCACGCTCCGCACTCCACACGCTCCACACTCCACACACTCCACCCTTCACACTTCACACTTCACACTTCACACTTCACACGTCACACTCCACACTCAACACTCCACGCTCCACACTCCACACCTCACACTCCACACTCCACACTTCACATTCCACACTTCGCACTCTCCACTCCACACTTCACACTCCGCACTCCACTTCACACTTCACCCTCCACACTCCACACTTCACCCTCCACACTCCACACTTCACACGTCAAACTCTTCACTTCATACTTCACACCTCACACTTCTCCACACTTCACACACCACTCTTCACACTCCATACTTCACACTTGACACTTCACAATGCACTTTCACACGTCACAACACATCATCTTTTCTCACTTTCCCCATAGACAGCGGCGACGTAAACATTAGAGACTCACGAAGCAACTTTCGCTTGAGTGCCACAAAGTCCCACGCTCGCCACGCGAAATGTACTTTTACACAACACATCACCTTTTCTCACTTTCCCCATAGACAGTGCGACGACGCGATTAGAGCCCCGCGACACGAAAACGACCCACAAACAGTCCACCACCCCCAGATTCCCAAGAAAGAAAACAAGAACCCTTCGCTACGCATTCGGGACAAACCATCAAAATCAAGGAAGGAAGAGTCATTGAACACCAACATAAAAACCACATCTGCTGAACGACTCACGTTTACTCCACCAACTATCTACACCTTTAACTTTTAAAAAGACTTTCCGTCGTACCTGGGGACCTTGATGCCATTGGACCAGAGGCGACGGTAGCCAGCTGCAAAAACGCCTACAGCACTTGGAGGATGAGGTCCTACATGGGGTTGCACGGCAATGGGAGATGAGGCCCTATGTTTTGATGGGGAAAATTACCATGAACCAATTTATTTTAGGGGTATATCAGATGTGTATTTAAAAATATATATATATGTATCATATTTCTGGACAACATCTCTATTGGTTCATAAACAAGGGGAAATGAACTATACAAAAAAATGGGGATATAATCCAGAAAATTGGGTATGTGTTTGACCAACTGATTTGGGTTTGATCGGAATCATCCATTTCGGGAGTTCCGCAATCTAACCTGTGGAAGGGGATGACAGACTATGAGAGAAGGTTCAAAACCTTTGGACACTGAATTTGTACCTGAAACCTTGTGACTCGGTAAAACTGCACGAATGACTGGCAAATAGATAAGTCTTCGGAGTCTTTGGCCATAGATTGATGCATGTTATCCTGGAAACAATGCGTTGAATCTCTTTTTAGGCCATTGTGACCATGACCTCATTGTTGCTGATCCCTGAAAATGTAGATGTTTCCCAAAGCAGTCAGAGACCTTCACAAACATTCAATGCACAACAAATGTATATATATAAAATGTATGGTAATTCTCAAGTTTCTATTCTGCAATTCATGTCATTGTAAAATGGAGATCCCAGCCACGGTCGCCAGGTGCAGATTGGGATGCAGCCCTTGAAACGTCACCAGGTGTCTTTGCAAGTCCTCGAAGAGACCAGCATGAAGGTGGAGAAACTGCACCTGGGCTGCCATGAAGTCATGAAGTTTCACCAAGCCTCCCAAGGCCTCGGGTTGGAATTGCCAAAGAGTTGGTTTATCCATGTTTATCCATGTTTTCATAGTTCATCATGGAGCTGGTTTATGGTTATTGCAACAAAAGTTAGATGGGGTTGATGCCCTTCTGGATGTTTCACCAGGGGTTTGAAGCCAAACTTATGGGTGTGTTTTTCTGGGGGTTGAATGGGTGATTCTAATATATTCTAATGGGATATGTGATGTCCATTCATGTTTGGGTGGATAGGGCCTATCCGCCTATCACCTTTCCAGAGGCTTGGTGCAACTGGGATCAACATGGATCAACGCCAAATGGGCTGGCTCTGATTTTCACCATGCCACATACATTCAGGATCTGGGTAGTATGTTGGGAAGCTAATCGTCTCAACAGGGTTCTCACCACTAAAACACTGATATGACATGATATATACAATAATAATATGACTAGCAACTTGGGATTGGTCAAGTCATTGGTGTAATCAATTAAACCAACTAAGATGTCATGTTCTCCGGTAAAACATGTGTTTCTTGGGGTGCTTTCGGCCCATGCCCATGAGAATGGGACAGGATGAACATGCTCTACGAAGCGACCGAGCTTTCTCAATGGTTCTGAACCGGTGCAACAATCAGGATATGACCCAGAAATCATCTATGCACAAGAACGTCTGAAAAAAAATGTGACACTCTATGACGCTACAATTTTTCACATAGAAAGTTCTGCATCGAACTTCCGGGGGTTTAACAATGGTTAACAATTAACATGTATTTTTTTCTACATCGAACTTCCATTTCTGCCCCTGGCTCTGCCGAGGCAGGAAACCTTGAAGCTTCTGCCCTTGGACCTTGCCCTGCAACGCTCCGAGGATGCCTTCAAGGCTTTGGAGGCGGCCAGATTGACCAGTGGTGAGCTCCAGGTGTTTTTGTCATATTTATGGCAGTCATTATCATTATCATATCATTATCATTACCCTCTGGTGAACTAACATAGCAATGGAAAATGGCCATTTATAGTGGATTTTCCCATGAAAAATGATGATTTTCCATTGCTATGTTAGTTCACCAGAGGGTATCTTAATATTTATAGGTATTTATAACTGTTTATATCTGTATGGAACATGTTTATGTCGATACTGATTATGATCATGATTTTGATAATACAAAAAAAAAATATAGCAACCCAAACAAAACGATGCCGAAAATACGTTGGAAACCCGGATATGAATTACCTCCCATAGACATCATAGACCTTCACAGGGTAAATTCTGGTCCATTGGTGAGCTGGGTCATTGCTTTATCGAAGATCTAAGAAAACATATGACCTCCCATGATCTCCCACTAGAACTATATTGTTTCTACAGAAATGTCTATATGTTTCGCCATAGTGCAGCCATACGCGTTGAGCAGGATGTTGCCCACAGATCCACGGGGCAGATGTCGTTGCTGGATGGCTATAAGGTGCAGGGTGGATGTTTCAACCCCCCAAAAGATGCTGAAAAGAAAAGGTTCGATTTACCTTGCTACTGTTAATTAACCTGTGTTAAAGGTTGACATTACTCTCTCAAGAGGAGCCCGGCTTTCTTCAGATTCCATCTCTACCTTGGATTATCATCCTCAAACGGCTGAGACGTTTCACGAGGGTTGAACCAGCTGTAGCTATTATAATTGTTGCTGATGTTTCCCACCAAACATGTAGAGATAAGTTGCAATGTCCATCACTTGCATCCCTGTATTTTCCCAAGGTTTTTTGCTGATATGTCATATTATGTCCATACCAGTATCATATGTCTATTTGTATGTGGGTATCTGAATATATATATATGTTAATATGTATACACATATTATTAATGATTGCTATATAATTATATATATACATACATCAACGACATAGTTTTCTTCGCCTTTCACCCCCAAAGATTTCCTCCAGATATCCTCCATCAGCCCCTTCCAGGTTCAAAGCAGCCTGGATCAACTGTATAGCGCCATGGAAGCACTCGTCCGTCAGCGCTCCGCGGATGTGCAGTTGGTGAACAGCTACCTGGGACGCTGGGAGCGAAACATCTGGAGTCGTTTCGGAAAAAAAACTATCTTTGAGATGTTGTTCTTTTGGTTGGGACGTTTTCTTGTATGGTTTTGGGCGTTTATCTTTTTCCCGAATGCGTAGCAAGGGTTCCCGTTTCACTCTGGGGGTCTGGGGGTTGAGGGTGTGTTCGCTCGAAGTTGCGTTTGTGGTCGCAACCGTCCGCAACTGTTCGCGCGATCCCCGTATGGCCGTGCCTATGGGAAGTTTTGCAGAGGTGGTCCTTTTTGGAGGTTTCAGACGTGTCGTTGCTTCGTTTCGCGTGGCAGGCGTGGCACTTCGTGACATTCAGACGTGTTCTGGAACGTGTCGAAAGTCGTTTTGCGTGGCAGGCGCAATACTTTTGTTACGTTTTCACAAGATGTGTTGCAGTTTTCGTGGCAGGCGCAGCACTTTGGACGTGTCCATCGTCATTCTTCGTGGCAGGCGCAGCACTTTAGACGTGTCGTGTTGCGTGTTTTTTGTAAATCGCATTGGCAGGGTTGCGTCAAGTGGCGACAAGGTGCAAATTCCGTGGCAGGCGTGGCATTTTGTGACATGTGCTGAAAATTGACGGAAGACGGAAGCCTCGCACGAAACATCGATTTTGAGGTTGCAAATTTTCAGGTTCTAAGGAAAACTCGGAGGAAAACGTCGATTTTGAAGGTGCAAAGTGTCAAAATTGGAGGAAGTCTCGTACGAAATGCTCGTTTTGGTGCTCCCACGTGTCTCGTCTCGAGTCTCTGGTTTTCCCTTGGCTTCGCCGTGTCTATGGGGGAAGCTGCAAAACCTGTCCTTTTGTTCTGTTGCCAACTGTGAAAATCGCCGGAAGTCTCGCGCGAAATGCTGGTTTTTCTGCATCCACGTGTCTTGTCTCGAGTCGCTGGTTTTCCTGTGGCGTCGCTCGCCGTGTCTATGGGGGAAGCTGGAAAACATGTCCTTTTCGAATGTTTCCAAGCAGGTTGTCATGTCGTTTTGCGTGGCAGGCGTGGCACTTTGTGACATTCCAACCTGTTTGATACCGTGTGGAAAATATCAAATTTGGAGGAAGTCTCGCACGAAATGCTCGTTTTTTTGCACCTACGTGTCTCGTCTCGAGTCTCTGGTTTTCCTGTGGCGTCGCCGTGTCTATGGGGGAAGCTCCGCACTCCACACTCTACACTTTACACTCCACACTTTACACTTTGCACTTTACACTCCTCACTCCTCACCTGAGACTTTACGCTCCACACTCCACACTTTACACTACACTCTACACTTTCCACTCCTCACTCCTCGCTCTACACCTTACACTCCACACTCCACACTCTACACTTTACACTCCACACTCCACACTTTACACTACACACTCCTTACTTTACACTCCACACTTCACACTCCACACTTTCCACTCCACACTCCACACTCCACACTTTACACTCCTCACTCCACACTTTGCACTCCTCACTCTACACTTTACACTCGTCACTTTACACTCTACACTGCACACTCTACACTTTACACTCTACACTTCACACTCTACACTCCACACTCTACACTTTACACTCTACACTCCACACTTTACATTTTACACTCCACACTCTACACACCACACTCTACACTTTCCACTCCACATTTCGCACTCCACACTCCACACTCCACACTCCACACTTTACACTTTACACTCCTCACTCCACACTCTACACTCCACACTCCCCACTTTACACACCACACTCCACACTCTACACTTTCCACCCCACACTCCGCACTCCACACTCCACACTTTACTGTGCACTCCACACTCCACACTTTATACTTTACACTCCTCACTCCACACTCCACACTTTGCACTCCTCACTTTACACTCCACACTCCACACTCTACACTTTCCACTCCAGACTCCACACTCTACACTTTACGCTCCACACTCCACACTCACTCCACACTTTACACTCCACACACACTCCACACTTTACACTCCACACTTTACACTCCTCACTCCACACTCCACACTTTACACTCCACACTCCACACTTTACACTCCACACTTCACACTCCACACTCCACACTTCCACTACTCCACACTCCACACTTTATACTCCACACTCCACACTTCACACACTTTACACTCACACACTTTTTACACTCCACACTTTACACTCCACACTTTACACACACTCTACGCTTTACACTCTACACTATACACTCTACACTCCACACTTTACACTTTACACTCCACGCTTTCCACTTTACACTCCTCACTCCACACTTTACACTCCACACTTTACACTCCACACTTTACACTCCATACTCCACACTCTACACTTTATACTCCGCATTCTACACTTTACACACTCTACACTCCCCACTCCACACTTTACACTCCACACTCCTTACTTCACACTCCACACTCCACACTCTACACTTTCCACCCCACACTGCGGACTGGTAACAAGGGAAACATGTACAAGACTGTTCAAATATAAACTATTGCAGAAAGGTATTGTGCGTGATTGCATAACCATGTGCTTTGACATCTGTAACATTAACATACGTGTGAGCATTCGGGTTCGTGGGCTTCATCTTGTTTTTCAGTATGTAGATATGTAGTAGGTATTATTGTAATAGGTAATAGTATGTTTCTTTGTTTTTCATTGCTGGCAGCCATCTGACATGGTTTGGGAAGGAACGTCAACATTTTGTTGAACGGTTGTTGAACATATAGTTGAACGGTTGTTTGTTTTGATGACCTTTGCATTCCGTCATCATATGGAAGTTTGAAGAGACAACTTGTTATTTGAAAATGACATCATGGAGTACTACTGTGCTTTCCTGAGGTGCAATCATGCCTTTAATTCATGGCCAAACTAACTCAAGATGTAAAATGACAGACTGTAATGGCACAGATTTTGTTAGTTGAATTTGCCAAGCCCCTCAGGCAGATAGAACCTCTTTTTTGGATGGCCGGGCTGGGGTTTCTGGCATACCTCAGGATTGTTTACTATCCATGAAGATCCCCATTTCTTGATGGTTGGCTTTCCATGTCATCGAGCTATGATGGGGTGAATCATCGCCAAGGAGAGGTCTATCAGCGCATCGAGCGCGATCTTCCCTCTGACAAGGGTCAAGGTGGGGCCCGGAATTTCTTCCATGACAAGGTCGTGGAAAAAGGTTGTGTTCAGGATCGTACATGTTGCACATGAATTGCATCACTTCATGCTTTCGCAATGATGAAAACAAAACTGTAATCAAGAGAATCCAATAGAACAGTAAGATCAAAGTGAACAGTGTTTATTGCGTCAATCAACATTTAATATAGCCACATCACAGACCTAAAACGCAAGAATATCTCTCATTGCTCATTATCATCAATGTCATAATTTCACTTTCAGCAATACAATTATCATCAATATGCTCTCTGGTTATTTAACAAGCCATGGAAAATGGCCCATTTAAATGGCCCATTTATAGATGGTTTACCTATTAAAAAATTGTGATTTTCCATGGCTGTGTTAAATAATCAGATGGTATATACAATTATTGATGAATAATTCTGGCACTTCTGCTCCAAACTTCTTGATCGAATCGACCTCGCAATCCTTTGTTGTGCCATTTGTCAAAGGCATTATTCAGAGCTTGGAGCAGCTGCAGTGCCACGGCCCAGAAGGGGTGGATTGGGCAATGAGGACACCATGGGGCTACAATTATGGGATATATATATATAAATCCGCCCGCACCGAAGGTGCTGGGGCGTGATCGTCCGGATGGCACTCGTAAAAGGTTACAGGTTTACCTGGGGGGGGGGGCATTTTTCGGCCAAAACCTCCTGTTTTTGATAGGTCGTGACGCTCGCCTTCAAAAAACACTGTAAAAAACAGTACGGAAGACACCTGTTCGTGAACGCGCCCGTCCAAAATCGGCAAGCGAAAAGTGAAAAAAACCGTGTTTTTCAACTTTTTGACCTCAATTTTTTGGTTTGCAACATCTTTTTTTGTGGTTCCGCAGGTGGCCGGGCCCGGAGGCGGATTTTTGAGTTTTTGGACCCGTTTTCGGACTGATTTTCGTCGTTTTGTGATAGCAGAAACACTGGTTTTTACAGTGTTTTTCTGTTTTCTGCATGCTTGACGGCTAGCTTCAAAACTTCCAAAAACCTCGTAAATTACGCTGTTTTATGTTACGGTGTGAATGAAAACATCGTAAATACCAGTGTTTTTTGACGTTGGTTAAAAAAACACTGTAAATTACAGTGTTTTTGGCCACCTGACCCTCAAAAACCATGGTATTTGCAGTGGTTTCTGCTTCTCACCGCGCAAAAACATTGTAAATAACAGCAATTTCGCCGTTTTTTCATGTTTTTCGTTATTTTTTGAACTGCGTTGGTCCGCTATACATGGCTATCAAATTCTTCGCGTTTTTTTTCCCGACAATCAGTACTTTCGGATGTTTTTGGTTTCAATGGCCGACATCATTGGCAGTTACGAGCGGTCGCGAAGGTGCGGTGCGGGCGGTTGCCGTCGCGAAGCGACGTGAATATTATATTATTCATGTCCTCAACTTAGTAACGTAGTAACATAGTAACTTGTATGAATGACGTAGTAACGTAGTTCCGCAAGTGACGTGGTACCTTGTGCATGGGAATTTTGATTCAATGACGATGGTCAGAGCATCAAATATAGGGGTACCCAATTTTCAGTCAATCCAGTATTTCCTGCGTTTGAAACGAGGTGCTCTTTGTCAATAGTTTCACGTTCATGTTCCATGATGTGTTTTCACACACTCATGTCCTTTGTTACTTCCATTCACGTCATGATACTTTGATACTATTTAGGAGAGTCTGAAAGTCCCCTAGAAATTCAATAATTTCATACAGAATCTCAAAAAAAAGCGCTGAAAATGCTACCAGCAGAAATTTGCACTCCTTCTGGCCAGCATGTTTGGTTGCTGTAAAGCTTCCGCTTCCTGGCGACCCAGGAATCAGCACCAGCTTCTCAAAGCCGAGTGTCGGGCTCTGACGGATGTCAGGTGCACCTGGCTACATCACATCACCTCACATCACTGGAATATATATATACATATATGGGCCTGTCTTTTTTTGATGCGTGCAGTTTTTAGTAAAGGCAGGAAGTTCGATTTGCGCGAATCATACCCCCGAATCATACCCCGAATCATACCCCCGAATCATACCCCCGAAATCTGCGAATCATACCCCTAAAAAATCAGGATTATGAATGTTTTTTTTTGGGATCGTTTGGGATTGCATTGGCCTCACTAGTTATAATGGACCTGACAAGCTAATTGACCAGTGTTGGCGAATCTTCTCCACGCGCACAGAGTCTCATCATTATCCCTAAGCTGGCTGGCTCTGGGTGGCGGCTGGCTGGCTGGCTGGCAACCAAACCAAAACTCCGTCGAAGAGGAACATAAGCCTAAGCGTAGCTGAGCTAAAGGTACATGAGAAGAACATCCAGAAGAGACGCCGGCAGGCCGGCGGATATAAATCATAGATGTGCATTGAGATCTTCACATTCTTCATACTCAGGTCCTGTCCAAGGTCGTCTGGCAGGTCGAGCCATTGCAGCCATTGACAAAGTAGCAATCGTAGTAGGTTGACGGTGGGAAAAAGAGACTCAAGCAACAAAGCTTCCTGAATTCAAAAAAAGATGGGTTTCCGAATCATACCCCGAATCATGCCCGAATCATACCCGAATCATACCTCAAACTTCCCAATTCTGAACCTTGGTACATTTGCAAGATCAGAACTTGTGTTTTGTGAGCTCTTTTCTTTGCAACCATTCGCCACGGGTCCTGCTGCTTCTGAGAAAAATCCGACAACAGCACCCTGCAGCGCGCAGCAGCACCCTTCACTAGCACCCTTGCATCACGAGTTGGGTACAGTACGTACCCTCCTTGCAGCACCCTGAAGCATCACCCCTTGCAGCAGCACCATGAGACCCATACACTCCATGTATGATATAAATGGCATTAATTAGCAACATTCGGACGATTTTGGGAGTAAGTATAGGTACATAAAGGGCCACGAATCATACCCACGAATCATACCCACGAATCATACCCCGAATCATACCCGCGAATCATACCCCCTAGTCAAACTTCCCGGGTTGGACACGGTATTTTGAGACGTCCCCATATATATATAACATACATATATAACATACATATATGACTTCTATGATATATGTATATATAACTTATATAACTGATATAATATATGTATATACATATACCCAGCAAATCTTCCGAAGTTCTTATTGAGCCGTTTCCATTTCGCTGGTGACAGGATTCCAGAGCTCGAGGCCAAACTGAGCCATGAGGCGCCCTTGGCGCAAGGGATTTTTTTTGCGGTTAGATATGGAAAAACCCTCTGGTAATGACTAACCTAGCTATTGAAAATCACCATATTTAATGGTTATATCAAGTTATATCATATATAAATGACCATTTTCCCATAGCTATGTTAGTTTACCAGAGGGTAGTACAAGGGAATATGGTCAAACTCTTTAAGTTGGTGATTTTTCAAGATGTTTGACCTATGAAAGATTGGTGACAGAAGTGGCAACGAGATGGTGTACCCCACACTTGTGACTAATTAAGCAGGATCTTGAGTTCGCCATTATCTAGGCACAAAAAACTCACCACATCATCATCATCATCATCATCATCAGCAGCAGCAGCAGGGGCAGTAGCAGCATCATCCTCATCCAAACCATCTCAATCCTCATCCTCACCCACCACCACCATCATCACTTGTCCTGAACGATATTCACCGTGGTTGAATGTGTTCGAATATGTTCGTATATATGTTTATTTGCTGATATCAATATCCCCCATGCTCTCAGTTCAATGGTTAATATCCCTGTTCAAAACATGGTGTATGTACAGTAAGGTTTCAAGTGTGTCCATGTCAATCTGAAAGAGCCACATGATTATAAACAATGATATTTTGTGGTACTCTCTTCCAGGCAGACCTAAATACCCATCAGAAACATCCAGACCATCAGGATGCGTTCCCTCTTACGCGGAAATTAAGCTTGGATAACATCAGATTTGCCACCAGGAGATCACGACTAGAGTCCATCGTTCGGAATATTAATGATTGGATTGGTTTAAGGGAAATTTTACAGGAAACCATAGATTTTCCCATTAAATATGGGGCGTTCCTGTAAATTTTCCCTTAAACCAATCCATTGAATTAAGGTTCATTTTTGGTACCCCACTTTTGACCCGCAGCCGCCACCCGCATATGGTTGCTGTAGTACATCCCATCCACTCGTGAAATATTTCCCTAGGAATCCCCATATATTATAGTAGTTGTTGTTCAATAGCCCAACTGCCATGTGTTGGCCAACCAAAATTGTTGGACATATCTTTTTTTCATTAGCCAAGTACAGAAAATCACATTAGATCCCCACAAAATGGTTGGCGATGATACCTCCAAAAGTCACATTATCAGGAGGTATACCGTAATTTTAATGGGCCGACCATATTGAATCATACCTGTTTTGTTTTCTATATGTCTATCTGAGTTTATCTCCTCATCCCTTCATTCTTTGTTGGCCATTTCCACATCTTGCTTCATCATGATCATCATCCCCGTTATAGTATACCCATTGTGGTCGGCAAACATCCCCATTTCCCCCATTATACTGTGTCTCTATATACTTCTACATGTTGAGATTATTATATATATATATGTGTGTACGTATGTATGTCTGTCTGTCTGTATGTATGTATGAATGTATGTATGTAATGTAATGTAATGTAATGTAATGTAATGTATTGTAATGCATGCATGCATGCATGTATGTATACATGATACAATTATCTAAGCAACATGACCCATGTTTTTGTCGCAAATCCCATCATGATCCGATTACATCCCCATATGTCTTCCATTACAAGGTGGGTCCCCCATTTATTTATTTACTGGTTTATAAGCTCCATGAACTATAGTAATTATTGCCATATACCAAAGTTGTTGGAGTTCTAAACCCACCAACTTAGCCAACTCAATCCCAAACCGATAAAATGACCATATGCGTGTTGGTTTTACATATACCTACAGTATCCTATAGCATCCCACAGCAATGTCGTAAAGCGGGGGTGTTTCCCTTGGCCCAAGGCCTCTGCAGCGGCAGTGCTGGCGCAGGGGAACCGGCAGCAGATCATCAAACTGGAAGTGGCCACACAGGTCGCCGCGGCGCCGGCGCTGGGCAGTGGGAAGTTGCCTCGGTTTTTTCTTCGGAAAAAAGCTGGGAAAAGGGTGGGAAATCAGAGAAAGATGTTCCAAGAAAAGGGAGCGGATCTTGCATTGTTGGGGGTTGGAGAATGATGTTCGATGTTTCTGAGAAGCTCTGAGAAGGGAGCTTTTTCATCCGAAATTCATGGTCAGACCGTTGGTGGGGAGTTGGCTGATTCACCAACGGATGTGAACGGTATAGGAACCGATGTTTGGGTCAAACCCCCGACCTAAAGGAATGGCGCTGTGAGAGTGTGAGTATATAGGTCTCAAAATGATCAGAGCCCCCTCCAAAAATATGGCTTACCTAATGCTGAACATTAGAACTTTTGCAGGTCCATGCGCGCCCCGGCTTTTCGTCATGTGAGCCACTTCAAAATGGCCGTTTGAAAGGCTTGTTGGCCACCATCAACTAGTGCTTGTTGGACCCCATCTTTTGGGTGGGTGTACCCTTGATTTCAATGATGCTGGTGAATGGTGGAGATACCATCAGTTGTGTGATTAACAGTTATGGATGTACCGATGAATTGATTTAATGGTTGACGCTGATGCCATGGACTTGGATCAAACATCTTTACACCACATTGGGGTATGAACACCCACAAATCCCATCTATTTTGGGTTCACCAGCGTACCAGCCTTTTGAACCCTTTTCACCCATCCCGATATGTCCTTCAAGGGTTAGAATATGGGTTTGTTTGAAAAAATGTACCCCCAAATCTATTGGTTGATTATGATATTCCTTGTGAAAATGGCCATACATGGGTGGTAAATCCCCATGTTCAGGCATGTCCAACCATATTCTTGTTGTCCCATAAATCTATAACTCTGCCCTCATGATGCTCCCATCATAACCACATGCAAGCCATGGTGTCCACACCCATATAGCATTCTCTATGTTTCCCTTGCTTCGACAACGCATCTGTGATGCAGGAGGCTGTGAACCAGCTGACGGCCACACAGGCGCGACTTCCTGCGTGACTTGCTTGCAGATGTTCCATCGATCCAAGTCCTGGAAAATTTGGCCCCAAAATGCGGAGCATCAAAGCCAATGGCCCCAAAATCTGCGTAGATTTAAATATGCAATTTAATCAAGGATACTGTAGGATACTGTTTGCTGTACCTCTATTAGGCCCCAAAACCCTGTGCAAAATTTGAATCTGTGCCATGTTTTTACTTCACCCACATGTTTGCAGCTTAAAATCCGCATGTTTATCGGTTAAACCATGTCAAACCCAATCATCCCAATCTTCCTTGATAAAACAGCATTCAAAAACATCATAAAGTCATGAATAGTCATGATGTCTTCCCATCAAAACATTGTAAAAACATGTAAAAACCAACATGGTTCATCATGTTTTCCCATATAACAACAATTTTCCTATGAAAAACAACAATTTCCCATGGAAAACAACCATTTTCATATGACAAACAACAATTTTCCCATGAAAAAGAACAATTTTCCCATGAAAAACCACAATGTTCCCATGAAAAAGAACAATTTTCCCATGAAAAAGAACAATTTCCATATATTTCCATCCCTTATTTTGGCACCGACTCTCCTATCTCAACGGCTCCGTTGCGCGTAGCGCCCAGGCTGCAGGACGCCACGGAGCGGCGCGCCGTGCAGGACGGCCGCCGCGAGGCCTTGGTGGCCGAGCTGCGGAAGGCCGGGCCGGGCGGTGGCCGGGCCGGGCGGTGGCCGGGCGGTGGCCGGTTGCGGAGGTGAAAAATGGCCAGTGGCCCAATGAAATATATTAATAGTATATTAACATGGTATAATTCACTGGGCATCTAATACCATTATACTATTAATATACCATTAACCATGTTAATATATACTATTAATAGTATAATAGTATATTAATAGTATATATTAACATGGTTAATGGTATTAGAATGGTATTTAATAGACAGTACAGTCATGATGAAATCCATTTCATGATACCCTCTGGTAAGTTAAGATAGCTATGGAAAATCCATTATAAATGGAGGGTTTTATTGGGAAAATCATCTGTAAATGGTCCATTTTCCATAGCTATGTTAAATTACCAGAGGGTAATGGTGCGACCTGGGGATGACTTGGGGATGGTCGCAGAAACGCACCACGAATTGTGAAAGAGCCAAGAAATAGTGCGTATAAACCGTATAATCCCCCACCCTCTGGTTATGACTAACATAGCCATGGTATAGATGACCCATTTATAGATGGTTTACCTATTACAAATGGTGATTTTCCATGGCTATGTCAAATAACCAGATGGTACTATTAATGGTATTAGAATGGTATATAATCCTTATAGTATCCCCATCGTGGTCGGCAAACATCCCCATTTCCCCCATTATACTGTGTCTCTATATACTTCTACATGTTGAGATTATAATATATATATATGTGTATATATATATATGTATGTATATATATACTGGTTGATGGTTTGGAATATTTTTTCTCCATATATTGGGAATAATCATCCCAACTGACTTTCATATTTTTCAGAGGGGTTGAAACCACCAAGGAGATGGTATCAGAATGGCATATAATAGACAGTGACCATTGTAGTAATCATGCATGGTACATCCAACTTTTTAATTGTACCTTTAATGATATGTATATATATAATGCATGGTGTATAATGGTATAATAGTAGATAATAAGCATTAATAATCACAATACGAACAATGGACACTAGTATTACAATGGATTATAGATAATAGATTACAATAGTATTACAAGACAAGTGAATATAATGATATATATATATATGTATATCGTGATATATACATAATCATTATTGTGTTCGTGGATATCCAACTATTAATGGTACTTTTAATTTAATTATACTATTGATGATGCTATGAATGGATAATCCCAATTATAAGTAGTCATACCCATGATAATGGTATACATATGATGGTATACAATGGATAAAAATCATAATAGTAGTAACGGATAATAACTTTACTAATTCCTGATGACTGATCATGATGAAGAAGGTGGACTGATTATTATTACTATATAATTATCTAGTGGGTATGACTCATAATCATCATTAGCAATGCTAATTTGATAATATTTACTAATGATAAGTATGGATTATCATGTTGGACAACAGTCAGACAGTAATGATTGATGATAATTGTTAATGATAATTTGATGATGGTATCTCTACTATTCTATCATCTATAATCATTGGAGATATTTTGATGATAAATATATATCAGACTAATGGTGACTGATTAGTAGATGGCCATACCACAGTTAGTGATTGAACAGTTTGAAATAGTGGATAATTGATTATATAGTTGTTATTTATAACAATACATGATAATATTATGCAATTATTCACCAATAATTGTTACTATAAGATGATGTTCTTAGTAGTTACAAGTGATGATTGATTAGTGTGTATAATCAGTAATCCTTGGTGGTTGATAATAACATGACTAGTGGGTTGAGAATAGCAGATAAGAACCAACTAATTAAATCGAATCAATTATAAGTATGAATCATTGTTTATTTATATATATAATTAGCATGTTAATCATTATACCATACACCATAAACATAATGATGATAATGATGATGATGATGATTCACTCCGATTGTTCAATGGTAATAATTCAGACAGTATGATTATGCATATGTTGTTAACATGGTAGTATGTTTAAGGAACACAATAATAATACCACAATGATCCATGATGATTATAATCATATGGTATTACTGAAACACTAATGATGAATAGGATTTAAGAACCATATCCTAAAGAGAACATTTAGTGGTTGTAATCACTAGTGATTAGTGACCTATACTTGTTTGTACCCGTGGATTACTATTGATTATTGAGAATGATGATAATAATAATCATCATTAATTAATTATGATCAATAACCATTAACTATTGGTTTCATATATATATATGTTGATTATGTTGTATGTTACGAATTACTTTTATTATTATTATTATTTTATTATTGGTCCCCTAACAGATGGAATTTGTTTGCCCAGCAGTGGATGTCTTTATCTATCCTGCGGTAATCAAACATGGCCAACGGATTTCCACTCATCAGATAGACTCCCACATTTTGGCATCGATGACTTTTCCACTGATAGGGATTTCCCATTGCCATTGCCATGTTTGCCACAGGATGCGGTTGTGGATCACCTAGTAGGACCTAGAAGTACCATGTTTTGGGGATGAACATCCATAAATCCTAGTATATGGATCCATAATACAATAATGGGTTATAAGTTATCCATGTAGAGAAAATATCCATAACTGGATCTCCATAAATCCCAGCAGGGTTTTGACGGATCCCCGTATTGGGGGGCCAAGGATTTGATGCATTTGAAGCAAGACTTTGCTCAGCCAGTGCACTGAGATGGGGCGACCCCTCGGAAGAGGAGTGGGTCTGAAAATGACAATTCCTATATATATATTGAATATATATATATATATTGAATATATATATATATATATACGTGTATATATATATATGTGTATATATATATATATATATTCTATATTATATGTTCTATATTATATATTCTATGTATTCTATATATATATAATTATATAGATATTTCTATATATATATTATATGGGGAAAATAATGATTAACGCTGATGAACCATGATTGACCATCAAAATTTGGAGTAACCTATCTTCAGACAAACCCATAGGTGACAAAGTTTTCATCCACGAATCGATTGGGTTTCAGGGATGAGATTGGTGAGGGCTCAAATCGCTGGGTCCGTTGTCCCAAACCGATGAAAAAAGGCATGGCGGGATTTCCCAGGACACCCGTTTGAATACCAGGGAATCTATTTTTTTTTGGTGCTGATTGTGACTTAGTACACCCCCCAATTTATATACTGTAACTTCCGCCCCAAAATGGCCATGATGAATATGAAACTCATATTCCAAACCACATCAAATCTTGGTTCCATCCTAAAAATTGGATATTTGGAGTGTGTCAGTTCACACCTCTTGTGGTTCTTGATCTTTCTTCCCATCACTTCAGTCCTCCAGTTTTATCCCCCGTGCCATGAGGTTCACCACGGACGGGAGTCTGGAGGTGGGTGGCGGCATTGGAGAGAAGTTCCACGCTAGAGGGGCGCCCCAACTGCTGCTTGAAGGGGGGGCTCTCAAAGCCACAGATGGAGTTTTCACGAAAATATGAGGGGAATACGCTTAATTCCCCCGGTACGAAAATAGATCGACTTTGTTTTTTCACGATTCCGGGGTACCTCTATAGATAGAGATTTGGCCAACCCATCAAGAGATTTTCTATGTACCAGTATCATCAATAGCATGATATGTGTATAATTGTGTATATACAATTGGCAATTTGCTGTCACCATCATCCCAGTCAACAAGGGTATGTAATCAACCAAGATCAATATCTATCCTCGATTGGTAAACAAACATGGCAACGAAACATCACCGATTTTGCATGACTTTCCTATTAAAACCTCAATGTGGGGAATTTTCCATTGCTATGTTTGATTATTGGAGGGTAAATGATTTGTCGGTATGGTCAAAATCGGGTGCAGTAGTGCAAAGTGGCGTGGTTGACCACGAAAACTAACAACTCCAGCAGACATGGTGGAGACATGGTGGGGATGGCGATCAACGGTGAGAATAGACTGACATATCAGTTGCAGGTTATGGAACGTTAGTGAGCTGGACAGAGAAAATATTTGGTTCAAAGTTCAAAGCAGTAAAGGGGGTGGAAGCCAAAAATAAATGATCCCCAAGTCCCCAAGATCACCAGAAATGGTTTGTTTCTGTTCAACTAATTCCTCCAAATTTGATGGTTTATTTTCGGGTCCATCCAGGAGTCCATCCAACATTACCTTCTAAAAAAACTGGAGGTCCCCAATGTCACGTCTCAGTCGCTGAGGCCTATCCGCCATGCAGGCTACACTCATGGCGCGGATCGAAAAAGAGGCGCTATCTTGGTGGCGAATGGGATCAATGTGCTCCATGTTTGGTGCGGTTTCCTCAGTTGGAGGAAAATATGTTGGTATCCCGTGGTATCCCAAAAAACCAGAGGACTCATGGAAGATTTGCGAAGATTCTCCCGATTCGATCACCAGGCCAAAGACAGCCGATCGATTCAAGACACCTTAGCAGCACAGATGCAGAGCTTGCCCGGGGGCCCAGGTTGGGGCCCAGGTTGGGGCCCAGGTTGGGGCCCAGGTTGGGGCCCAGGTTGGGGCCCAGGTTGGCCAGATTAGGATTCAACCCCTCAAAGGTGACCCCAGCAAGAGATGGTTGATGTTAAGCCCTTTTTGGGCCCGGGAACCTCACCTTTGGGGTTGGTTGAATCCCGATGATTGGTATGATTGGTGGTGTTATTCTTGTGAAAAACAAGATTGGGATGATTTTTCACAGTGAAACTCCACTCTACTACTTGCACACTATGTTTATGTTGGTTGAATCCCAGCATGTTATTGGTTGAATTCCATATTTTGCTTCTTACATAATGTTAAATCCCAGGTTGTGTTTTGGTTGAAATCCATATGTTCTTGGGTTAAATGCATTTAAATGCCATATATGGTTGAAGCATATGCCATATCCTCCGACGAAATCACCTGCACAGCCTTGGCTTCACGAGGCAGGACAGGCTTCACAACGCTGAGATGACTGGCAGTTCGGTCCTGGCCCTACGTTCTGGTCGATTGCCCGGGGTCAGCTTTAGGGTTACCCGGCCAGTGGATACCAACATGGCGAAGCCATGGCCCATCGAGGTTCGATGAATTACTGATTGACCTATTAATCTATATTAGCATGTTGTTGATTTTCCATATCTATGCCATAGCTATGTTACTCTGTTAGTTTACCTAGTGGGGTAATGGGGTTTTGAATCCCATGTGTTGGGTTCCACTGGGTTCCACCATCTTTATTTAGCGCATGGAATGACACGTTACTGGTAGCATCGCATGACACAGCGCCCTAAGGCCAACACGTTCATGACAGATCTGCAGATGTTGGCGCAAGACTTTGCTACTCGGAGCCACTAGGGATGAGGGGGGAGAATGGCTGGGTGAATTTATGGGGCAACCATCTGCTACCTCCCAGCATCAAGATACATCAATATCTGGTTGGTGGTTTGGAACATTTTTTATGACTTTCCATATATCGGGAATTTCATCATCCCAACTGACTCATATTTTTCAGGGGGGTTGAAACCACCAAATAGATATACATCAAGCACGTCTACATGCAAAACTGGGGGAGGCTCCAAACGGATGTCCTCAGGGGTCATCAGCTCCAAACGCTTGCCACATGAGGCCGCTCTCCGCAGTGAGGCCTGGATGGAGCTCATTTGCAGCAATCTTCAGTATTGTGGGTAAAACAATCATAAACCACCCATTTGGGAATGGTTTGTACCACCTATTTATGGTGATTTGGGGGATAGTTTACTATTGTTTTACCCACATTACATACTCTGATCGAACCTATCAGAAACTTCCAAAATGATTGTCTGCACCTGCAGACCACATTGATCTTGCTTCATTCATGGTCTGTGCGAAATTCAGGTGTTATAGTGTTTAGTGCAGAGGCTCCAAGTGTGTTTTCCCAGGTGTCTCAAAAATTCGAACTCAAACCTCTTACAGTTCCTATCCTATCTATTTTATGTGTATAAATTGTGCCTAGGCCAAAGCTCCGACTGGTCAAGCATCAGCCACCACCATCTAAGATTTGGCGCATGATCGAAAGCCTTCTTTCCTGTACTTGTTTCTAAGCAGAACAGTAGTTGACCCCTCGCATCAAAAAGTTGGATGATAAAAAGATGCAACTTGATATAATTCCAGCGTCTTCCCGCTATCATGAACTATGATGAACTATGCAAATGTGGTACCTTATAAGATTCCTATACTAACCAACCTATCTATCACCAACTATCATCAACTATCACCAACTATCTATCATCAACTGTCACCACTAAAAAGATTTGGATCATCAAGTCCTATGTTTTCCTGGTATGTGCACTTGTGACCCTGCGAGTCTGCTCGGGCGGATGTGGAGCTTCGAGAACGTGTCACCAGGCATGAAATGGTGACCCTCATGGAGATTTTACCGATTTAGCTAAGAAAAATATGGAAACATGATGAACAAATGGTGTATAGAAGGAATTTGCTTTATAAGACAAATTATGGAAACATGGGGATATCGGGTGGAAATAATATATATATATATACACTGTATATACATATTTTACAAATATATACAATATTAGATGTATGCCAATTCAATCTGATTGGTGGGTTCAAAGATGTCCCTATCTGCGGAAATGGATGATCCCAGCTGGGGAGCCAAAGAACCATCAAGATCTGACATCATCCAGTTTTCGGAGCAAAGAATTCAGATTGGCTATTGGCCATGTTCATGTAAAACCACGCAGTATTTGGTGGTCATTTGAGCTAGAAGGGGCGTGTGTGGTAGCAGATTAACTGGAAGAAATCATGGTTTACGGATCTGGGACCGGAGGAAATGTTGGTGGACAAAGGACCCTGGGATTTCGTTCTCAAGCATCCAACATGGTCGTTTTGAAGGTCATTAGAGGCACTCTTGAGACAGATTCCCCTGACAAACTGAATACAGTTCATTCATCCAGGATTGACAAAAAGAGATAGGAAGGAACATGACTACAACATGGAACTAAAATCTTAAAACACTGCAGAAAAATCTTAAAACACTGAGTGGATAGAAGGGAGTGAACTTACCACAACGAGGAATTACAATACTGTAGCGATGCAATCAGGGACAATGGGTTCTTGTCGTGGCGAAATTGTTGGATCAGAAAAGGGGACCCAACTGGACCCAACCAACTGCAATTAAAACGTGAAATGAATCAGCGAGAACGGCTGACACGGCCACAAGAAAAGATGGATTTTGTCACCAATGATAGAGGTTTCTTTCCAACACTGCCAAGGATTCCCAATCGTTTGGCTCAAGCATGAAACTGATTTCCGGAAATTCCATATGTAACATTATGTAACCTATCCATTTCTCCCATGAATATGTTCGCATTCTTGACTGCATTGGTGTTGGCAGATATATATGATTTGGTTACAACTTTGCAAGTAACCCAACGATGGAACCAGAGTGCTCTGGGCCCGGATGGCCTCGAGCAATGCGCTTTGTATGGTGACTTATTGCTGGAGGATGCACACAAGACTCCAATCGAGCTGCGACCTAGGCAGTCCTCGGCAAAGCTGATTGACACTTTCCCATTTGGCAACGCCTATGAAGTGGCAAAGAAAGCATGAGACATCCATGGTTTGTTGCCGGAACATGGTTCATGGAAAGTCCGCCCATGTTCATAGAGAATTACCCATGGGATTCCTCTAGATTGTTCCAAAGAAACGGAGCCAGGGATATGTCACTGCCAGAAGGTTGGCTACTTGGGGGTTCAGTTTGACTACGTGGCTCATTTATTCATTTATTCATTTACTCAAATTAACTTAAGTTTTGTATCCCCATCACAATCCTCATTGTTGATGTTAAATTCATATATATATATCACTATATATTAATTATGTTCAAATCAAGTTGAATCTCAATATGTTCTTCTTACCTGAAGGCATTACATCCCATTAAATCCCATCAAGTCCCATTAAATCCCATGAATATCAATCCATCGTTCACCACGGTTCTATCCATGTCTTTTTTCACCCCACTTCCAGTCGTCGTGCCATGGCATCCACCCTGGCGAAGCGTGGCCTGGTGCGCTGGCGAAACGTCCTGCGGCCTGAGCTCTGCGCAGCGCTGAGGGCAGAGGCCGTGGCGATGCTCGAAGAGGTGAGGAATTTGGCCCGGTGATCGTGGCACATCGTGGCGGAGATAGAGGAGTTCCAGGGATTTTGTTCAAGGGATTTTGAGGGATTTTCAGGGTTTTTTCGAGGGATGTTGATGGATGTGTTCATCGTTCGTAGATGTTGGGGGATTTTGCCGGATTTTCACGGATTTTGACCAACCAAAATGGTGGTACACCCAACAACCAACCAACTGACCATTTTTTTCCCGATAATAAACCTCCAATTTTGGAGGTTATTATACGGCCTATATTATTTCTAGTGATATTTGGCATGGTTTCCTGGGTTTACCACAGTATACCAGGGGCATACCTTACCCAATGAACCTCAATTGAGAATGGTTTATCATTGGGTCTACCTCATTACTTGTGATCATAGCTGACAGGTGTTAATAAATCAGAGAAAAGATCCAGGAAACCGTTTTTTAATGCTAAATAGCATCCCCCAAGTCACAACCACAAGCACCGCACACCTAGTGGATATAACTCTCACCAAGGTTTACCCATCATCATTCAGGGATATTGTGGTAACCCCAACAATAAACCTTCTACTTCTATATCCTGTTGTAGTCATATAATCATATGGTCTTTTCCCAAAATCAGGTTACCCCCCAAATCATCCAAAATTAGACCATTTTAGTATTGAAACCCATGGTTCTGGGGGTACCCCTATCTTAGAAAACCTCCAGGGGATCCCAGAGTCTTGACATGTTCCGCGGGGGCTGGTCACGCTGCAAGCCCCAAGTCGCAGGTGTCACGGCCAAGTCTCAGCGCATTTTGGCACCAATTGCAACGATGGCTCCTGGACCCCGTGCGCGAACCCAAGGCAAAGTTCAGCGAAAGAGTGGCTGTGATGATAGCTGGCTGGTACCCTCTGATAATCAAACATTTCTGGTTGGGAAATCCACGAACTAAATGGAGCTTTATAGCTGGCAAGATCATCTAGAATCCATAAAAGGTTGATTTTCGATTGCCATGTTGAATTTCATCAAATTACCAGATGGTATATCCCATGATTATTCCATCAAATCTCCATTAAATCTGATTAAATCACATTAACATCCATTATATAAATCCCAATAAATTCCCTATAAATATATAAATCCATTATATATATATATATATCATTAAATATTCCATTCAAAATTTCCATGAAATTCGATGGTTAAGCGCACCCGGAATCGCCAGGCACGTCACATCTTGCGTGCACCACTGACCTCGGCGGTCCAAGAGGCCCTGGGACCCTTGGCGCAGCGGGCGAATGAGCTGGAGCTCAATGGTGCGAGGCCCTGGAGGTTTTGGTGATCAGAAATCCAATGGTTAACTATGGTTGAATTCATGGGAAAATGATGGGAAATCCCAATGGTTAACTATGGTTCATGGTAGATATATGTAGATCATGTAGATATTTCACATGGTTCGTAGATATTTCATGGTAGATATTTCATGGAATGTAATTTACATGGGAATTTTCATGGGATAATTATAATGGGATGCAATGGGAATTTGAGGGTGATTCTGGTATACTTTAAAAAAAAGTGGGATATTTAATGGATTTAAGGGATATATAGAGGATCTAATTTAATCGGAATTAAACAGTCAGTAATTGGGATTGGATAATTACCCCCTGGCAAATTAACATAGACCCTGCAAGTCACCGCTTTTAAGTGGAAACACATCTTCCAACCCCTATTTGGCAGGGTCTATGTTAATTTACTGGAGGGTGGCATGGGTTGATAATGGTTTCGAACTGATGATTAGATGTGAATACTACACATATAGATGTACATATATAAATAGATATGATATAAATAGTAAATAGTGATGTAAATATGTTAAATAGCCAGGGTAATGCCACGCACCAAACTCACTTATAAGTCACAATATGTCACAATCTATCTGGTTATCACCCGGATGTTTTTTTTTGGATGTGATATCTCCTTGCCACAAAGATGGGATAGAACATGTGTTTCCATGTTTTTCCCAGCAACTTTGGCAAGTGATGTTCGGACACATGCAAGGGTATTTCCACTTGACTCGGTGAATCACTGGATTTTGAAGGGAACATCTTAACCGGAAACCATCGTTTTCCCCATCAAATATCGGGGGTTCCTGTAAAATGTCCCTTAATCCGATAAGTTAAGTTTGGTGAATAGCTTGGTTGATGGATTCATGTGTAGCCCCTTCGTTAATGGATTGGGGCACTCTCCCCCTTGAATTGGCGTCTCACCACACCAGCCAAGAAGTTGTAATTCGCGGGATGGTTATCCAAGTATGACAAGTATCATTTCCCCCGAGTAGCTAGAATATCCATGAATATCAGGTGGTATGGTGGATGAATATTTGAGAAAGCTCTCCCAATTTTTAGCCCAGGGTCCAAGTATGTCCAATGGACGTATCCAGAATCGGATGGAGCCTCGGAGCTGCGCATTTGTTCACTGTATGTTCAACCATATCTTGGATATGTAAACTGTAAACATATGTACCCTCTGGTAAACTAACATAGCTATGGAAAATCACCATTTTTTATGGGTAAATCCACTATTTCTATGGTCATTTTCAATAGCTATTTGTATGTTTACCAGAGGGTAGTGTGTATAGTGATAACCAAACCACTTTTCGGGGAGGGGATACATGGCTCAACCAATGCCTCCCTGGAGGCTGGTAGAGCTGAATTACACCATCAGCCAGCCGGGTGCCCCCGCTCAAGCACCGCATAGCGACATCTCACCGCTCCAGTCGGTGCCACGTGTGCTGCTCAGGAAGTTGAAGTGCGTAGCTTGTGGGTTTGAGACGGTTTGAACGTTGAAGATGGAATCCCATGTTTTATTTATTCATCATTATTACCCTCTGGTAAACATACAAATAGCTATTGAAAATGGCCATAGAAATAGTGGATTTACCCATTAAACATGGAGATTTTCCATCGTTTTTTGTATGTTGACCAGAGGGTAATCTATGTTTATATATTTCTGTTGTTCTTGGAGGCGGACGATGATGTGTTTTTTCGAAAACGCCATGGTGGATCTCATTCGGCCGACATGTTGTTGGGTGATTTAGCCTCTGGTAAACATACAAAAAACATACAAAAAACTCATGGGAAAATCACCATGTTTAATGGGAGAACTCACTGTTTCTATGGCCATGTTCAATAGCTATTTGTATGTTTACCAGTGGTTAACCAGTGTCATGATTACAGCATCAAAAACGGCGACAAAACGTGGAGTTCAGCTGCCTTAGATCCAAGGTATTGTCACGTTTTGGGCTGCATTGCAAGACACGGACTTGGCTATGGGACCTACGGTGCAACTTGGCCATGACCTGGGACAAATCCATGGCTATGGAGGGCATATACCCTCTGGTAAACTAACATAGCTATTGAAAATGGCCATTTATAGTGAGTTTTCCCATTATTTAAAAATGGTGATTTTCCATAGTTACGTTAGTTTACCAGAGGGTAGCCTCCTGTTCGTTCCAACTCGTTCCAACATCATTCCTTCCATCATATTTGTTTGTCCGCGACCTGTTTTTTCCGGGTGACACCTACCAGTATTTGTTACTTGCACGCACCCCACTATATCCACGGATCAGGTTACGTAGGGGTGGTCACCCAGCAAAGGGTCCTATCGGGTCTCCATGAAAAAACTCCCCAACGAATGGGACCCCCAGACTCAACAGATGCAATACATTCCATCAGGATCTCAGGGTGATATTTATTCGGAGGGGATCATATTTCCATGAAGGTGACACCCCCCAAAAGAAGGGTCCTGGATCACTTCATCTCAACCAACCAATAGGAGGTTGGATTCAGTAAATCACATGAGTTGGTTCATTCAAATCGCCCCTTTACCATGGATGTCCTGTATGTTTTCCCGGAATCACGCTGTCCTATCTCATCTTGATCCACAAAAAGATCGCCATTTATCGTGATTTTTGGCATCACGATCTGGCAGTCAAGTATGGTTTGCTGGAAAATCCACCATTTAGAGTTGATTTTCCCAGAAACAGCCATTTAGATCCATTTAGTAGGCTTTTAACCATGATTTTCCCATGGTTTCCCCCATGTTTGTCTGATTTTCCCACATTTTATCGGGATTTCCCGGCCATGTGGCAGATGTTTCCCTGCGGTCTCCCAGCAATGCATCGGATGGCAGGATTTGGCCCAGCTCTCATCGGCTGGCCCGAGATTTCATCCGTCCCTTATCAGAAGATCGGACGAAGTCAATTTAGGCGAGTTCATGTTATATGTTGTTTATTTATTATAGGATTTTTTATTTACTTGTAGTATCTTGTAGTTGTTTATTTGTGTACTTCTTTTGGTTTCTAGTGTATAATGGTTACTGTAATACCACGAAAGGTCAAAAAGCAACACGGTTTATAAGCATTTTGCTGCTTAAGTGTCTGGGCAGACATCCACAGCCAGCTGAAAGTTGCTCCAAAAAGTGATAAACTACCATTGAAACTCATTGAAATCGAATCCTTGTCATCTCAACCAGATTCCGCAATTGTGTGTTTTTTTAGAAAACCTGAGGTATAGTAATCCGCAAAAGATAGAACCGAACGACCATGTATCAGTGAATCACTATTTTTATGTCATTTTACTTTTCTGTCTTTTTGGGGATTGCCATACAACATGTTTTTTGCTGCCAGGAAAGTTGCCTGAAGAGCTGCAAAAGCCCAGAGTCGTGCTCCTGAGTCGTTATTGATATCGATCCAACAGGATATGGCGGATATGGGTACCATGGAAATACAAAAGGCTGGTCATGTTCAGATATGTTTTCTATTTTATCAGCACAAATCTTTGGGATCAGGAAAAAATGTTGAGCCATAGCAAATATTGAGCCATACCAAAAAATATTGAGCCACAGCAATTTTGAGCCGTACCATATTTAGTGCTGTTCACTCTGGTTTTTCGTTTTTCACCATTTTTGTTATCCTTCTTGTGTCCCTGGGTTTCCTATGATCCCCATAGCGTAGCTATCTACTGCACTGGCTCGTCACATAGCTATTGAACATGATAGAAATCGTTGATTTACCCATTTTAATGGTGATTGTCCTGTTCGCAAACTGTAAACGTTTACCGGATATGCTCAGTAGTATGAAAACCTCCCCAGGATTGCACCAGGTACCTGAGTATATGTACGTCGAGGGACAGCTACAGGCATGGGGATGCTGGCGGATGGGATGTTCTTTTCCCACGGTTTGGTGGATCAGCAACAAAGGGGTAACCCATGGTTTCACCCCTGCATCAAATTGATCATCTCCTGGGGCTCCGGTCATCGTTGAGGCGGTATCCCGCAAGGGACAACCCATTCTGGAGGAGCAACTTGAAGAAGAGAGGCAGATCATGGCAGATCTGCAGGTCTTTTTTCGACCAAAAGTGCTGTGTTGTTACTCTGTGTATTCCTCAGATGATTCTGAATAAGCCTAAACGATTATCCCAAGGAGGTGTTGTGTGTCCTAAACATGACACATCTGGTTGGTGGTTTGGAACTGACTCATATTTTTATATTTTTTTCAGAGGGGTTGAAACCACCAACCAGCATCTATATTATGAAGCCACATCCATCTCAGAGGCAGCAGTCGGCGGAAGCGGCTGCTGCCCTGCTCAACGCGATCACGGCCTCGGGCCCCAAGGAGTTCATGGCCATGGCCACGGGCGACGTCGTTTCTCGTGCGGTGCTGGGCTTTCAGGAGGATTTCATCAAGAAAACTTGGGATATGATGAGAATAGCATGGGAATTTGAAACATCAACAAATAACAAGGGGTTACCATCAAAGATAGGGAGATTGAAGGAATAATTAGTAGGACGTATGATGGGAGTGTGAATATAATGATATTGATATATCTTAGAGGCAACTGAGTACTGTAACTAAGTAAGATTTTACCACAAATAGGAATATCTGCTCAACCATCAAACATGAACTGATCATTAAACTTAATTATGGGATTTGAATAGATGCAGTATGAATTAATCATGGTCAATCGACAAAATATATAGGGGGAATGTGCTGACCAACCAAGGAAGGTTGAACATGCGTGGAGCTAACTATAGAAAATGATAGAACATGTGGTTTCATAGTTTATGTGGGGTTCACAATGGCGATTGCGGTATGTGGGTCAAGTGATGTGCCACGGGCTTGCGGTATGTGGGTCAAGTGATGTTTGATGTCAAGGGACTTCTTGATGCTTTTGATTTGCACTCTGGGAGAAGAACCGCAGAAATGAGGTGAACCGACGGAAGGATATGTAAGCAACCAAAACAGTGATGCTTACTTTTGTGGAGGTTTCCTAAAATAAGGGTACCCCAAATCATCCAAGTCATTAGACCATTTTTGTATTGAAACCCATGGTTTTGATCCCCCATTTTAGGACCCATGATCACCCCAAGTGCACCTGAGTACCATGGTGATATCACGCTGCTGTTCTGGTTGATCCGATCTACAGTCGCGTCAGAGATGGCTTATTGAAGATGGAAAGACTTCTATTCACCTGGTTCAGTTCTATGGGTAAACCTTGGTGCTTCCTTTCAGTTCCATGGGCAATGTTTTGCCGGTTGGAGGCTCTGAACATTGCCTGGTGACTATAGATACTATAGGCAATTTGTGATTAAACCCTTTCAAAAGGTCATGGTGAGTTGCTGAAACAAGAGGAAAGTCAAGAGAACACACATTTGAATTTGTGACTCCTTAGCAGCTACTGCCCTGGTGAGGTTGCGATGGACTGCAGAGTATTCCATCAAGGTGGAGCAAATATTTCTTCCAAGACGCGTGTTTTGTTCAACGCGTCCTTTCAGGTGGATGAATCTTGGTGCAAAAATGTGGTCGAGAACGGCTGGTGCTTTTTTGATGCAAAAATGAGTGCAAAAAGGCAGAAGTGATGCAGAAGTGCTATGTTGAAGATTCAATCATGGCCACATTGTTTTGCCTTCCCCAGGACGTCGAACGAAGTGAGAGTACTGATTCCTTGCATGAGTTGAGCCCAAAGATTAATGGCTTCACATATCATTGCTTGCCGGAAGTGGCGCAAGCAGCTTATCGAACTCATGACCTGATTCGGTTGGCCACAAAAACATAGCCACTGATCTCGAGACAAAAAGCTGCAGGAAGTTCCAAAATCCAAAGTTTTATTATCATGTCATCTAGTGCTAGATTGTAAGATTGGGCCAGGGGTATGCCAAATTTCTGAAGGTGACCCTTTGGTAATTTAACATAGCTATGGAAAATCACCATTGTTGATAGGTACGTCATCCGTAAATGGGCCATGGCTTCCAGTTTGCTATGTTGAATTGCCAGAGGATACAAAATGCTGATCCCTTGGAACTTGAACAGCCTCAGGTTGATGGGCTCATGGCCCTCAAGTCTTGTCCTCCATTTTAATACTGCCAGACATGGCTGAAGTTTGGGGTACCAATGTACCACATAATTGATTGTAAACTATTGTAAAAATGTGGTCTATGGTATTATATAATTAGATCATCCAATTTCTGATCCAAGTTGAGGGGTTACTTATTTTGAGCCTGAAGGCCACATGGGGATGGGTGTAGACGTCTTCAATACAAAAACTTGATGCAAACAGAATGGTACCATGGTTTTTTAGCATACTCACCATGGATTTTTCTGTACCTGCCATATTCATTCTGCTTTGAGCCTGTTGTTCCTTTCCATCCTGGTTGAAACGGTGAATGACTTTCCGGGCTGACTAGTGACTTTCGTTGAAACAGCCAGCTTCATTCAGACCAGCATAGAAGTTGACGTACTGGCTGGTGGTTTCATGTTGAAAAGAATCCCACCGAGCAGGAGACCTCAATTTCCCCTTAGCTTCGCTCCATTTGAACGCGTTCAGGGGCGAACGGGAGTTGAAGGCAGAGATCCGTGCAGCACAGCGGTTGCTGTTGGAGGTGAGGACAGGGCGGCGGATTTCAGCATGAAATAGGGATTAATAGTGATGCATAGTGATGAATAAGGTTAGTATGGGGGTAACTATCCCAAATTAGCCGAACTTTTCAGGTTAGTGAAATATGATTGATCATTTACCCAGACAGAGTACAGAACCACCCAGATTGACATGAGTACAGGATCTTCGAATGAGCAACTGACAATTTATGAACATGGTAAATTTCAGTGGTTTACCTTTAACCTGCAGGGGATGCAGATCCTTGTAGGCACTATGTACATGAACCAGCATAGATAGTGTTGTCAGCAGAATGTTCTTGAACCAAGCATACGGATTTAATCAACACAATGATCACAATGCGGATATTTATTAAAGGATGTATCCTCTGGTAAACTATATAACAAACATAGCTATTCAAAATGGCCATTTATAGTGGATTTACCCATGAAACATGGTGATTTTCCATAGTTATGTTAATTTACCAGAGGGTAGAACTTGGAAAAAGTCGTGCTGTCGGTTTGACCAGATCTCACGACCTCATCTCCTCCACGACGGGCTCGTCTCGACGCCAAGGTGGCGGAAAGTGCACGTCACATCTCGCCTGAACGACTCACGGCATCGCAGATGGCTGTGAAAGCTGCGGCTCCGAAGGTGCGCTAAGTGCTGTCTTCCAAGATTGTCCTTGGATGCACAGATATAATAAGATATATATATATATAGAGAGAGATAGGTAAGCATGGAAACATCAGGGAAGATCTATGAAGTAGCAACATTGGAAATCTGAAATGTTAAGAGCATTCTTTTTGAAACACATGTTGCCTTCGCCCTGAAACGTGCAATGACTGAATGACTGGAGTGGAAACTGATGTCATTTGTTTCATGATATCTGTATACGGATCTGGGTGGTCATGTCCTAGCTCTGCTTTTTTCAGCATAAGTTGGAGACCAATTAACATATAAATATTACTGATTGGTGGTTTGGAACATGAATTTTATGACTTTCCATATATTGGGAATTTCATCCCAACTGACGAATTCATGTTTTTCAGAGGGGTAGGTCAACCACCAACCAGCAACAGCTGAGATGATCCCCAACTGGCCCGGCGTTCGTCCGCCCGCAGGCGGACGCACCGGTGGGCCCCGGGCCTCCGTTGCCTGCGCTGCCAGGTTTCGGAACTGGAGGTTCGGGCTGGGATGGTGACATTTCATGACATTTCCATCATGATCCATCATGTGTTCTGAATGTTTTTGTTGTAGGTTTGCCTGAAAATAGGCTACCCCTGGAGAATCATGATTATGCCTTAAAAATGGACACACCAAGAAGTCTTTGCAGGGGTCCCCGAAAGGCGAATTGTTAACAAATCACATGATGAAAATAGTTTTTGTGACTAAATATGCGCCCTTTTTCAAGACCCCTCTACATACCCCCAGTTGTTTAACGAACATTCCAAGTTTTATATAACACTTTACAACCATCCAACACAATCTGAAATGTTAAGACCCAGGGAACGGTAGAAACTGGCGATGCTGCTGGGAGAACAACTGGATTTTAGCCATCATACGGACTTAACGGACGGCTTCTTCAGAAAGGAACCAACAAGACAGGGGAGGTGAACCTAAAACTTCCTAAAACCACAAATGAAAACAACAGGCGACCTTGAAATTGAACTTCCATGGATGGATTCCATGTAGGTGAAGCCCACGTCAATGTATTTTCCTATATGCTGCTTCCCATACGTCACATATAATTTATACCCTGGCAATACATATGTCACATAGACCCTCACAATATTTCACAATATCTCACAATCCTCTAAATTCAACAAGTTGCTTACCAAAACTGGTCAAAGCTTTCAAATGCATATATAATAATAAATATATATATACACACACACATGTGTATGTTGCATTTGTCTGCAACCGTATTGAATTCAACAGGTGGGATGATGAGCCAAAGTATTCTCTTCCAGTAGCTCTGGTAAACGTTTACAGTTCGCGAACTGGAAAATCACATGTTTTAAAAAAACAATGTTCATAGCTAAATCAACTATTTCAATGGGCCATGGCTTCCAGTTCGCTACATCTTTTTACGATGGGCTCAAGCACCAGGATCCAGCAGCGTTTTGGAAGATGTTGGTACCTTGACGGCGCACGATGACATCGTGGAGCGGTGGAGTGTCGTCGTGGAAGCTCCCCCCAAAAAAAAACATGATCCCCACAACAAGACTGACCGATGATCATCGAAAATCATCACTGTATACTAAGATATTGGATGATATTGATGTATCCAGGTGATCTTGATGTCGTGACAAACTAATTTGGCCTTTTGAATGTTTCGAGCGTATCATTTGTGTTGTCAATGCTGATCCCCTGGTTATTGTTGTGGCTCACCGGTGTGGGGAGCAGTTGGTCGTTATGTTCTATGTCCAGACATATTTATATATTCTCAAGATTCAGACATGAGACAGCTCTGGTATGATTTGGTCATGAGGTTTCTATATATTACACTGCTTGCAATCAGCGTTGATTTAAATTAATCTGATACATGTACATATTTAGATCTATATACATGCACGCAGAAACATAGAACAATTATTTTTTCTTGGAGGACATGTACCAAAACAAATATTCTAAGTGGATACAATGTCTACTCATGTGCGACGTCATGCGACGTCATTGGTGGCAGGAGTGGAATGTCCCTGGCGTTCGCGCTCGTGCTCGCGTTTGGGGCTGAGTTTGTAGTGTGTAGGTAATATGCATCTGTATGATCTATATTAGATGTATATCTAATATGATCTAATATGACGTTTATAATGCCAACACCGGATTAATAACCCCCCCCTAGAAGGTAGGAGGTACCTTCTGAAACACCCGTAAATAAACGGCCCTGAACCATAAAATTCTGAACCATAAAACTTTGGATGTGGCTTACGTCAATTAGATCTTAATAGAATTCCATTGGATTTGTTAAAATTTCATGGATCAGAAAGGTGGTTGATTAATCAGGGGCAAACCATGGTTATTATTAATGGGGGATATGGGCTCATGGGGGGTACCCTTTGGGAGCTATCCAAACTGATGTTTTTTATAAAGATTTTTATTAGACATCGATCATTTGGGGAATAGTTTTTTTTGAAATTTTCAATGATCAACTTAAACCTGAAGTATAACAATGATGATTAAAAAAAAGGTAAAAAACAATTGGAAATAAATAGAATTGGAAATAAAAAATGTTGGATAAAAAATTGGATTTCAGCACTGGTGGTTGATTAATCGGGGGTAGGCCCACCGGTTTATTCATCTCGGGGGACCACCTGTTTTTAAATTACATTTTTTTTTTGGGCAATGGTGGTTGATTAATCGGGAGGGGATTATTAATCCTCACTTGACATTATTTAGGATCCCTTAAAAAACCTGTTGCTTTTCCATCGTCGATTGCCAGCTGGGTACAGCACATCCCCTCATCTCTGAAGCCTTCGTTGGGGCAGCCCAGCCGAAATCTGTTGGGAAGTTATTGGGGATGGACAATTTCACATGGGAAATATCAGGGGAATATGATGGGAATATGATGGGTAAACATCCCAGGAAAAAGGTGTAAGATAATGGTATGATGGGTAAACACTGGGAATACGATGGGTAACATATATGGTGCAAACATCCCAACACTGGGAATATAGTGGGAATATGATGGGAATATTATGGGTGAACATGGGATTGGGATAGCGTGAAATGGCTTGAAACCATTTGAAACCACCAACTGCTACAAGCGTTTGTTTGACTCATGAGAGAGGGGAAATCACATGTTAAAGATGTATATATAGTTGGTGGGAAAATGTGGTAAGTGGGGTGCTGACCTAGGCTGTAGTCGGGTTTATAGGGGTTGTGAAACGAGCAGAGCCCGTGAATTCTCACCATCCACTCTTTGGTGACTACAACGGACTGCAATACCCGTGGAAAATGTCCAGGATGTCAAACCTGTTGGGAAACCACACTTGTATCAATAGGAATCCGGATTTTTTTCAGGGAATTCTCCCAGAAAGTGCCATATTTATTCCATATTTGGACTGTGTTTTCACAGATTCGGATTCGCGGCAGGAAGTGCACCGCTTTCCAGATGTCAAGGCAAGCGCGCTGCGGCTTGGGAAGGAGTCCCAGCCAGCTGGTTGAATCCACAGCATCCATGTGGGTCCATCCAAGTTGCGTGGCCATTCCATTCAACCATTCAGTAGTCTTATAGAATTTACCCTCTGGTAAATTAACATAGACCCTGGCAGATAGGGGTTGGAAGACTAGTTTCCATTAAAAATGGGTGATTTTCAGGGTCTATGTTAATTTACTGGAGGGTACATAAATTTCACGAACTTCACTTTCCACATTGGTATATGTTGGTATATTGTGGTAATATATTTGGGAGGTGTGTGCCCCAGTCCAGTGGCACATGTTTTTGACCCAGGCCTTGCGCCTCAAGAGCCTCGGCCAAAAGAACGACTTATGTTTTCATGCAAAGCCCAGGCGTTGCGCGTATATATATAGAGAGAGAGAGTTGTATGTATGTATATATATATATATACAGTATACATATAAATATATACACACACTTGTAAAGGTCTATATAATTAGGTGAATTAGGTATAATTAGGTGTTATGTTCTTTGGGCCAAACATGTCCTCGAACATGGCGCATGAGAACGATGAGTGACTTGACATGCGTTTAAAGAGAATGCGTAATCACAGCTTACATCTATATCATTTATGCAATGCTGTGTCTTTTTGACATCCTCAACTTACTGGTGCTAAACGTAGGGAATGGGGGTGATATCCATAACGATTAGAATCATCATCCCATTCCTCCATTAATGGGTTGCTGAGGATTTTTCCACTGGGCTCCCGAAGAAGAACCAAGCCTGGACATTGCTCGGTGTATTTGACGGGACCTCAAGGCAAGTACTCTGAGCTGGTCAAGAGTTGGAAATTCAGGAGAAAATCCGGACATCTTTTCCTGGACTTGTTTCAGTGGGTGACTTTGGACTTCATGGTTTGATCGTCTTTAATCGTTTTTTATTTGGTAGATCCCATAGTGAACAACCCATTCGGGGATGGTTTATAAAAATCGAGCAATTCTAGGGTTTACCACGTTACCAGGCAATGTCAAGTCGTTCAGGGTAAAACGTCCTTGTTGAATATCACCCCTTCAAAAGGTGGCAGTACAGCAATCACTATCAATCCATTCCAATCTGCAGATCGAAAGTATATGGATCATCTGGAGTCTGTGCTTTCCATCAAGCATGACCCACAGGTACCCACCTTCAATTCATGCTGCGGATGGGCTCTGTGCACAGCTTAGCTAAGCTCTTAAGATGAAGAGCTCGGAAACGCTTCGGGAATTCGCGGCGAAGAGGTGTTATGGTGATGTTTAAACTGTATATCTTAGGGGAGTGGTTTAGTGCTTCATCTGCTTATTACTACTTATCTATTTAGTTTCTAATCTGTTGATTACTTTTTGGGAGTGGTTCGCACGCACAGTGATGTTAATTAAGTTCCATCAAGAAACTGGCGTAGCCGTTGAACGGACTTGGAGCTACTTACTGCTTGGGCAGCATCCGCAGCTGAAGACCTGTAAAGTCAGAGATGCTGATCGCCGACCAATGAATTTTAGTATAGATCTTCCGAATTTCCGGGGTGTCCACATGTAATTGACCCACTTATACATCATATATACATCATATATACATCATATATACATCACATATACATCATATATACATCACATATACATCATATATACATTATATATACATTATATATTATATATATACATTATATATACATTATATATATACATTATATATACATTATATATACATTATATATACATTATATATACATTATATATTCATTATATATTCATTATATATATATATACATTATATATACATCATTATATATACATTATATATACATTATATATACATTATATATACATTATATATTCATTATATATTCATTATATATATATACATTATATATACATCATTATATATACATTATATATGCATTATATATACATTGTATATACATTATATATACATTATGTATACATTGTATATGCATTATATATACATTATATATATATATACATTGTCTCTAAATATATCTCGTTGTGTAACAAGTTGCAGCAGCCATCAGATGCCCACCCCCAGATGCCCAAGCGAACACACTGGACCAGGTAGAGCATGGCCCCCTGGAGTGCATCTTTGATCGGCCTGAGAAGGCCCACCATCCCCAACTAGGGGTCTTTTTTTTGAGCCACACCCACACAGTGTTTGATGATGCAAACCCAGCTGTGCTTTGTCCGTTCCTTTTTTTGAAGTCGCCACCTGGCGCCATCAAGTGGTGGTGTCATAGACAATCATCCTGATACAAGTAGAACATCCACGAGGTTGAATTCTACCGGTAGGTTGATTATCCAGTTGGGCATGGTCCAATGATGAATGATATGTGGAAAATTGTAGAACTATACAGGAACTCCCAAACAAAATTATTAAAAGATGTAATTATTATTTACCCCTAGTTTAGGAGTGGAGTTTCCTTTTTTAAAAGGGTCACTATATATTTCCATATGTTTCTGATATATAAATATCTATCCTATTTGCTGTTTCGCTGGCGATGTTTCAGGACAGTGGCCGTCACGACTTCTGTGCGTTGGAAGATGAGTTGGAGGTGCGCCCAACGATCGACCAAAAAGCCAAGAGGGTTGCATTTGTTTTTGCATGTCTGGGCAAAAAAAATGTCATGAGCAAATTATCGAGTTATATTCATGTTATATTAATGTGTATTAATGTTATATATATTATATTCTGGTTATGTGTGGTTATCTCTATTCATAAACCCAACTGCACCCCAAGTAGCTCCATATCTATGATGAGTTTGAAGAGTCGCCTTTGAGACTGAGGTTGATGGTAGTGCTGCGGCTGCTTGGAAGCAAATGCAGTAAATGCAGATACGAAACGAACACCTGGTGGATATGGAATGATTGTTTGTCCTTAAGCCTTGGCGGGTCTTTTTCCTTGCATCTCGCAGCCTGAGTTTGGATGGTGAATCACCAGTGAAATCGGAGAGAACTCGATCGAGCTCTGGAGATTCAGACAGGACGAGAAGAACACTTTTACAAATACTGGCAAATACTAGGGAATATCATGGGAATATCATGGGATCGCATGGACATTTTTATGATTGGTATCCCAGACATGACTTGTTCTGAGCTGAAAAAAAATAGGCCGAAGTAGGACGGATCTCCTGGAGATCTGCATGGTGTGACGGGTAAAGAGCACGGGTCGAGTTGGGCACGGTGTCGTATCAGGTCCGCTTGACAGTGCTCCGTGCGGCTGGCGTGACGTTGAGAAAGGGAGGGTAAAGAAGTTGAGAGGTCAGAAATATCATGAGGTAAACCAAACCCCACATGGTTCATTCTGGGTAGAAGCAGAGGAAATGTGGAGTTACATCTCAATAAATTCATGCATGGGAAATTCTACGGGAAACTCCGGTTTTGAACCCCACCTGTAGGTCATTGCGATGGGTGGTCATTGCGATGTCTTGGTTTGAGACATACCCATCTGATCCCATTTCTCACAACATTTAGCATATTTAGCCAGGTCTTGGATTTTTGACTTCAATGATTCATATAGAATTTCATAGATATGAAATACATCGAACTACTATGATATACCCATGACGGATCCATGGTGCTGGTATATATGCTAACATAAAGGGGGTATATTGATGGGATCCATGTTACCATATATATATAGATATGTAGCATACATGGATCCTATGGGTTATGATATACCCTGGACATCCCGTTTTAAACTCACGGATTGGCCCGGCGGGTGATTTGTCCGATCGCAGCTGCGCAGCTGCGCTGCCAGGTGCCGATTTCGTCCCCACCTGACTTGGAGGCCGGAGGGACTTCGAGGCCTCGGCGTTAACTTCTTGGGGATTGTACTAATTGGCTTATCAAATGGGGATGGCTTGCCATTATGATGATTACCCTCTGGTTATGTCAAAATAGCTATTGAAAATCACCATGTTTAATGGGAAAATCCACTATTAATGGTCATTTTCAATAGCTACGTTAAATTACCAGAGGGTATCATATATTATCATATTATCATATATTATCATATATTATCATATATTATCATATATTATCATATATTATCATATATTATCATATTATCATATATTATCATATATTATCATATATTATCATATATATCATTAAATTATTTGTTGGGTGTATCATGATGCTGGGGATTATGAACTATGACTATAACCCATGAATCATATGAATGTTTACTGTTGTTTACTAAGAAACCAGAACTTCATGGGATGGGATGGGATAGGCTATTTTTCATGGATCAAATGACTTTACAGAAATGGTTGGCATAAATCATGAACATCGACTGGATATGATCATAATTGGGCCTCATGGAACCCAAACATAGAAGAATCGGATAGGAAAATCATTCTCCTGGCCCTATATGTTGGGGTTTGTGTTAAATATAAGAAGTATATCTTGCAGAAAACTTGCAAGGTTCGACGGTCGCAGTTTTCACAATATGTTTCGTGTGAGGAATTGGCAGATATTCTTGAATGTTAACCCCCAATAGGTTCGCACCGTTAATACATGTCAATAGCTTCATAGGGAGACAATCAGCATTTCATCGAATAGACCAACCATGTCAGCCATTGTCAGCCATTGTCAGCCTATGGAGGCAATATTTACAGTAGCTGCTCAGTTAATGTGGTTCTGTCTGATGGGGATACCCAATGGCAGCTGTGGGGAAAATGGTGATAAACCATCTGATTGGTGGTTTGGAACATTTTTTATTTTTCCACATTTATTGGGAATAATCATCCCAACTGACTTTCATATTTTTCAGAGGGTAGGCATACCAGCAACCAGCCATGATAAACCATGGAATTGTGTGGCCTGTTGAAGACCCTTTCCTTCATAGGCCAGCGTGGCCATGACGTCACTCCTGTGTGCTGTGCGCACGCGAGACGTGACAAAATGTTGCACGCGAGACGGGACATCCATGAAACTGGGAAATCTTTGGAATTTTGGAATCTGTTGTTTTTCCCCATGAATATTCCAATATCCCATGTTTATCCCATTAAATGACCCTTTATGGTTAATATATGTAACCCCATTGATGTCATTCAAATCCCAGAAATCCTAGGTTTTTTTCGGTTGAACATTGACCCAAGGAATCCTTTTGGACATTTTTTTTTCGGTTCAACTGGGTATTCCATGGTATTTCTGTTGATGGAGCACTGGGAAACCCTCATGTTGAATGGGTACCCTCTGGTTATGTCAAAATAGCTATTGAAAATGGCCATTTATAGTGGATTTACCTATTCAAAATGGTGATTTTCCATAGTTATGTTAGTTTACCAGAGGGTAAGTCATCTACATGATTGCCAGTTGTGTAGGTGAATGAGAGACGCATCCGTGGCTGTTGATATGACATGTTCAGATACAAAACAAAGCGTCGGAAGAAAACTGGTAATGTGGTAATGTACACCGGTGTACCGCTATTCCGTGCATTTTGGATATGTTTGGTTGTATGTCGGAACTTGGTAAATAGCACAGTAGCAAACCTCCCATTCCATGGTGTCAAGACAGCTTCACCGATGCCGTGCTCAGCTGAAGAGTGGTAAGCCACCAGACTTAGCACAGGGCAGCATGCAGCATCAAGACTTCACATGTTGTGGAAACATGGCAGAGACAGAAATGACATGGGACTTGGCTTGAAACAACTAAGACGCAACCCCACCTTAGACCTTAGCCCAGTCGTTTCCAGTCCTTGGTTTCCTTTCACCGTTTCAGCAGGGTCCGCATTTGCTGAAGCTGAATGGAATTCTGCCAGTTTGGCGACTGACGTATGATAGCGTAGATTTTCGCTGCACTTGGACAGAGAACACGCCACCGACAGGGCATATTGCAGGCAGGGCTGCTGGAAGTTTGGGGATCGACACAATGATACAGTAGTAATTATATATATATATATTAAATTATATATATAAATAATTATATATATATATGTATGTGTATGATTATCAATGAGTGTCACCATCATAGATGATAGATGATAATAGATCATAGTATATTGTATATGATTCATATGATAATAATACTATCACAATCATCCTAATATCAACAACAATGCCCAGTCCTTGAAGGATGATCAGAAAAAATCATTTTGATTGGAATATATATATACTGGCATATTAACTCAATATACAAGGATTCCCATTTGATGAACGACCACAAGGATTCCCTTCTCATATGATGTGTCTGAAATATCCCAATGGTATCTCATTATTAAAATTATTATATTATATGAGCCATGGCAAAAACTCTGGCATTAGAAAACATGTAAGGGACGGACATTGCTTCTAAGAACATGTGCAAGCATGAGGTAAGCCAGGTAAGCGATGGGACCTTTCCAAATCGCGATAACTTCTGTGAAGGTTCTGTCGTACCTGTATACATATATCGTTCCCTTTCAGCGATACCCCCAAAAATCGTTGCCATACAACATGTTTGTACAAATGTGTGGTAAGCGATGGGACCTTTCCAAATTTGTTGATGTCCTTTTCGTGAACCTTGAGTTTCTGATATTGCTCATATGATCATATATTATATCCCAAGTACATATCATTACTTTCTCTTATATTCCAATTATATCCCAATGATATCCATAGTATGAGAATATCGGGAATATTCCCAAGATTTGACCAATAGTATGATATCCCCATAGATATCCTGGTTGGTGGTTTGGAACATGAATTTTATTTTCCCATATACTGGGAATAATAATCCCAACTGACTTTCATGTTTTTCAGAGGGGTAGGTCAACCACCAACCAGTCATGTTACCATCTGGTTATTTAACAGTTCGCCATGGAAAATCCACCCATTTTTAAGAACGGTAAACCGGTAAACCATCTATTTCGATTAGGGCCAACTATACCATGGCGAAGTGTTAGTCATAACCAATGATGGCCCATAGAAATATCCTGTTAGTCATAACCAATGATGGCCCTTTTCACATGATATAACATATAACCATTAGTCATAACCATTAGTCATAACCAGTCATGTTATATCCCAAAAACCAGATGGTGTATATATGTATCTATATATACTATACAAAAATTATGGCCCATTAAAAATCTGGATTTACCGTTCTTAAAAATGGGTGGATTTTCCAATGATATCCCCATTTTATATCCCCGCAGATCCAGGCCATGGGTAACGCCGTGGATCTGGGGATGGAGGCCCCGAAGCCCCAAAAGAAGGTGCGGTGGCGGTTTTGGGACGGGAGTGCCATGGCTTCATGGGAAACCACGGGTGGTTTGTTTATCTGGCGTTATCATGGTTGGATCATGGTTTGATCATGTCATGGTTTTATCATGGTGTGTATGACATGTGTTTTTTCTCCATGTTTTATCAACAAAACATAACAAAACTAACTCTGTGGGCAATTAGTCATAGGAAATATAGGCTTTAAAAGTTAAAACGACTGGTGAAGGGTAGCGTAGGGAATGTTAGTGGATCGGTAGCCTGAGGGAAACATGAAAGGTATCTAAGACATTGGTGCCTGGAGGGTCAACGATGGTCATAGTCGGATCAGGAGGCAGCAGAGACAGTGATGGAACGATGGTGTATATACTGTGTATAGATACCTTTATGTGTTTAAGAATCCAACAAAAATGATACAGATGATGGGTTTGATTGGGATCTAGCCCCCAAAAGAGGGGCTAACTCAAGCACAATATATGCGAAATAGCTTGCATTTAGTGGATCTATAAATGGTTGGTGGTGTTATTCATGGTGTTCTGCCTTTGATCAACCATGGTCCCAATCGATTGTTTGAAGAGTTGGAACCATCTTCTTCCAGTGACAAAGAATCGGCAGCAAAAGGCCATTTTTTCGTCTATGAAATCTGCTCTGAACCATAAACAACAATGTGTGATAATGTTTGGAGGATGTTGCAGGCAACCAGGTATAGTTTCGTTTAGTGAATGGCTGCAGGGCCGTTTGAGGTACAAGCATATTGTCCACCCATTCGCATGATCAGCATTTCTGGGGCAAAGGTAGCATTGAAAGCAAAAAAAACAAGTTCTGTAAGCTGTCCTCTCAACGGTCGTGAGGCGTCAGAAATTTGGGTTGGTGCTTTAATGCCTCCAATTTCCAGTCGTGGAAGAGGAAGATTGCAGAAGAGTCTTATACCCAAATGTGGAGGTTTCCCAAATTTCTGCAATCTTCCTCAGTCACAGGGGTATTCCCTATATGGAGGTTTCCAAAGTCACGGGGGTAGCCCAAATGCATCATCCATCATAGATGACCAGGGGCGGACTTCCAGCATGGTCCTGGTCGTGGGGCACATCCGGACAGCAGGGTCCCAAGGAGGTGGGCTTCATCCAAAATGAGGGGATAGCCCATGACAGCCCCAAAAACTGCCAGGGAAAAGGATGGGTCTGAATGCTGAGATATGCGTAGATATCCCAAATCCACTGGGTAATGGGATAATCATGGATAATCATCATACTCGCATGGCCCATGAAATGATGATATTGTTGAAACATATTGTTTACCCCATTTTCGGGTAGACTCATATGGAAAACGGATCGATTTCCACCACCTGTTCTTTTCCTAACATTTTCAGACCATTTATTGGGAAGCTACGGCCCCTGGGTCAAAGATTGCAACCTTGGAAGCCATTGATTTAAGGGCGATGTAGAGTAAAGAGCCAATTTTGTTCGCATCTTCTGTAACTTGCAATCGTAGGCCATTTTTTGGGACATAAATATGTATACATACATACATATTATATATATATGGACAGCTTGCGGTTGAACTTGCAGCTTCGATGCAAAACGCGCTGTTGGGTTGGGCTGCGATGAGTGGATGATTGATCAATATACATATATAATATACATATACGCACAGTCTATACTAATAAAGTGCGAATCCAAACCAACGGAATCTCAATCTTATTAAAGAATTTAAAGAACAACAAATTGGATAGTTCTCCAATCCAATCTTGACAATCTCACTGCAAATCGACAATGGGATGAGGCTGACAAGAATCTGCCGGATGGAGTGCAAGAGCGCCGTGTCGAGGTTTGGGTACAGGCGCATCCATGGCGCCATGGCGCAGCGCTGGAAAGAAAAGTAGTGGAGCTAAGGGATTTCCATTCTCCCGAAGTTTGAGATTTGGCCAAACATGGTAGCTGAGATTGCCATTGGGCGGGTGCCATTTGGGGGATCGATGGGATGGTTGAGGCTGACCCAGATGCCACCATTGGTTGGGTCTGGAGCTCAGACAAACTTCCTGCCCAGTAGCATGTGGGGTCACTCTATATACATCATGACAAACATGTCATAAAAAATGGAGGGAAATCGCCCCCTTTTTTTGAGACAAAACTCGGTCGTATTGTTGGCTACATGATGCTATATGGGTTTGTTTGAAAATAAATGGTCCCTGAATCCATCAGTTCATCACAACGTTCCCTGTTTAGAATTGCCGGAGATATAGCTCATTCTCAGACGCACCCAAGGACATCAAATTGGTTATAAGTTATAAGTTATACGTCGATAAGATCCCATTATAAACTCCATTAATAATAAATATAATTAAATATATATATATACATATACAAAAAAAAACAGACGCAACTATGTCCGGTTAAGGTTTGTCCGTGGCATCAGGTCCTGAGTCGAGTCATTGAGGAGTTGGCCCGCAAGGAGGTCCTGCCCGCATTGAACGTTGGAAGGGTCTGTACTTAGGAAACTTCCCAATGATATATAGATATACTAATATTATATGCTAATATTGGTCACTTAGTAAACTGCACCAAAATATTGAAGTATATATTTGGCTAATATGAGTAGCATAGATATAGATAATATACGTATATATATATACTCATATACTCATGATTTGATTAAGTTAAAGCGTGATGGTAATTAGTAATGAGTTCTTCAGGGCCGCTTCGTCGAGTAAGACAACCAGTCACCGGATGGTTTTTTGATCGACTGTAGATCAGACGAATGGTTGCCCCATGCGAAGCCACGGGCCTGACTTTTTTGTAGCCCATCACAGGGTGAGATGGGTGGTGATACATAACTAGCTGCAAAATAAAAAGAGTAATAATAGACGGCTAAAACTCACAATGGGGGTTGTCAGCTGTAGAAATTTTAAAGGGATGAGGACTCTATGATTCATTTGCATTCGGCCAACACAATAGTCTTGGTTGTGTTCAACACCCCTTGACCGTGTTTCGAGGTTACACCGCCATGCAGACCCATCTTGAATGGGGTTTATCCAAAGATGCATGAACATGGGAGATACTCCAAGCTCTTAGTCTCCCTTTTGAAAAAATAGACCATTGATTATATCCCCACCACCCAACGATTCTAGCCTCCCGCACGATGCCCGTTTGACGCAGCCTGATGCTCCATCCATCGTTGGCCTTCGAGTGATGAAGGGCGGCGCAAAGAAAGATGGGGTGCGCCCAGCGGAATGGTTCAGGGACTGGAACTTGGGGATGGTCAAAATTCAGGGACCTTCAGAACAGACCACGTGTCGCAACGTGTCGCAAATTATTTGTCAGTCTGAACAGACTGTTAGGTTTTTGGCAGTTTTGATCCAGAACCAATGCTATTGTCCCAACAAAAAATGGATGTCTGATACTAAGACTACTTCATCAAGGCCTCGGTTCAAAAGATTGAGTTGGGTATCTCAACATGCCTATCCCGGTCATGTTGGCTGTGTCATGTAAACCTCAATCCCACTAAATCCTAATTCTTCATGGTTAACTATCTCAAGTATAGTTGAAATCCCACTAAATCCGTCTAAATCCCTAATGTTGATGGTTAAATACCCATTAAGCCCATCCTTGGTTGCATGTTTGATTCTTGTGCCAGCCATGGCCCGCTGGAGAGGATGGGAGTGTGCGCGGCAGCTCACAAGCGAGGCTAGGTCCAGATGGCGCACCATGGGAAGCGCAGGGAATCGGAGTGCCCCCCAGTTGAAGCTAGTTTATAAACTTCATTAACAATATATACATCTGGGTAGATTGTAACGACCTCACTGCGACCTCACTGGAATCATGGTTAGTAAGGGGAATCATCCCCAAATGGCCTTAATTCAGGTTAGTGAAATATTATAATTTACCCAGATACATATATATATATATACCATAAATCCTAGGTATTGTAGTTGTAAAGCAACTTAGCTAATTATGGAGCACCACCTTATAGAGAATGGAAAGAGAGGGAAGGAAGGTCAGCAGGATCACAAAATTGGTGGGTGACTCTCTCCCCAATTTCCAGCAGGAGACAGGGCTATGGTGCTTCACCTGCAGCTGCACTGGCTGGAAGGAGATTTCCCAATGGTGGGACCATCCACGAAGATCTAGATTTGAACAGGAGGGTGCCAGATCTTTGACGCATAAAGCCGACCTTTATGAGCGTAGCGAGAAATGGCAGCATGACGCATTGATAGGTTTGGACATACATACAATTGGAATTCTGCAAGCCTATCGCTGGAAAGAAAGCATGCAAATCAAGAAAAGACAACTAGCATGGCATAGTTGTTCAGCTTTGTTGCAAGCACAACCTGGAATAAGTATGTCATCAAAGAAAACCAGGCCAGTGAGGGAAAGAACTGGTGGTGCCACGAACTGCAATGGGGCTGGAAGCAGAAAAAGAGAGGCGTAACCAGCCTTAATCAGTTAAATTGTTTCTTCAGCCAACAGACATGGAAAATCATTTTGCAGTACAACAAAAGAACTAGTGTCCCAGTGAATTCATGTGAATTCCATCATAGTACTAGTTGTAGATTTTGCGCTATATTGCACTATATAAATAGTAGGCTACTTCCCCATTGAAAGTCAGGAACTGCGGCTACGGAGCTTCTGCTCCCAGTGATCGACAGCCAGATGTGGGGCTCCTTGGGGGGCTGGTGCCTTTTGGGATGTGTGGATTGGCTCTTACGAATTGCAGTCTCACCAACAAAAACCCCTGGGTTTTACAGACAAACGTTGCCATCAAAACCAGGGATTGGATCCACACTTTTTTGTCGGCTTTCACACGGAGAAATCAGCCCTACAACATGTTCATGGGATGAAACACCCGAAAATGCGGATGTTGTGCGATATGGTTGGTGGTGTGATTCATGTCTTATATGTTATATTCATGTCTATTCCAAAAATATCATGGTGAAAACTGGTGAAAACTGATGGTCCCAGTTCACTTGAAACCACCAACAAAAGGAGGACCATCTGTCAAAGCGGCAAAGAGCACACGTCTTTGGTATGTTCAGTTTATTTGGGCAACGCTGGAAATCCATTCTGTTTGGTAGTTGCATGCGGTTGAATCTTACTGGTGCTTAGGGAATGGGGGAATGATCCATAATAACTATTCACAATCATCCCGTTCCCTCATTCCCTACTAAGCACCAGGAAGCAACGGAAATGATGATAGTCCAATTTGGCAATGGGCAAACCCCACCAAGCAGCGATTGCCGAGGACGATTACGGAAACTTGGAGGCTGGGTGTGAGACACATAGGACCTCATAACGATGCATTCGTCGATGATTTGGTAAGGGGAAATCATCCCAAAATGACGTTGTTTTCGGTGCATGGATTATTGGTAGTGCGGCCACCTTCAGCCTATCCAGGATAGTTGGTGGCTGGTGCTTTCGATGAGAAGAGTTCCATCTTTGCAGAATTTACCCAAGTTGTTCAGGTTCTTTTCATAGGCTGAAACCAAGGTGGAGAGTTTGCAATGTCCAAGTTGATGAATCACAGTTGCAGTTTCACAGATGTACAGAAGTCCTTCCTTCTTGAAAGGCGGATCATGCTTCGTCTCTGTGAGGCCTATAGGAATGTTTCTAGATCCTCAAAATGTCCAGTCCATCAAACTGACCGGTCCATCAAACTGGTTCCCAGCGCTCTCAGAAAAGAGCATCAAAATGGGATCAGTGATTTCTACTGCTGGGATTTACTGAGTGGAACTGAATCAAAATCTACATCTTTTGTTTGAAATCTATGTTTCCAAAATGCTGAACAAGAAAAATAATGCTCTATATAATATGATCTAATTCTCTAAAATCTAAGGCCCGTAAAACTACCCGCCCCTAAATTTAACAGGAGTTAGGAAGATTAGTTTCCACATGTGTCCACCAAAAATTGACGATGTTCAGGGTCTATGTTACGTTGGGAGAGGGAGAGGGCAAGATCCTATCCCACTTTCTGACTGTTCATTCCGATTATATCCATGCATATCCCTGAAATCCAGTAGATTTCCCACTTTTTTTGGTCAAATATACCAGAATTCCATGAAATCCGTATTGAATTCCGTTGAATCACCATCATTCATTCCCAATGCATCCCATTGAATTGCATCCCATGAAAATTCCCATGACATACCCTCTGGTAAACTAACATAACCATGGGAAATCACCATTTTGAATGGAAAAATCCACTATAAATCACCATGTTCAATAGCTATGTTAGTTTATCAGAGGGTATCTACCATGAACCATAGTCAACCATTGGGATTTCCCATCATTTTCCCATGAATTCTAAAATGGAATTCTGCCGACAGATCCCGGGCAGGAAGAGATGCTGGTGGACTATGGCCTGGTCTGACTCCCCAGATTGAAGTGGTCAGTTCACCTGTTAAACAGGAGATGTTTTAGCATGAAAAATGGTGATTTGATGGTGACTAATTATTACTAATAATGATTGATGCTTTTTTTTAGCATAAAAAATTATGATGGCATACCAACAAAATGGTGATTTAACCAGCAAGACTGGTAATTTTACCATGAACAATGGTGATTTTTTTGAATGGTGATCAATGGTTAGCAATGAAATGATATTGAAAATTTATTAACGGTGATTAATGAAATGATTAGTTGCGATCGATTGAATATTAACCATTGAATGAAATGGCGATTTAATGTTAGCAATGAAATTGTTGATGGAATGCAATGGAGTATATAACCAGCAACCATACAAAATGGTGATTGAGAGTTCTCCAGCGAAAAAAAGGAGATATCATGGGCAGATAATGGAGATTTAATGGGTACTGTATATAATGATGGGAGACTTCTGTATATAACCATATTAATTAACCCACATAGCCACGGTATGACATGTAGACTATATGTTTTTTTGAATTGTTTGCGAATCTCTGATGTGGATGGGCATGGGCCTCTGCTGGCTACCGATTGTAACAGGTGTTGTGAGGTATGTTTAGAGGGGGGGCATTAGAATTGGCCAAGATAGGAAACCTCGTCAGTGGATCATGTGAATCGTATGTTGATTATTTTGCCACAAGAAATATGCGTTAATATTGATATATACCCATAATATCACATAATTATGTAGTTAATTGGAACTTATTGTAACTATATATATATAACATACATGTAAACATAGAACGGTATTTTACTGTATATAATTCATTGTATCATACACAAGACCAAGCCTTGAAGGGCAGCGACTGCTTGAATACCCAACAAGTGGGTAGTAGATACCCGGGAACGCCTGAGAAACCCACCCGTGTGAACTCTCGCAAAGCATCGGCAACGGAAAGTCCCTCACTTATATTTATCAAATTTATAGATTGTTGATTGACGAGTGACTGCATGAAAAATCCAGCTTTCTCCGTGTGTTCAAAATTACCGGGACGATGAACCGAGATCCGCGCCCAGGCAGTGTTGGAAGTGTTAGAGGAAGGAGATTCTTTAGAGGTGATTTTTGAGGTGCGACCAGTGCCTTGAGGTGTTCAGTTCGGCCAACCCCCTAAAGGTGACCCGTTGACAAGAGATGGTGGTCCATATTGCCCCTGTTTTCTGTTTGTTGCTGGTTAATAAAGTGACAAAGTCTGGATTTTTCCATGTTGCCATAGATGGTTGGTAATAGTTGGTATAAACCTTGTTGATTAGTAACTTAGTAGGTTAACGGGTCGTTTTCACTGCCAAACATGTAGGTTATACATGGTTATACTGTTGTACTAGAAATTAAGTTCTTGGTCAAGATCATATCTATGATATCAAACATGTGTAGCTTGCGAAACTTACCAAACTTGGCATCGGTCAACCTTGAAGAGCCAGAGGAACCAAGAACTGCAGAGGTCTTGTTTTGTTTTTCTTTACTAATGGTATCTGGCTATGAGTCAAAACCCTGGTACCCCTGGTGAACCCCAAAAAATAGCTGGGATTTATGGATGTTCATCCCACATCATCCCACTATAGTAATGGTATCTATAGGTATTGACCCAATGGCCCATACCCATCTGCCAATTTTGGGTACCCATTCTGTTACCCATACCGGCTCGCAATCTTTTTTTTTTGGTTTCAAGGGCTGGGGCAAGCGGTGTGCCATGCCAGGGGGGGGCGTAAGATTTTTTCGGTTGTGGCGTAAGTAGCCCCTGTACTCGTCAAATAGAGTAATTTGTATGTAGTGCATGAAATCACGTTTGAAATCAGTAAAGTTAGTAAAGCAGCCAATTTCAGGGTTCAGAATGGAGTACTGTAGATCAACTTCAAAACCGACCTTTTTTTCATTAGTGTTATCCCATGTCAGGCTTCGTTCTAGCAGGAATAGAATACCCTTTGATATTTAAACATTAATTACAATGGAAAATCAAACATTTATACTGATTGGTGGTTTGCAACATATTTTATTTTTCCATATATTGGGAATTTCATCATCCCAACTGATGAAGTCATATTTTTCAGAGGGGTAGGTCAACCACCAACCAGATAATAGATGATTTTTTCATTAAGACTTCCATGGGGATTTCCCATGGTTTCTCAGCTACTGGTAGCCATGTTTACCAGAATATGTCTGCATGTCCGCCAGGTGCAGGCGCCTACGAGAGTGGCCAAGGAGAGAGTCCCTCGTGGTTCAGCGTTTTCCCGGACATTGCCATTTTGGGTCCCTATGCTCAGACACCCCAAGTATCAAATATGTACTTAATTTCTTATATGTTGTATTTCATATTGGTGCTTTTTTTTCGCTTTCTTTCTGCTCTTAGTTTGGATGATCTCACTTGAAAGTAACATTTTTGGCACGGATTGAAACGGCAACCAACCACCAGTGGCCATGTTCTTATATATATATATGATATTTATATGTGTATATATTATATCAATGTATACCATTTCTATACCATTAATACGTATATTTGATATAATATTACATTTTGGTATAGATAATTTATATAGTCATCCCCAAACATATGGAAAGTAAATCATAACCAATATACTATAATATACTATGGCTTAGTTTTTTTTAAAAATATATATATATATGCACTGGTAAAAGTGTTCGAAGGCACGGCTGGATGCAGGAGACGATCCAAGAAGCTGGTGTTTCCGTGGGCGACTTCAAGGCGCGGACACTGCTGGATGAAGAAATGCCGTGATTTTGCCATGAAAAAGGGTGATTTTACCAACAAAATGGTGATTGAAGCATCAAAACAGGTGATCTTACCATCAAAACTCGAGCAGATGTTTAGAAACCCTAATGGGGATTTTACAACATTTTTTTGTTGTGTGTGTGCCTTATTGAAACAATATTAACGAACAAAAATACGAGAATAGAATTGATCTGTTTTTGTTCGTTGAAGTGTCCAAAACGCTCTGTCATCCCTTTGTACTAGTTGGCGGTTCCCATAATTGGTCATAATCCCCAATAAACCAGGAAGTTTTTAGCAGCTTTGAACAATCTATCATCCAGATATCCAGGATTTTGGTCACTGCTCATTTGTCAGCTATATTTTCCATGGTCCTATGGGATATGATGAAATGATGGGATAACGCGTGTTTTTGACTGGATGTAGATGGATGTGTCGGGCAAAGCTGATCGTGAACTTTTTGTGATATGTGAACTACCCTCTGGTTATGACTAGCAGTTTGCCATGGAAAGATCCACCCATTTTGAAGAACGGTAAACCATCTATTTCTCTAGGCCATCTATACCATGGCTATGTTAGTCATAACCAGAGGGTAACACTGGAGATATGACCAACACTGGCAGCCAGGCGGGATACCCCACTGGATAACCATCTATTTCTATGGGCCATCGAAATAACCATGGCTATGTTAGTAATAACCAGATGGTATATGTATATATATATATATACTATACAAAAATGGCCCATTTATAGTGGATTTACCTATTAAAAATGGGTGGATCTTTCCATGGCTATCGAAAGTGTTTCCTTTTGACGATCTCGAAATCAGTGATTCGACCGACCCGTGTCATCGACGTCGCGACAGACCATCCGCGTCTTGGGCACTGGTGCCTCCTGTCGAGTAGTACAGGTGCGATGAGGGAAGGGCAGAGATTTTCCACCCAAGATGAACAACCGGGGAAAACCTTTTTGTTTTTTTCCTGGTTGGGAAAATGAAACAGACACTCCTGATATAGTGCACTATAGAACTTAAGGGTGGAGGTGAATTCTCCGCCAGTTCCTGTCTACAGAGTCTACACGAAATATATACTGTGACTTAAATAACTTACACGATGTGCTTTTGCAATAACTTTGCTGCAGGCTATCTATATAAGTTTGACCATGTTAAGACTTACAGCAGGTGCTTCCCGTTGTGCTATGATTGATGTGCCAAGGCTCCAATGGCTTCGATGTTTGCACCGTGTTTGGTAGTGAAAGCTACCTATATATAGATACTGATATCCCAACATGGTTTAATGATGTTTAATGATGTTTAGTATGGTTTTAATCATGGTCGCTTCATGGTTCTAAATATGTGTTTATTGTCCATCTATGAGTTGGCTACCTCAAGTGTATCAGCATGTTCCGCATTCAAATAACAATCTTGGGGATAGTACATATCATTCAATGGTCAAGCGCGGAATAGTTATGATATTGTTGGTTTTACATCCCATTATGTCACCAAAATATCTGCATAATTATGTATGTTGTTTGCTTTTTTTTATACCCCCTTGTTTGTGTTGGCCGAAAACTCACCATTTCTGGGCAAGTACCCAACAATATCTCCATGTTTGCTGGTCATTGCTGTTTATAATTACCCGCCTTTTGTCCCGATTGTTTTCGGATTTTGGTCGCAAAATCCCCATTTCTGATGATTGAATATGTTACCCTTGGGTAAGCTATGGACAAACAAAAACAGTTTAATAAGTAGATCATCAGCATAAATCATATTATTGAATCATCCATAAATGGGCCATTCTTCCATAGATATGTAACAAATAACCAAAGGGTAAATGCTCATGTTGGGTAACTTGTTTTGGTGGTTATTTGGTGGAGAAAAAAAAAGGCCGCCTCCTGGTTCCAGGTTCGACATAAACTCACTGGCAAGGAGTATGCTGTGAAGGTGCGGAATCTCACTGGGATGGTTGAAATCCAACTACCTCCTGACAAGGTTTAGGTATCCCCCGAAATACACCCAGATATACCTTCAGGAGGTACTTGGATCCAGAAGGATTTGCTTAATGATTCTGATGTGTGTATGTGGTATGTATATAATATATCTTTGATTATCTATATATATATACAATTACATACACATGTGTATCTATATACATATGTACATATTATAATACATATTATATATTATGTCTATGTTCTCTTGCTCTCAAATGCACGTGCCAAGAAGATGGCATGCCAGGTGCTGAGCAAGCGGAAACTGGTGACCCATGACAAGAAGCTGGAGCGCCACTGGGCGGCATCGAAGCATCGCCTGTGGGTTTCACTGGGATTCTGATGGGTTTTAGTGGCATTTAATGAGATTTGCCCTCTGGTAAACATACAAAAAACGATGGAAAATCACCATTTTTCATGGGAAAATTCACTATAAATGGCCATTTTCAATAGCTATTTGTATGTTTACCAGAGGGTAATTAATGTAGTGTTTACTTGTTTTACCCCAGGTTGACTAGTTGTTTAACTGGGATTTGATCAATTGAGTTTTGACCAGCAAAAAGGATAGTGTCATTCAGAAGTTGTGGTTGGATTTTCCACTACAGATTAAATATGTGGATAGTCACCAAGCGCTGAAGGTAGCGGAATGAACAACTGATTCTCTTGCCATCAACGGGAATGTAAATACTAACCAGTCAGCTATGTGCTTTGTTTATGTATTTAGGATTAGCAATGTTTTGAGCAACTATGAGGATGCACTCACATTGAATCAAAAAAGCTGGAATTGAAGTTTCAAAAACACTTCAAGAATTTGAAACTGATCATCAAAGATGCGGACTTAACCGGCAAAATTGGGGGTGTCACTCACCAGCATGATTAATGTTGATATGGGTGCCATCCAGTAAACGGACCTGGTACTGGAAAAGACGCGTTTCTAAAAGCGGTTGATACATCTTTTGATGTGTGTATCTCGATGGTCAGATCTGAAAATTTGAGCACCTGTTTTTTTTTGTACCAAAGAGTACCATCTGGTTATTTAACATAGCCATGGACAGATCCACCCATTTTTAAGAACGGTAAACCATCTATAAATGGGCCATCTATCCCATGGCTATGTTAGTCATAACCAGAGGGTAACACTGGAGATATGACCAACACTGGCAGCCAGGCGGGATACCCCACTGGAAACCGCAGGGATTTGGTATGATTTGGTTAATATCCTCTGATCGTTTGTTCAGCTACGGAAAATCGCCATGTCAATAGGTACTGGGTAAAGCATCGAACGAAATTCGGGATTCAGCGGGCCATGTTCCACAGTGTTACTATGTTTGTTGACGGGGTCCAATGTTTTGAATCTTAATTGAAATCCCAATTACCTTCTGGTTATTTAACATAGCCATGGGATAGATGGCCCATTTATAGATGGTTTACCTATTAAAAATGGGTGGATCTTTCCATGGCTATGTTAAATAACCAGAGGGTAAAATCAAAAAAAAACATGAAACTCCATGGAACTTTCATTTCTTGATACTTAAACCAGCCATCTCGCAGGATCCCCAGCCGAGGTGCCATCGCTGAAAAGCGCGTGCTTGCACGGTTACAGCATCCGCGGCTCGGCGCTAGGGACAAATCTGTTAATCTTTTGCGATTTTAATAGGAATATCTACGTTCACCAGCTGTGTATGATTATATATATATATATAATATGTATCTGTTTTCTTGGAGGGTATATAAGATTGGCAAGGATTATAGGCATTTACATGGTGATTGTATGGGATTTAAGGGATTTAATGGATTTGATGGGGATTTAGTGGTATTTTGATGGATTTGATGGTAATTTGAAACTTGAAACTTCGACACCCCAAAGCACTTTGGTCAATTTTGATTCAGGCTTCTCTTTATTGTAATAAGGAATCCACTGGCTTCCGGAATTGTAGATCCCATTGGTTCCCTGATTGGAATCTGGTTTGATATCCTGCGATATGTTCTGCCATCAAATGCATGTTTCTTAGAGTTCGTTATTGCCATCGGCTTCGAGATGCTTGCCTGCAAGGTATACAAGAGAGGGAAAAAAGGATTTGATGATAATTTTTACTCTGGTTTTTTCGAACCTGGCTATGGAAGCCATGGCACACTTAGTTCGATGACTTTCCCAGCTCTAAACCTCCATAGATCTGATAGGATCTGATAGGGGATTCACCATTCCCATGTTAGCAGATTGACGAAGATTTCTGGACAGCCAACCCTGGAAGTGTTTTTTTTGGAAGGTACCCAGTTGCTCGAAAACTTTTGGAATCCAGTTGATGGTGTTGACTTTTTGCCACACCAATTACAGTATCTGATTGGTGGTTTGGAACATGACTTTTATTTTTCCATATATTGGGAATTTCATGATCCCAACTGATTAATATTTTTCAGAGGGGTTGAAACCTACAATTACAGTATTGTTGGTTTTGGAAAAGCGTCACACCCCAAGATCCCCCACGGCCGTCGATTCGTGAACAAGGTTCGTGGTGCAGATGCACTGGGCCTTCCAAACACAAGGGCACCTGTTCTTAGTCTTGGACTACTGTTCAGGCACGTGGTGACGGGAGAACAGCTGAAGCCTGGGAGGAGGTTGCTGCTTATTGGCTACATAAATATCCGTTGCCCATTGGTCGATTAATCGTTGGGTCGTCCCAAACAATGATGATAAATCATGTGGCTTCTTTTGTGAGCCGAAGGTACCAAGCCTTTTGACACCCCATTTGTCCCTCTCCACGTGGAACCCGAGTAAAGATGGTTAGGCGGAGAAAATCACGGAAAGAGGATGGTGAACACAGTGGTTTAGTTGCCTGTAGTTTTTTTCCCTGAAGTCATTGTCCCCAGTGAATTTTGGAAGACTTGTTGAAGTGCACGGGCGTAGATGTGGGACGCATGGACTGAGTATTGCATTTTGAATGCGGCAAAACCCTGTAGCAGGAACCATACTCATGGAAGTGTATTCTTAACATTCAAAAACGTGGTGTATGAATGTGTCCAATCACACATTCAAGTGATCCTCATGTGGTTTCGTGCACATTCGGTTCCACCTCGCTGTTTGGCTCAAGCTTGCTGAAAGATTTGAATTTTCTGACAGCGCCGCCGCATGAAAAAATGAACGAAACTGCCTATGTTGACCTCCCTGAAAGGCACAGGCAGCTGAATCAACAGATTCTTTGCTATGAGAAGCTCTCCCAACTTCATCAGGCTCGTGCTCCAGTGCCGCCATCTGGACCAGATTTGCTGAATGGTGAAGCTCCTCAAAAGATTGAGCGGAAGGTGCCAAGGGTGGAGTTGAAAAAAATGCTAAATCCATCTTCTTAAAATCCATTTGGCCCAAACACTTTGTCATTACCACTGATCATCATATCCTTTCCCATAGTGTTTCATACATTTTCCCATGTGTTTTGTTTTCTGATTTTCCTATGTTTTCTTAGCCCCTTTTTCCGCCCAGGGCGTCGAGCTCTTGGCGAAGCTCGGTGCGCCAGGTGCGCCAGGTAGCGGCGCGGCCCTGTCGGCGCAGCAGCTGGCGCTGGCGAGTCTCTCTGCGCAGCTGAAGGTCTGCGAAGAGACGTTGAGTCAGGAGGTGCCACGGCGTTTTTTTAAAAAACCAGGGGGGCTATAGCTATTATTGGTTAATGTAATGTATAATGTATATAGTTCATGATGGTGCTATAATTTTGTTGTGGTTGATATAGTGGTTGTTCACAATAGGTTATAACATTATATAACGGTTAAGAGTGATTACGAAGGATTAATGAACTATGGATTGATGATGGTTGATGATGGATATGTAATTGTTAAATAATGCTTGACGATGGTGGATAGTGCTTAATGAATCTTAATGATGATAAACCATGGATTAATATCTTTATTGGTTTTATTCGTATTATGGCTTGGACTATCTAACATACTTACTTAATGAAGGAGTCATTATACTGGTTAATGGAGGTTGTATACTGCAAGGATTGATGGTGGTTAGTAATGGTGATGAGAGAAAAACGATGTGCTGTTGGGGTGTCAACACCGCCCTGGCAGTTGATGTTTGGATGTGAAGTGGTAAATGTTGCATAGTTTATCAATGTTTATCATCAAACATGGAGATTTACCAACAATGTGGGGAGGGTGTCATTCAAAATATGAGTGAAATGGGTAGCGTCAATCAATGGGGATGGGTAAATGGAGGTTTGAACTTTCCCAAGTAAGAAGTAGTTGAGAACTCACTTGGGTCATACAGTTTTAACATATATATATATATAATCATATATACAATATACACTCGTAAAATGACTGCTATCCATAATATCATATAATATTGAGATGCTCATCAAAGAAGTCAATGGGCAAATTGGTGTTGAATCCAACAACAATGAAGTGTACCCAATATTTTTTTATGGAGTTGTGCTTGGTGTTCAAGCACAAAGGAATTGATGTGTTCGAACTTGTGAAGGTTGAATGCAAACAGGGTTTTGTGGTTTTTCGTTGCTTTCCATGAACAGGGGCTATATAATGCTATATATATATATATGTTTATTGCCTCCTAAAGATCTTGTGATTTGGCTGGATATCCAGCAGTCGCCTGGTTAGGTGTCCAAAAAAAGATATGTTTCCATGAATCAAATGGGAGATGTTGAAGTCACCAACATCAATGGGCTTCACGAAATGGGGATGAACACTTCATATCTGAATAACACCAAAATGGTAAAATGGACGCTTCGAATGAAGTTTTTGCGTTTCAGCGCCACAAACCATGATGATTCTGGTTGTTTGGCAAACCGAGATAGGGCGAGCTAAAACAAGATGGTGTTTGAGTGTTTGGATCCATTGGGAGGATTACAAAAAACATCATTACCAAAAAAAACAGAGAGACTACCCCTTGGTTTCACCAGATTTTTTGGCCATCCATGACTTCCCCTGTGTCCACCGAGGTGGCCACCTTGGAAGCCAAAGCCAAACCGGCCAAGGAGTCCAAGGCACCTGCGGCACCGGCGCCTGTGAGCTGCCCCATGGGACCGGTGGCACCCATGGCACCGGTGGCACCGAGGAGCGAGCGTGAACTTTTGAAGCAGATGCTGCGGAGGAACGAGGTCTTCAAGATTCGGTTCCTCATGCGCCGCGACGGATTTCACCACTACGATTTGAAGAACCTGAGAAGTGAGCTATGAGATGAGTCACGGGTGTGTCACACAATGGGATTGTACTGGCCATATTTAAAAGATGTTCAAAGCATTTAATGAAATACAATGAAACGTACTGGAAGAAGTTTTCCATGTAATATTCCCATGAGCACCAAAAGATCCATTTTTGCGGCATTCAATGGGAAATATGATGAGTACAGCCAGTGAATTTGGGGTATACCCCAGCTTTCGACAAACTCGAATAGCTCCTATAGTCCCTCGGGTATTTTCACGCCTACCAGAGCGCTCTGGACAACTCCAAAGCGGGGGGATAACTGGCGTATGTTTCACCTCTAGAAAATGAACTCAAAAACTCAGAACGCGGGAATGAAGAGAAAGATCTGATTGATGAGTGCTGGTTTCAAGACATAGATGATGATCTCGATGGACTGATTTTATGGCTAGAACAGCAATCTGATAATCTGGGTGTTGAACATTGAACCATAATGAACTCTGTCAGCAAAATATGTGCTCGTCAAAGTCTCTGAAGGGCTATCCTCGCTGCATGGCTCTGAGTTTGACCCGCCGAACGAAGTCGCCCCACTGTGGGCACCCTCAGCATGAAATCTCGGAGTCCCTCGGAAAATGCTGTAGTAATACAAAAAAGACATGTACTGAAAATGCGAAGCCAGAAAGGTATCAGCCCATGCAGATCTAAGATGATCTAAGATGATCTAAGTGTTGAGTTGGAAGCATCTTGTTCCGCCACACGACTCGCCGCCTGGATTGATATACGACGCCTTTGCCGCGACCTCGGTGAACAGAGAAGTGTACCGGTTGTCTCCAGATGTCTAAGCTGATCATTGGAAAATCACCATTTGCTGCAGAGCTAATTTGATTTAACTTGCCTATTTTATTATTGTTTATTATTGTTTATTATTGTTTATTTATATATTAGTATGTGTATGTATGTGTATATATATATATGTGATTATGTGTGTGTTTGATTTGTCTATGTACATCCATTTACTGATGATCCTCTTGTGGTAGTTGTTGGCATGCGGCTGATACGGCGCCCTTGGAAGGGTTGTCGATTTTGAGATGTGCCATTTACGATCCCGTGGAAGGGTTGCAAATTTCAAAAATGAGGTTTTCCGAAATGGGGGTATAGGATTTGAAATTTTCGATTTTTTAACGTGTTGCACATGGAAGAGGCATATGTTGCATATATTGTCGTATGATCGTCAGGGGGGTGGGGGGAGGGGGGGGTGAAGAGGGGCCCTAGCGTCTACTTCAAGATCAGCTAAGGCGTCTTCCCCAATGACAGCACTCTTTTACTCAGCCTGTTGCCGGTCAGTGCTATGTCTACAGGGTTACTCTATATACCTCTTGAGCCTTGAAGGGCACATATAAATGTGCTCAATACTCATGCATAGTACCTGGTAGGTATTAGGTCGAAACAAAAACATGGGGGGGGGTGGGGGGGGGATGTTAACGTTCGTGTCGAGCGCTTCCATCACGTTACGGAAGAGGCATATGTTGCATATGTTGTCGTATGATCGTCAGGGGGGGGGGGGGGATGTTAACGTTGGTGTCGAGCGCTTCCATCACGTTACGGCAGAGGCATATGTTGCATATGTTGTCGTATGATCGTCAGGGGGGGTGGGGTAAATCATCTAGAACCATGATTGCTGGAACTCAACAACTTGATGGAACTTGGACACACTTAAAAAAATGGCGACCTCAATCCATGCTCCACAAAAAGAAACAACAGGTGTACCAAAAACGGTACAGTTATGCTTACAGCTGGACTTGGCGTCACAACGCTGCCTTGTTACAGACTGTAGCATCAGCACTGCCACAGGCGCTCTGGCACCGCTAACCTCGAACAGTGGAAAAAAAATAGGAATACCGCCTTGATTGATGTGATTTGGATGACTCAAAATCATAAAATTCTAATGTTTTTTTTCCACCCGTGAAGAGAAAAATCGAGTCACCGCGCAGGCGAAATTCAAATTTTCACTCTTGAGTCACACGCCTGCCAATCGAAATGAATGTCCATGTTGTACACATTTTTTGACGACTCCTGCAAATACCAGCATTTTCTCTCTTACCCTCAAAAATGACAATTTCAAATTCGTCACCCTTACAAGGGCGCCGAGTCAACCGGTTGCCTAGTTGTTCACACGTTTGCTGCTCATTGCCCTGCAAGGTGACCGTTTTATCGGGCGAACGTGGTAACCCGTGGGTGGCTTCCCTAAGGGAATCTGGTTCTTACGATCGCCAAGGTTTTCTTAAAGAGTTTTATCCATAGTATAAGCATCTATTTTTGCATGGGATGAACATCCAGAGACTGGTGAAAAGTATTGAAAAGTGAGTTGGCTAATTTGATAGTAGTATAATGGTGATTTTCAGTATTTTTGTATGTCACCTGAATGTAATCAGCTAATTGTGGTTGCTTTTTTCCCCCCCTGGAAGCCAATGCACAAACAGGACGAAGTCATGGGTCCTCGTCGGGCGACGCCCCCTCAACGTGCACCCAGCTCCAAAGTGTCGACTCCCTCGGAGCAACTTGGCTGGATGGAGCGGAAATAATCAGATGGCATATGGGTCAGAAATGTTGAGAAAAGCAGGTACCCCCATATAGGTATCACTATGGTGTTTTTGAATCAGGATGCCCCAAAGCTAAATAGCTGTGGGTTCTGTTGAGAATGAGGCCTAGGATGGCTTGCCAAGTCATGGTCATCTCACTCCATTTCCAAGGTCTTTCCACGTCTTTACATCTCACAATGCCCCGCAACTACAGATGTGACAGTGGACTCTCAGAACTTGCTGAAGTTAGGATTACTGTATTGGCTCAGAACTGTGCTGCCCGTCCAAACATTAATATATATATATATACTAGTATAATATATTATAATATATAATCATAATATACATATATATATAATATATATATACTGTACATATGATTTAAAACATGTATATGTTAACATTTATGTTTAATGCATGACGACGAGGTGGACATAATCCTTGTACCCAGTACACCATCCCAGGGTCCCAGTAACGTCAGGCCGCCAACGCCCAAGAAAGAGGTCTTCAATGGTCTCTTTGGAGGTCGTCGCAGGGGCATTGCATCGGCGAAGTCTGACATTTTTTCCCGCAAAAAAAATCCAAACTTCACAAAGTTCTAACTGTTCTATCATTCGTATTCATTTGTTACATGTGTTTTCACGAAACTCTAGTTCTAATTGTTTGATCGTTCTTGCAGATTGTATGTGATGTGTAATCTTGACAGCATCGAATCATAGTCTCTCGCTTCTGCGTGTCCATATTCATCCATGATGATCATTTGATCGATGGACACCAATTATATATATAATATGTTAAATTTGCCTTCCTTCTGCAAAAACATGTGTCAGATTTTGAGAGTTTTGAGCTACAGGTACGCATGGAAAACTCAAGAAAAATAAATGTATGTTCCAATACACACATGGGCGAGTCTGAAAGAAGGCGGCAAAAGAACACGAAATAGCAATTCAAATAGAAAATGATATGATAAGCTATGATATCATATGGATTCATATGGTATTTAACTGATTTCACTCCCCATGGCCATTTCAGGTTATATAATCCCACGCGGAGAGCCAGTTCGAAATCGCCGCAGGTTTGGATCTCACTTTTGACGGCGGCCCAAAGCCGGTGCCCCAGCCATGCGCCGTGGGCTATGGGAGAAGCTGAGAAATCTCATGGCTTCAAAACACCAGAACTTGGGAGGTAACATACAATAATAATCATAGCTATACCATAATTATAGGATATGTTATAATGATACTTCATGATACTTCCAGATTTTATTGATGAGCTATCTGTGACGGAAAAGCAGTTTAGGTTTGGACCTGATGGAGAACCTCTTGAGCACAATGCGCAACTCGTTTGAAGGGCGACTGATGGTCACGTGGGTTGGAGAAATCAGCAAAGATATGTATGTGTATATGTAAGTATATATATATATAATTATATATATATATGCATAATGTAAATGTATGCATATGTAATATGTATCATCGATATGTTTAAAGTCTTCCAAGTTTCGAGGCATAGTGTCTATATGGTACGACCCATATGTACCCACCATGATGTCTTCACTTGCTCTCAGACTTGGAAATACTGCATTGCAGCAACTCAACCGTCAGATGTCGGCATACACAGACTAGCAAGCACTTGATTCTGTCGGATGTGAAATTAACGGAGTCACCTTTGACATGCTTATTAAGTATCAGCATAACTATCATAACTATCAGAACTGTCATAACTATCATAACTGTCATAACTATCATAACTATCATAACTATCATAACCATCATAACGCATATAGAGTATCTTATAGGTGTTAGCTGCGAAACAAAATCTGAAGTCGCAGTCATCGCCTTGCCGCGTCGAAAAAGAGGACGGGCCTGGAGCACACCTTTGGTCAGTTTGAAACTCAGCGGATCGGATTTTTTGACCGCGAAGTGATGATGGAAATATGGGAATGGGTCAAAACCCTGGTACCTAGTGAACCCCAAAATAGCTGGTAAATGGATGTTCATCCCACTAAAAATGTATCTATAGGTATTGACCCATACCCATATATGGAAATAAGGCACCATATCAATTTAATTACAAGATAGACATGACATATACATACCTTCACACATACAATATATATATATATACACCTTCGTACATGCCGGTAGTCAATTTTGAATACATCATACATACAGTGTATATATATACACATCATATGCATGTGCATACATAGAGAATATGCAAAGGCTATACCCAAACATCCCAGTTTTAAGTCCAGCGGATTGGGCTAATGGATGTGCTCTTCCACTGGTGGATGACAAAAAGAGGGGTAACCCATCAGATAGCCAGAGTAGATATATGATTTAAGCCTTGAGTTGCATTGCTGGGATAGAGCTTGCTTTTTGCATCATGACTGTTTCGACGGCGATTTTGGAAAAAAAACATACCAAAGAACAAAGTCTAGAAGTCTTGAGAAGCAAAGGCGGGCAGTTTTTTTTGTCAAGAAGGGAGTCCCAAAACTTACCCTCTGGTAAACTAACATAGCTATTGAACATGGCCATAGAAATAGTGGATTTTCCCATTAAAAATGGTGATGTTCCATAGTTCTGTTAGTTTACCAGAGGGTAAACCTCCATTTTCCTATGGTTTTCCTATGGTTTTCCCATAGAAATAGTGGATTTACCCATTGAAAATGGCTGGAAAATCCACTTAGTTCATCTGTTAGTTCCCAGAAAACTTCCAAATCTCGTGAGGCCCAACGCCGAAGTCGGAGACATGGAGCATACCTTCGGGTGGGCTCCCCAGGTTCCCATGTAGAAGTTGCTAGATCTAGCTGGCTGCCACTAGAAGTAGAAGTGGTATGAAGTGGTAGTATACCACTTAGTTGCAGCAGTACAACCTTCCTGGTTTGCTGACCCAACGAAGTACTGAAATACGAAGTAATCTCCCGCTTTGGGATGTTCCAGCAGATGGAGATCAAGTGATTTGGCAACAATGGAACTGTGGACAGCATAAACCCTCCCCAATGACCAGCACCGGCACTAGGTCACTAGGTGCTATAGAACCATTCATCCCCTTGTGTTAATCCCACATTTGGTTTGCCCCTGGATATTCTTCTAGGTTCTATCACCTTGAATGACTTTGACCCACCAAGAATTGTACTGTAGCATCCCCGCAAATCCCACGAAACTCAACGCCCCAATTGTTCCGATTTCCCATGGGTTGATAAATCCCGAGTAGAAAAATGTCCCAAAAATCCCAACTATCCTAATAGCTGGTAGGTCTAATTGTACCAGGGATTGAGATTGGATAAAAATTGACATCTATCTCCAAAAACAATATATATATTCCAATTTTGATCATAAAAGTTATGGAATCGGTGAACTACGAGTTGGAATCCTCACTTCTCCAGGAAACGAGAAAAGGTGGAGTTAAAGACTACGGCCTGGTACCACGCGGCCGCTTGGACTAGCCCAATGGTGTCATCTGAGAGGGTTAAAAAAAACTGGCGATGGGACTGAAAATGGTGCGATTGTCTAAGGAAATTTGAGGATGTGTATGGAGAATGATGGAAACATCGCAACTTAATACGAATTATGGATATATGTAATTATGACATTTGTTTTGTAGGGAATATGATGATTCACTTCAGTGGACAACATATGATGATTCACTTGTTTTAAAATGTGGTAGACCCCATTTTATATATTATGATATATTATGTGCTTGATTTTTGTTGGTATACCTACCTACCGACATTGGGTATTTGACCATCAAACACCACTGGATTTTACGCGTATACCACCAGCACCTGGGTTTTTGAGCCGCTTAGCCTGTCCAAACCTTCAGCTGTCGCGAGCTCTGTTTGAAACCAGACACTTGATAAAGAGAAGGATGGTTCGACATCCGTGGGACCGTTTTTTGAAGGATGAAGATCATTGAACATCCATTTCCATCCATTTCCCAGAAACTTTGGTGTGAAGACTTCAGCCGTACCGACCCAGAAGGACTCGTTAAAATTGGATATTCTAATATTAACTGCAAGTAAACTCACAAATAGAGTTGGAAGTGTTTTCCGGACTCTTCCCACGTTTCAGGACAGTGGACGGCAGCAATTGGAATATGCTGCGCAACGTGACTTGCAGGTGGGATCCCCAGCCTGGAAACTCCCAACTTGTACGGCTGGTCCCAACAGCCCAGATACAAGGGGGAAGATATGAACAAATCCCAGGCATGACCAATTTCCCCTCTGGCTGTGATTCAGCGTTATAGGTTGGAGCAATCCCGTTGGTTAAATGATTGGAGGGTACATGTACTTATTCTAACTACTGTTTTGGGGAGGCGATTGGGATGACATCCAAAAAATGCGGCATTTCTGATATATAAGGGGAAAGCAATGGTAACTTGGGGTGCCCCAGTTTCAAGAACCACTCAGTTTGGGAGGTTTGAGACTGTAAACAAATGCAGATCTTGTATCAATTTGTGTCAATTTTGGGATGGTTACCATCTGGTCAACTAACATCGCTATGTAAAATATTGTAAAATGACCAGTTTTAATGGATAAATCATCTATAAATGGGCCATTCTCGCTATCTGTGAATTCCCCGAAGGAAAAAAATCACCCCTGTGGAGGCCATTTGTGAAACGGTGGAAGAGATGAAAGCTCGTGGACGATGTCTCACAGGTCAGCAGATGGTGATTTGAAACACAGCTCAACCTTCAGAATCCACCCGTTGATGAATTAAACCCATTTACCCTCTGGTTATTTAACATAGCCATGGAAAATGGCCCATAGAAATAGATGGTTTACCGTTCTTAAAAATGGGTGGATCTGTCCATGGCAAACTGTTAGTCAGTCATAACCAGATGGTAAAACCTCTGTGGTTTTCATGAGGGACATCAGGGGACATGAAATGATGTGACCTCTTTGTGGCTGTGTTCACTGCTAGACCCAAAAAGCCTGGTAGGCAAATTCACCAACGACCCAGAGGCCGGGACACAACAGCTTGGTCAGCAAAATTGGGGATTTCCAGTGTCCACAGGTCTTTTAAAATCGAAGGACAGAAAATGAATCTTGATTTATGTTGATTCCTTTGTAGGCGGAGCTCAACGGAGTGTGTTCTCCTATGAAAAAGTCAGAACTCCGCAAGGTCAGACATTGAACCCTGGCCGACCTCACCGTGTCGATGATGGCTTTATTGGCATTCATTAGCTTCCAATTTGGGAATAGCCGTAATCATCCAGATACACTGGTTTCCCAAAGCCCTTTCACGACTAGAAACAGTTCACGCAGAATGTGAAGTGCAGTGCGGGTCTGCATTGTTCATTTGAATGTGACAGTCGCAATAGTCACATAGAGAAGTGATTTTTGAGCCAACCAAGAAGTGACATAGCCCATCTCGGCTGAAATCTCTCACATAGCCCATAAAGTAGATGTTTATGGGATAATAATGGATAATATATGGATAATATATGGGATAATATATGATTATAGCAAATCTTCATCATTGTTCTTCCGATTTCGGCAAACCTTTCCAGATGTTTTTGTTTCCCGGGAGTGGCTCCCCATTCCACCGGTCGGCGCCAGATTATCCCGGACCGGAAGTTCCCAGAAGTTCTTCCATTCCCACCAGAGATGGCGCAACTGATGCTGTCACTCGGCGATGATATTTAAAAAACCCATGAATTCATGCAGAAAGTGTCCAACCACAATAATGTATAATAATGTATATATACATATATAGTAATTATAAGTATATGTTAAATTTTATACATCATGTATATATATATATATGTATATATACAATATGAAATTGTGTGTATACTTATACAATCATATGTATATATATATATATGAGATGAGTTTTCCTGACATGTTCGGCCGTTCTGCTTGATCAGTTGAAAATGATGTCAACCGGTGCCAGTTTTTGTTCACACATCCACTGCAGTAAAAACTTCATTTTGGGTTTGTCTCCATTGGGATCCATTGGGTATTTCCCTCAATGTCTCGGACTTTCCAATAGGTCAGTCGGTTTGTTGGTGCATCCATGTCCCAGACTTGGTTCAGGGGATAGTCTATAGTTAATATATAAACCCCTGATATTTGGGTTGTCAAAAACCAGCTTTTCCTCTAGATCGTCCCTTTCACTGGTCAAGTGATCATGACATAATGGGTTTTTCGAAGTAATTTTCTGTTCATTTTGGTATGGCAATGTTCCACAGATTTCGGCCCCAAGTGGGGGTCTGTATTTTTGTTAGCCAATCTCACTTTGCTGATTTATTTGGAGGGCACCTGAAGCTGTTCCAATTCACCCAGTTGAGGCTTCGCCAATGCATGGTTAAACTAGGCATATTAGACCCTCAACTCGGTGTTCATTCCGCTGGTGACTCATCATGTTCCAGATAAGGATGGGACTTATTGGGGTGGCCCAACATTTGATGGTTCATTCTGGTTGATTCTGGTTGATCACTTAAAAATGTAAGGCAAATCAGAATCATCAACCAGATCAACCAGATTCCAAATCTTAAATTTCTACACAAAAAAACGGTACTTGATTCTGGATGATATCTGAAAATAGTATTAGTATTAGTATTAGTATAGATATCCCCATGATATTCCCATATAATATACTAATACTAATATATATATATATATATGGATCATCAATTAATTCGTGTGCTTTTCGCCATCACTATCGTGGTAGCTCTCCACGACCAGGCGTCGCCAGCTGGATGAGGATCCTGGGCGCCGGGATTCGTTTTTTTTGTTGTTTGAAGGATTGGAACATGGGAATATGTGGAATTATATTGAATTAATCTGGATTAATAATGAATGATGATTCTTATTGTGTTTTTAACGGGGACAAATTTATGAATTATATATTGAATGTATATCATGTCCTTTTTGAGTGTCGGCAATGTGTTTCTCGCATGTTCTATTCTTAGATGATCAACTATGATGATTCTGCTCTTGACGAGGTACAACACCATGTTGGACGATTGCCCTTGAACAACACCGCCGTTTGAGCAAACAATCGATGGTTTGGATGGCCTCTAAGTCATCCAATCCTGAGGGCCTGTAAGTCATGTTGAAATCCGTGCAAATAGAGATGAAATTTGCCAAGTATTCTGGTTTTTTCCCCAATGTTTGAAATCACCCCATGAACTAGAGATTTATATGGATTTATGGGATGATTGGCAGTTTTTGTCATTTGGAGTCCATAAATCCACTTGAATCCATTTGAGCAAAGACCTAAAAAGTCCATGCAGAAACCCTTACTTGAGAGGTCTTGCGAAACTACACAAAGCGATAACCCGACAACAATGTAGTTGGCGATGTTTCGCGAACTACCTAAAGCGATCACTTTTGCAAAAATGAACCCAACAGTATCGCTTTGTGAGCCCAACAGTTGTGGTCCCTCATTTGAAATCATCCCATGTTTTTTCCCCGCTTTTCCATGGGATCGGTTGTCGTTTTGAGACAATCCGCCAGGACGTAGAGGACGAGGCAAGGCAACGGCAAGAACTTGTAAGAGTTGGAAGATGGGTAGGAGGAATCGTTCCAACAATCTACTAGCTTGAAGAATTGGAATGTATTACATTTGAACAACAAACTTGTCAGAAGAATGAGAAGTAGGATTGGTTATTGATTGTTCTATCGTTCCTTGAGGTTCAGGTTGGTGCTTCTTCTTGAATTCAACCTTCCAGCTTTGTGTTGTATTAGGATTCAGCTGTGAAGTGGCATGAGGGTGACAAATGGATTAATTATTTATGGAGGGTGATCCAACCCAAGGAAGACCAACTGGCGGTGTTTTCCCTGCCATGACAGGATTTGGAAGAGCCGACATTCCCAGGTAGGGCAAAGAGAAATCTGGGAGGGTGGGTGGATCCTGCACTTTTATGCTGAGACATGAGCTTTATTGAACTTTATTGCTGTGACACGGATGAGAGAAACCGGAACAGCTTATTTTCAAAATGCATGTAAGACATAAGTCTGAAATTGCTTTGGTTTTGCAATTTGTTTGGACATGTCATGCTGTTTTGATTTGTTTTGAGAGTCCAGGTACTTTGACATCTACTGAATCTACTGTAAACCTCAATTTGAGAGCGACACTTTGTAGCAGCTGTGCAATGGCCGAACCTCCGACGGTTGTTGATAGCAGGTATTTTTTTCCCATATATCACTTGGTGTTTGACTGTCCGCACTGAAGACCAACCTCACCATAAATTGATGTTTGCCAGGAGACACCTCAGCACAACATGTTCCTTCAAGAATTGATGATTGATTGATATGGACAAAAAGCACCTTCGTCGATGTGTCTTTATATATATATTATCTGTTAGTTTATATATATATATTATAACAGTTTAACATCAACAAATGGTAAACCTGGCGACCTGGCAATGAAATCCATGTCTTGGGATATCACCCAGCCAGGGTTTCTGATCCCGGTCGTAGCTACAGAGCTACCCGGCATGGCAGGATACACGGCATGGCATCGACTCTCCGAGCCGGGACTCCTTTTGGGAGCATCGACTCCGAGCTGTTTAGCTGTTTCATGATTTTGCAGTCTATAGATGTCTATAGCATAAATTATTGACATATTTATATATATATATTATTTTATATTATTGAACAATATTGATCAAATATATGTGATATATATATATATGTGTGTGTGTGTGCAACTTACTAGATGTACAATGTACAATATACCCACCGTCCGACCGTGCTCCATACGTTCGGAGCTTTGCGATAATTTCAAGCGCTTGGCAGGTTTCAACCCTTGGCAGGCGGCACGGCGCGTGTCTTTCAGGAGGGCAATTTGTCGTGTCTTGGTTGACTTGGCAGGGCGTTTTCACCACGGATTCAAGGCGCAATTCCAAAAACTGTTGGGGATGAGCCAACCATACATCCAAGTTGTGTTCATGTCAGTAGACTATGGTAACCCTCCAGAAAAACATCTCCAGGATGATGATTTTTCCCCTAGAATTTCCAGATGTCCAACTTCTTCGGCATCTTTTTGCTGCCAAGATGTGCCGAGTTGGGGCATCCCCGGCGATTCCGAGGCATTTGGGTCGTGTTTTTCCTGGACATTTGGAGAACATGTATCTGGTGGAAGCTTTGAACGTGCCCTGGCAAGATGATCATGCGTGAACGACATGGGAAAAAGATAATTTATTGTGTTTCCCTCAAAATCTCAATCCAAATCATTGAAAAACTCAACAGCATGCTAGAAATATCTGTGATTTGATGGGGTTGTAAGTACACCAATTTAGACCTGGGATAGCCTGGGGAGACCCGAGTCCATTTCGCCCAGGCCGTGTCTCTTCGCCCCAAATTAGCACGGCAACTATTCCTTTGCTTTGATCAGGAGTGCCTTGGACCATCAAAAATGCTGTAGAATGGAGGAAATAAGTGGAATCAACGCATCTAACTTCATCTACTCTCTGGTAATTTAACATAGCTATGGAAAATCACCATTTTTAATGGGAAAATCCACTATAAATGGCCATTTTCAATAGCTACGTTAAATTACCAGAGGGTATTACATTTTTTTAAATCCGTTTGTTGGACTTGTGTGCATAGTGCGCACGTCATTAATCTATGTTTTGTGCTTTTCACGCCTTGAGCTTTTAATCTCTATATAATTAACAATACTTAGCACCAACCGGATGAACGTTGGAGGATTCAACCATCAAAAACAAGATATTTGGACACCAGCTTGTGCAGGATAATGGATTTAGCGTCGTAAATCGTCGCTTGACCTGGTACTCGTACCTTAAAAAAATGTATTGTGAGTTAAGTGTAAACATTTGTGTAAGCGACTAGCGAAGGGCAGCTTCATATTTGAATCCGTTGCCATCAATGGAGAATGCACCAGTCAGCTATTTTTTTACGTGCGCAGCCATGTGCGGGAACTCCCACTGGTGCTTGTCCCAGAATTGATCTCAAGGAAATTTGCAATAAGTCCCAAATTGCGATTCGATGCTTCAAACCAGCCTCACGCCCTCAAACTGCCAGGGAAACCAAAAAAAATAGCCTTCAAGTTCTGAGGGCTGAGGTTCTTCCATTTTGATCCAGTATGTACATACTGTGTGTATACATATTAGGTGTATAATATCTATAATATATGTATGTATATACACAACTTATTTTCACTATATCCATATCACTCCACCATCTACCTATGTGTACATACATGTGTATTGACATGCATACATAGGTGCATCGATACATAGATACACAGATACATTGCATTGATGCATACATAGACAAATCACAAATGAGAGCTAGATACATAGACAATGAGAGCTAGATACATAGATATATGAATAGATACATAGATACGCAGATACATATATACATACATAGGTAGATACATACATAGTTACATAGATAGATAAATAGATATATAGATACAGATAGGGAGATAGGTACATAGATAGATAGATCGATTGATTAGATAGATAGATTGTTACATGGATAGAAATAGATAGATAGATAGATAGGTAGATAGATAGGTAGATAGATAGGTGGATAAATAGGTAGATAGATGGGTAGATAGATAGGTAGGTAGATAGATAGGTAGATAAACAGGTAGATAGATAGGTAGATAGATAGGTAGATAAATAGGTAGATAAATAGGTAGATAGATAGGTATATAGAGACGTACGTACAGACATTGCATTGCCTTTCATTGCCTTTCATTGCATTACATTGCATTCCATTTCCTTGCATTGCATCGCATTACATTGCATTACATTGCATTACCTTACATTACCTTACATTTTTACGTACATGCATATATATTCAACATTATTTAACCATATATACGTTGATAGAAATCCTGTTTCAATCCCTTGCCGCATGCATCAAGCGTGGCATTGATATATTTGGAGGATTTTGGGCAGCCTGAAAGAGCGTCAAACACACCATATTAGCCCCTTAAAGATGAACGAACGTGAGCATGCAACTCAGAAATTGCCATTTCCCCTTCCAAAGCATTCCAAACCGAAACAGGCGAAAGCCATGTTCCAAACCATCTGTCTTGACGGTGTTCATTTAAGTTTCCCCCAGGGAATGGCTGATGGCTGGCTAGGACACTTTTTCGGCAACCACCAAAAGGCAAATGATTTTGAATGATAGAAAATGGTCTGGTCCCTTACTATTTTCCCATATTTAGATCATTTTTGATCATTTTAGATCATTTTAGATCATTGATATCATTGTCCCAGTTTGAGCTGCTGCAAGGCTCAAAACACGACCCTGTAGAACAGAGGGATTTGAACCGAGGATATGTTTGAGAGATAGTAAACAACAAATAATAATAGAAAACACTAATCACATAATTACAGTAAAAGAAAACAACAGTAGAAAACAAGATCCCCAGTGCTTCCCGCTATTTTCGATAGGCCCAGGTGGATTGAGAACCAGGGCGTTAGATTCAGTGATATATTCAGTTTTGGCATGTTTGGAAAATTACACCATTTATCGCAAGGTCTTTTTTCGTCCAAAGTTTATGTTCAAGCTGATCAATTTAAGCTTAAACGACAAGTTTCTGTTGTTCCTTGCTGACCGCGATGCTACAGCTGGTATTTTGTGAACATGATCCAAACTGGAGCTGAGGGTTGAACAAAATGACCGCCCCAAATAGACACCCCCTTTGGACCGAACACATGATTCTCCCAAAGCATCAACACAAGTTTCCAACCGCCCATGACTGCCACTTTGGCTTGATGGTTTTCCGTCGGGGGAAGTGCTTCCGCAAAACAATGCCGCCCACCACAAAGAAGCATTGCATTTGCACGATGCTGCTCCTGGTACAACGTGCTATTTCCTAAGGAGTTGCTTATGGCTCACTGTGCGAGGTTCATTCGGTTTGGTCCGTCTACTTTCTGGCAGCGGGAAGAAACGGCGCAAGAACACTACCGAGGCGCGCAGTGTACATCTTATCCCTCTTCAAGAACGGCATCTGGATGAAAGTGGAAGTCGCCGGCAACTCAACGCCTGGAGTGATCTGGAATGTGGGATCGTGCTTTGCGAAAGATGTCTACATGTGACCTACATGACCAAGAAAATGGAGGAAAAAACACAAGTGATCTTATTGTACTTCCAGTGATCCCCACCCCGACAAAATATCTGACAAAGTTTCTGGCATATCATTTGACATTCTGGCATATCACCTGACAATTTATCTTTGGCATGCATATTCTGCCATTCTATCTGACTGTCTTTCTGGCAAATAGTTTGACATTCTTTCTGGCATCCTATCTGTTATCTATTCTGGCATTCTATTTGACATCAATCCTGGCATATATTCTCACATTCTTTCTGGCATATGTTGTGATATATTTTCTGAGGATTCTCTCTGGCATTCTTGCTGGCATGCGTTCGGGCACTCTTTCTGCCATTCTTTTTAGCATCTATTCTGACATTCTATCCGGCATTCTTTCAGGCATAATGTATTCTGACATTTTTTCTGCCATTCTTTCTGGCATCTATGCTGACGTTCTATCTGCCATTCTTTCTGGCATTTTTTCTCACATTTTTTCTCCCAAATATTTCTCGCACCCTAGCTGGCATTTCTGTCAGGTATTCTGGCAACGCGCCCAGACTGAGCCGGAGCTCCCTATAGGCTTCAGCTCTGTGCGTGCCCAGACTGCCATGGAGCCTGTGATATGTCTCGGGTGCCGGGGAAGCAAGATGATTCCACTTGAACTGGCACTTGCTGTGAGATCTGTGAGATCCGGGCCCTTTGGTGCCCACCGTCAAGTTGGCGGAAGGAGGAAGAAGCAAGAAGAAGAAAAGGAAGAAGGAGAAACCGCACCTTTCGTTAAAACCTGGAGACCCTCACCTGGCAGGTGAGGAACTATAAAGTAGTCCAAGTCACTCGTGCGTTGCTTCACGCAAGGTGCCACGCGAATGGTAGGAAAACTGCTGCATGTGGAATATTTTGATATGGTTTCAAGATGTGTTGCGAGTTTGTGCTCTGAATTGCCTCCAAATTTTCAGGATGACTATGTGCCAGTTGTGGGAGGGGAACCACTTTGCTGCCGTGTCTTGGAGGCAACTCTTTGTAGCAGCCGCCTATTGATCGACTTGGTCCCACTTGGCCAACCTTGGCCCCACCGAAGATTCGACCCTTTATCCCAGTCAGATTAACTTTTCATGCGTCCCAACCCGTACGGGACAAAACTTAATTGTGGAGTACGACAGGCTGAAACGCCGTGTTTGATTGTGGTTGTGAGAGCCCAAGGGCTGGCCGTGCCTTGAAGAATCGTGGAACTTATTTTTCCCTTCATTGATTTACATTCAGTCAGTCTTTCAAATTTGACAATCCTGAAACTAAGTAGACCGTTGTGAGGTATACATCGTGCAACATTTTAGCCGGGGCAAGGATTTTCGTTTCATGTCGATGGCGTTTCTCAGGTTCAGAGAAGTTTCCACATGTCCTTTGGTGGTCCCAGCCATGTTGAATTGGATCCAAGATACACCGGGACCAAAGAACTGACATCAACTGAGCCCGTTTGATTTCGGCATTGTTTGTTCTTTGTATCCAAATAATGTGAGCGCATTTCGTATTTGACAGTTCGCAATTATTTAGCAACATTACATCCTGGTTGTGGAGTTTCTGCGTGTGTTGGGTCATTTTCAAGTGCATACGCTGTTCCTGGACTGTTCCATACCTTGACATAAGTTTGTTTTGTTCCAGATGTACAAAATGTACTGAAGATGACCAAATCTGATTGGCCACAAGTCAGCCATGTTTGAACCATACGAATTTTGAGAACAGGTTCACGCTACTTGACGTTAACTTAATTTCAAATAAGATGGTATGTTACTTGAAGTTAACTTCATGTAACATAAATGATGCTATGCTACGTAACGTTAATCTCATGCTTAATTGTAAAATGTTATGCTACTTGAAGTTCACTTCATGTAACATAGATGATACTGCGCTACTCAACAATAACTTCATTTCAAATGAGACATCTCTTGTGAGAAAGTTTTTTTTAAGCCCTGAAAACCGCAATTCCACTGGCCCAAAATGAAAAAAGGCTGGCCTTCTTGCAAATACCCACAAATTTGAAGCCTTGAAATTTTGACTTCCACATAACAATGCTCCGAAATGCAGGTTTTGAGCTCTTGCGCTTTGATGTTTCACCATGGTTAACCCCTTGTTAGGAAGGGTTGCTCCACCGAATTATAGGTGAACATTCTCACAAGAGGAGTACATGATTAAATGGATCATTTGGCCTCTTCATCTAGCCGTTTTTTAGCACCCTCATAATCAGGGTGTTGGGAGCAACCCTGTCAGGGGGATTGGAGTAATCTGGTACAAAAACAGAAGTTGTTTTCCAGCGCCAGGCCTTCTCTGGTGGAGAAGGCATATGCCAAGGTGGGGTCTGACGACTTTTGAACCTAGGAGAGCCCCAAAAAGTGAAGATTTACCTTGAGGTAAGCATACAAAAAGATATGGAAATCCATAGGTTCAGGAAAAAACAACTAAAACTGTTGGTCTATCCATAGTTGATTCACTAGAGGATTTTACTATGAAAGTTTTTCTATGTGGCTGGCTACATCCCTAGTTACTGCAAGATGAAAATAGTACCACTAGAAAAGCGCAAAATATTTTGACCAGGTAAGCATTTTTGCTGCGCAGACTTCGGGTAAACACTGGATTTGACCGTATATTTTTTTTAGTGAAAAAACGATGGCAGGGGCGACGATGACCAACTTTGGCGAAAGCAACGGATGAGTTGGGTTAATCTAGGGTTCAAAACGGGCATATCAATGTGGCCTCAACCAACAATCAGCAATTATTTCTAGCCAAACCGGCTGATCTATTTTGTTCTATTTTTTTTACTTGTTGTTTACATGTTCCTGCTGGATTTATTGGTAACCCAGCCAGAAATTGCAAACGTGTTTGCTGCATATCCAAGAGTTGCCATGCCAATGGACCCAGAAATGGTTTGGCATTTTGGTGTTGAAGCATCCAATTTGGGGGGTTGGATCATGTGAAGCCATTGCCATCTATTGCAACGGTCAATGTTTGGCAAATGGATACACAGTTTGAAAGAATATGGAAGACTGTTCTCAAATTCTTTTTCCTTCCGGGTACAACTACTGGATTGTTGTGAACACATTATCGTCTGGTTTTTTGTGCGGATGTGTAGCCAACAATCATGGGGTAGATCACCACCCAATGGTGAGAATTAGCAAAAATAGTAGTGGGGTCGCAGCCTCAAGGTGAATTTGACCATTTGGATGGGGGAGTAGACACCAAGCCAGGGTTCTTGATATATTCCCAAGTCGACTGGTTCGATTGCTCGACTCCAACCCACATGTTCGTTTGGAACGATTTCTTGGTGAGTTTCCAAGATCCGTAATGGTTGTTGGAGAAGAACGCACGAGAGTACATTTGACAAACCACCCATACCATTTTCGAGGGTGCTATCCAACTTTAGGTTTGACCTCCATGTGTGCTGCAGAAAAATCCCGTGTTGGCTGCTTCGAAAACGCCAGGAAATCCAACTGTCCGTAGCCATGCCTATAGCCTGTAAATCCCCCTACACCATCAACAGAACCACCCATCTTCATCCATTTTCCTCGATATTCCATGTAGAAACCCTAGCATTTCAAGATAACCATGGGTTTTCCACATCTTTTTGTTTCCCCCATGGTATCCCCCAGGGTATCGCCATTGAACATCCAGGTGTCAACGCTGCGGGATCCATTGCGCCTTGAGGAGAACAGTGGCGGCTGGCTGGCCGTAGCCGAGCTTGAAGCCGTGCTGTTGAAGGGGGGGGTGAACCACACAAAAATGGTTTGTTATGAATGAAATGGCGTTTAAGTGTATTTATCAAAATCATTGTTTATCATTGTTGTTCATTAATTATGTATCATGTATCATTATTCATCATTATTTATCATTATGCATCTACGGCTTGAGAAGTGATGATTTGTGCGAAGAGCACATGGTTTGTTGAATTGTGGCCTGGTTTGTTTGGTTATCATCACCAAAACACCAGTCTAGGCACTATTCCAATGCCAAGAATTTTACATTGTTTTGGGTCCTCGTTTTCAAAGCTCCACAGGGACAAAAAGAGTTAGTTTATGGATGTTTATGGCATGGCAGTTCCGTTTGCAGAGATGGCAAGCACGCTGGTGATTGGGATGTAACCATGGTCACTAAACCATGCAATTCGGAATTCGGACATGGTCATCAATTGTTCTGATTTCTACCTCATAGATGAAAAGATTGCTTAATCATGTTTAATCCAGTACGCTAGATTTGGTGGGCCCGAGCGATCAACATGCATGTTTCTTTTATGCCCATTTGTCCTGCCTCCTCTCCTTTGGCAGGTAACATTGCCCTTGTTTGTTTGTAGAATGGGATTTCCCAGCCAGGTTTGATGACACGAATTAAACACCATATCTCTGATGGTTTTCATATTTTTCCATTTTTTGCCTGTTCAAAAAACAACATATGTGTGATGTGTTTCCATAGTTTCCCATGTTTTTTTCATGTTTCCCTGCGTTTTCCCATGTTTTTTCCACAGTTTCCCTACGTTTTCCGTACTTTTTCCCTACGTTTTCCCCACGTTTCCCCAAAAAAAACCTATGGGGACGATCGCCCCAGGTGGGAGGCGGCGGTTGTGCAGAGGATGCCTTGGTGGACTTGACGGGCGGCGTTGCGGGGCGCTTCTACACGGCGGATGCCCGGGCCCCGAGAACTTATCTCCTATAAGGTGGTGGTCCTCCCCAGTGATGTTTGTTGGTTTATCCTAGCTGGTTGGTGGTTTGGAATGACTAATATTTTTCAGAGGGGTTGAAGCCACCAACCAGCTAGTTTACAACCCCCAGGATAGAAAAAAGGTATATCTACCATAAACCCGAGTTATTGTAGTTATGTTCACCAACTTAGCTAACGAACTGGGGCACCACCTTGTATGAAACATGGTAAAATCCATGGGAAATGGCCTATAAGTGATGGTTCAAGCGTGAATAACTGGGGAAAATGGTGGTTTAAAGCATCAAACATGGATGAATCATGGATTAGCAAGGGATAATGGATAATGGGATAAGAAGACAATAAGATTTTAGAGATTTTAATCATTGGAAATCCCTATTGGGTTGATGCTGATTTAATGGGATTTTAGTAGGGATATTGATTTAAGTATCAACAATGGGGATTATGATGGGAATGTGGGTAGTAATCCTTAGGTAATCAAACATCCGTCCGGGGGGATTACCGGACCTTAATTCAGGGGTGAAAGTCCATTTGGTACTGGCAGGGCCATGCAAAATGACGTCTAACGCCTCTTCAAAAATCCATTGTTTTCTGATGAGGTCGTTTCAAAAATCATGGTTTTTCAATGTTTTTCTACATTTTTATGTTGCTTCGTTCGGCTTGTTCCATGTTGCAGGATGTGCTATGTTGCAGGATGTTTTTTTTTGCAGGAGGCATTTTCATCCGAAAGCCCCAGCATATAGCCTTTTTGCCGGTTGCTCGAAACAAGTCTTGCTTCTGTACACATCGCCACTGCCATTGCCCTGCGTAAAGTAGCAATGTAACATAACATGTAACATTTTTCCATGTAACAACTTAACGTAATATGTAACATCTTTCCTAACTCCACCCATATCCCAAAACGTAACATGTAACATCTTTCCACGATCCATGTAACAATTTGACGTCACATGTAATATCTTTCGTACCTCCACCCTTATCCCAAAGCGTAACATGTAACATCTGTTCCATGTCAACACAGCTAGACGTAACATGTAACATATTGCCATGTAACAACTTGACGTAACATGTAACATATTTCCTATCTCCACTCATATCCCATAACGTACCAGTAGTACCGCACAAGTCGGTGGCGGAAGTTTCAAAAATAGGAAACCTATAGGCGAGTTTGGTTGTTTTGAATCACGAATGGCAGAGCGAATCCACTGATGGACCGAAAGGTGGTTGGAGTTGTGTTTTTTGAAGCGGCTGCAATGGTTGCAGTGGTTACCTCGCCCACAACTGCTGGATGTAGTGTGGTGTAGTGCAGTTGTAGTTGTAGTTGTAATGTAGCGTAGCGGAGTTGTAGTTGTAGCGTAGTGTGCACAGTGTAGTGTAGTTGCAGTTGTAGTTGTGGTAATGTGTAATTAGTGTAGTCTAGTGTAGTCTAGTGTAGTGCAGTGTGGTGTAGTGTGAAGTAGTGTAGTTGTAGCTATAGTAGTAGTTGTAGTGTAACTAGTGTAGCGTAGTGTAGTGTAATGTAGTGTAGTCGTATTTGCAGTTGTATTTGTAGCTGTAGAGTAATGTAGTGTAGTTGTAGTTGCAGTTGCAGTTGTAGTTGTAGTTGTAGCTGTCGCGTAGTGTAATGTAGTGTAGTCCTAGTTGTACTTGTATCTGTAGTTAGTAGCAGTTGTAGTTGTAGTTTTTGTGCAGCCTCTCTCTATCTATCTATCTATCTATCTGTCTATCTATCTATCTATCGATCTATCGATCTATCTATCTATCGATCTATCTATCTATCTATTTATCTATCTATCTATCTATCTATCTATCTACTTATTTATCTTATCTTTCTTTTCTTTCTTATCTATCTTATCTTTCTTATCTTTCTTATCTTTCTTATCTGTTTTATCTTTCTTATCTTTCTTATCTATCTAATTTATCTATCTATCTATCTACCTAATTAATCTATTTCATCCAATTAATCTTAAATATCTATCTACCTATTTTTTGTATCTATCTAGCTACCTATCTATCTACTTCTCTATCTATCTCTCTATCTTTCTATCTACCTATCTATCTATCTATCTTTCTATCTATCTGTCTATCTGTCTATCTATCTTTCTATCTATCTATCTCTCTATCTATCTCTCTATCTATCTATCTATCTATCTATCTATCTGTCTAACCTTTCGTATCTTTCTTATCTTTCTTATCTTTCTTACCTTTCTTATCTATCTTTCATATCTATCTATCAATCAATTCATCTATCTATCTGTCTATATATCTTTCTTTCTTTCTTTCTTATCCTTCTTCTGTGTCTTTTCTATCTTATCTATCTTATCTTACCTATCTATCTATCTATCTGTCTATCTATCTATCTCTATCTATCTCTATCTATCTGTCTATCTATCTATCGATCGATCGATCTATCTATCTATCTATCTATTTGTCTATCTATCTGTCTATCTATCTACCTATCTATCTATCTATTTATCTATCTATGTATCGATCGATCTATCGATCTATCTATCTATCTCTATCTATCTATCTATCTACCTATCTATCTATCTATCCATCTATCTAATCTCTCTTATTTTTTTCTCTTGCTTATCTTTCTTACCTACCTCTCTATCTATCTATCTATCGATCTATCTATCTATCTATCTGTCTATCTATCTATCCATCAGTCAATATATCTATCTACCTATCTGCCTATCTACCTATCTACCTATCTGTCTATCTGTCTATCTGTCTATCTGTCTATCTGTCTATCTCTCTATCTTTCTATCCACCTATCTATCTATCTATCTTTCTATCTATCTGTCTATCTGTCTATCTATCTTTCTATCTATCTATCTATCTATCTCTCTATCTATCTCTCTATCTATCTATCTATCTATCTATCTGTCTGTCTAACCTTTCGTATCTTTCTTATCTTTCTTACCTTTCTTATCTATCTTTCATATCTATCTATCAATCAATTCATCTATCTATCTGTCTATATATCTTTCTTTCTTTCTTATCCTTCTTCTCTGTCTTTTCTATCTTATCTATCTTATCTTATCTATCTATCTGTCTATCTATCTATCTATCGATCGATCGATCTATCGATCTATCTATCTATCTATCTGTCTATCTATCTCTATCTATCTATCTACCTATCTATCTATCTATTTATCTATCTATGTATCGATCGATCTATCGATCGATCTATCTATCTATCTCTATCTATCTATCTATCTATCTACCTATCTATCTATCTATCCATCTATCTAATCTTTCTTATTTTTTTATCTTGCTTATCTTTCTTACCTACCTCTCTATCTATCTATCGATCTATCTATCTATCTATCTGTCTATCTATCTATCCATCAGTCAATATATCTATCTACCTATCTGCCTATCTACCTATGTACCTATCTGTCTATCTGTCTATCTGTCTATCTGTCTATTTGTCGATCTATCTATCTATCTATCTATCTGTCTATCTATCTATCGATGGATCGATCGATCTATCTATCTATCTCTCTCTATCTCTATCTATCTATCTATCTTATCTTATCTTACCTTATCTTTTCTTATCTTATCTTATCTTTCTTATCTTCCTTATCTTTCTTACCTTTCTTATCTTTCTTATCTATCTTTCTTATCTATCTATCAATCAATCTATCTATCTATCCGTCTATCTATCTTTCTACCTATCTACCTATCTACCTATCTACCTATCTATCTATCTATCGATCGATCTATCGATCTATCTATCTACCTGCAAGTTTGCAGACGCAGCTATTTTGCAATACGTCCTCAGTTTTTGATCTTGACAACGTCAAAAACGCAGCAATTCAGCGAGACTTCCTCAATTCATGTATTTGACAACGTCAAAAACGAAGCAATTCTGCGAGACTTCCTCAATTGTTCAAAGTTGACAACATCAAAAACGAAGCAATTCTGCAAGGCTTCCTCAATTGTTCAAAGTTGACAACATCAAAAACGAAGCAATTCTGCAAGGCTTCCTTCAAAACTGGAAAGTTGAGTGCAGAGCTGACGGCCTCGTACCAATGCGTTTTGCGATTTTTCGATTCCACCTGTCTAAACTACTGCGCCTGCCACGAAAAAGTGATACCGGGTCATACGAAGTGCTGCACTTGTCACGCAAAATCATCTCAGCAAACCTGAAGATCTGATGCTCCAAAATGCTTCCCTTCTCAGGAAATCAGCGCCCGGACCTCCTAACAGCTCTGATGAACATGTCTCTTGTACTGCGCCTGCCACGGAAGATGCATCTTTGCAGATCCTCTTCAAATGTCCCACGCCTGCCATCGTTTTTGGACATGCTACAAAACCCTCACGTTTGGCTCACTTTTGACAAGGTGCACAATCCCGTGCGCCTGCCACGCGAAACAACATCTGCACGTCCAAAAGTGTTCCGATCCCCTCAGTTTTTTGCACGTTTGACTTCGAAATGTGCTTCGCGCCACAACGGCGTGCACTTTTTCGACACATCAACTTCCAAAAGTGGTCCGGAGCTCGTGTGTTTTGTACATTTTGACTTCGAAATGTACTTTGCGCCACAACGGCGTGCACTTTTTCGACATATCAACTTCCAAAAGTGGTCGGGAGCTGGTGTGTTTTGCACATTTTGACTTCGAAATGTGCTTCGCGCCACAATGGTGTGCACTTTTTCATCTCTCATCTGCCCAGCGGGCTCCGCACCCCCCGCTTTAGCGAGCCTACTTTTCGACCCTCCGGAGCCACAAATCATTGGAAAAACACAGTGTTTCGTGACTTTCCTACCTTTTCGCGCACCTGGATCTTCTTTCTTCTGAGACTTTCTCTTTTTTGGTCTTTTTTCTTCTTCTCTTCTCTTCTCTGACTCTTCCCACCTCTGCTTTTCATGTGTCCATATTGTCGGAAGTTTGACTTCTAAACTTCCTTCGAACATGTAACATCTTTCCATGATCCATGTAACAATTTGACGTAACATGTAAAATCTTCCTAGCCCCACCGATATCCCATATAACGTAACATGTAACATCTGTCCATGTCAACACAACTAACTTGACGTAACATTGACATCTTTCCTAACTCCACCCATATCCCATAGCGAAACATGTAACATCTGTCCATGTGAACACAACTAACTTGACGCAACATGTAACATTTTTCCATGTAACAACTTGACGCAACATGTAACATCTTTCCCACAAACGCATTCGTTTCTGCTTACAGTCTACATGAACGATATTACGTCCCCCCCACCCCACGCCAAAAACCCCACATGGCTGGGAAATCCCGAACTACATGGAGGTATTTTGGTGACTAGTAAGAATGATTCTAATGGAATAATAATGGGATAATAATGCGGCAATAATTGCTTGCCCTCAGCTAAACATGGCTGAAAATCCCAGGACTAGCCATGGAGGTTGATAGCTGGGCACATCATCCACCCGTTGCCATCCGTTGCCATGTTTGATTGCAGGAGTGTAACCGGCTACGAAATGAGGATTTTACCAAGATAGAAAAACCAACATGTTCTATGAAGGTCAGGCCCCAAATCGCTAAGTCGGTGCAAAGATACTCCAATAACTAGAGTATAATTGTATTATGGTGTGTATATATAATTATATATATATAGTAAACGCGGGTTATAAACCAACAAAATTATAATGTGTAGCGCGGCCTTGAATGATGTCAACAGGTACTATGAAGGATTTTGGGAACTCTCATAAGCATCGATTCTTGGGTTTGCTACAACCATGACTGCAGCGACGCGTTTTTTAACGGATCCTCCAAGATTCCTCCAAGGATGTGATTCGATTTGATCCAGACCAAGGTGTCCCCTGACCGGCTCTTCCTGTACATCTACACCCTGCAAAGTGACACCCTCTTCGTGTGTCATGCAACAGCCCTGGTCAAAAAACTGCGATCTGGAAATGTTGGAGACCTCGATCTTGTCGTCAACATGCATCAATTATGTAATCATCAGTTCATATTAGTTCGAGGGATTTCATAGAGGACCAGGGGTACCCTCTGGCAACTGTTACATAGTTATTGAAAATGGCCCAGTCGAAATAGTTGATTTACCCTTTGAACAAATGGTGATGTTCTATAGTTTTTTGTATGTTTACCAGAGGGTAGTGATCATTGAGTCCTAGTTTCCCATGTGAGGTCAATGACGCGAAATGCGCCCGAACGGGAGTCTCCTTGAACCCGTCGGCACCCAACATGGGGTGAAGGGGTTTGGGATGTGTCAAGTGTAGCCTGGTACTCTTCTGTTCACACCAAAATAGCTGGAAAACAATGGGGAATGGATGTTCCTTCCCCAACGGTATAGATAGGTATTGACTGTTGACCCATTCCCCACAAAAAGGCTATGACGGTCATCCCTTGGTTGGGCGATCGGCAGAGTTGGATCTGTGGCCTGGTGATGACATCAATGGAACACATGCTCTGAAGCCTGCCAGAGAAATATGGAAACCCTCAATTAACACATTGAAAATGAAGTTAACTCATGTTAACTCATAATGTCAGCCCTAGATGAATAACTTTGTCCGTTGATTAGAGGCATTACCCCAGCGATAACATGTGATAACTCTTAAAACTAGTACCTGGCTATAGCAAACAGATGTAAACTGGTGGGTTATTCGGTTCATCCCGGGTTCACCCAATCTCCACGTCCAAGGTGTGCATCTCATGTCATCAATCGCGCAGCAACCTTCGATGGACGTTGCTTCGTGCAGGCGACGCATGGCGACGCGGGAAGCACCGTGCTGCGACGGTGCAGCGAAGCGTAAGAGATGGCTATTTATGAATGACTGCATTAGAGTTGGAGCTTGATAGTTTTGGGGTTTCAAACATGGGTTACTGTTCCATTCCCTCCTAGGATGATCGATCTCACTGGTATTCTTCAAGGGTTTAAACAACCACGCAGTCTAATTGAGTTGCATCCCGCCTAGATGTCTGTTGTTTTCAGGGTTGTTTTCTGGGTTGTTTTCTGGGTGGACCTTTGACTGGTTGCACTATGGGCCCCTTCGTGACCACCGATGTTGGGTCTATTCATAGCTTTCCTATTGAAGGAGCCGAGAGAATAGCCGTATGGCAATGACGCAATGACCCGAAATAATGCAATGATGAATCAATAACCCATAGGATCCATGTATGCTATATATGGTAACATTTACCATCAATATACCCCAAATGTTAGCATAATTATACCATACATGGATCCTATGGGTAATGCAACAATATTTCTTATCTTGAACAGCACCTCCCCAGATCTTCAGCGCCGACGTGAGCGGAGTGCACGACGGGGGCCTGTCAGATGCGGTGCCATTGGAGCTCTGGTGCGCCTCGGGGGTTTGGAGGATCACCCCATGGCCCATATGGCTCGGAGGTGAATAAAGCTGGGTCAAAAACCGGTTGTACCCTGGTTATCCAGCGGAAGAAGCCCAGTTATCCATGGGAAAATATGGGAAAACACGGAAGACCTGCTTCGGGGACTCGAATTCGCCGTTTTTTTTCAAAAACTCGTTGCTAAGTGGGGTGATCCTCCAATGGGTTTGTCATGCTTTGTCAACGATGCCATGAGATATAGCTCAAATCTAAATTTGCCATGTTGAACTGTTGATGGTTTGGAACATTTTTTTCCATATATTGGGAATTTCATAATCCCAACTGACTTTCATATTTTTCGGAGGGATAGGTATACCACCAAGCAGTTTTCACTGTTGATGGGAAAGAGATCGAGCCATCGCCAAGCATCGGTGGTTCCAAACAGCCTGGGTCGCCAAGGATCCAACAAGAAGGGATAGACAAGAAGTCTCTGTGCTTTCCAGATCGAGAAACAATGCATGTCTCAACAGTCTTCAACAGTCTCATTTTGACCTTTGACTTGAATCACTATTGTCTTCATGGCGATTGTCAAGCCACAACCCAGTCGAGGCACCCCCTAGTGTATGATTTTTGTGGTATTGATTTTTGCCAGACAGTCTGGGGTATAGTGGAAATGTATGGAAATGTCGCCAAGCCAGAATTGGTTGATGCTTTCCTCCATATTTGCTTGTCCATCCTCCAGACTCCCTGTGATGATCGATCCAATGGGCGCACATTTTTGGAATGCGATGGCACCACCAATTGGCACCAAGAGCAGAATTTCTTAGGGACAATCCGTCAGGAAGACACAAAGAAATGAGAATGCCAACATCAACCAGGAACTCATGGATGATTCGTGAGCACTAAGCACAATTGATTTTCTTATTGTCAACAACCATTTGGAACATTTAAATGATCCAATGTTGATAGAATTTGGAACATGTGAGAAAGATCCTGAAGATCCAATTTTGATGAATCCATTTTCTGTTCTCTGCCGGAGGGATTCTGATGTGCCAAACCTCTCAAATTGCGGCGCCAGGCGCGACTATCCAGAGAAGGGTGGTGGCCTCACTGGTGGCTAGCAACCCCCAGCCAGAGTGGAAATTATGGAGGAAGCATAATCTATATTATAATTATATAATTATTATTATATATATATATATGTATATGTATATATATATATTTATATACATATATACATATATACATATGTTTATATATGTCTATATGTTTGTATATGTTTTAATGATATCCTGGCAAAAGGTTTTAATTTTTTTTGAGGACCCCCTATGCCTCACAGAGCCATACGCAATTTTTTTGTAGCAATAGACTCAATAGCCTTGCTGCCCTGGCAGTCAGAGACAGCTACAGCATTTGGCTCTTGGAGCTGGTCGAGATTCCTTTCAGGCAAACCATTGACCAACCAGAGATGTCAGGGAAGAAAGTCTTCCAACCCCTTGGGCCCGCAGTGCGCATTGAAATCTCTAAGGCTGGGAGGGTTTCTTTTGGCTGACCATCGAAGATTTCCACGCCTACTTCGAGACCATTATCGAGTGTCGCTTGTAGGGAGCTCAGGGTTCACAGATGACCCAGGTGAATCTGTTAGCGAAGCCCTACTCCCAGACTGGTTTGAAGTAATGAACTTGTAGACCTGGTTGGCTCATGGAAGCTTCCTGATGGCTTTCCTGTCAAGTCTTGTGGCTCCTTGTGTTTTTCTAAGGACCAGCAGCCCTGATGTCAGCATCCAAGGAATGTGTTGCCGGCTCGTTGGACTCCATTGCGCCAGAGAAATCATGGAGAGTTGCGGGCGTCCCACTTGACTTCAAGCCCACATTTGGATACGGGTCAAAATTCTTGGAAACCACTTGTTTTGTTGATACCTTTGAATCATGTTTAGCATTGTGAGTTGATTCATTTCACAATATCACACCAGCCTTGGATGATCGTGCCCATATGTTTATTTGTGAAATATTGCTTTTTTATATATATATATATATATTCATGAATATTCAATAATTTGTCACTCAACATTTCAGTCCATTTCAAATAGTTATATCATTATATATCATTTCAATCCTATGATTGGCTTTCTTTCCATCTCAATCCCTCAGATGTTTAATGCCAGGCCTGGGCGCTTGCCGAAAGGCCAAAGTGAAACATAGTGACACTTTCCTCACAGTTGACCTCGCCATACATGCTGAATATTACTACATATGTTGGATTGTTGGTATAGTTGGAACATGTGAGAATCATCCCAAAAATGGCTTTCAGATTTTTGGATACAAAAATGCGCTGGACAAATTTGCTCAGCGTGCTGGACATGGCCATGTTGGGGGCTTCTGCAGCACAGGGCTGCCGTATATGGAGACCCTCTTCGCGAATCCTGGGCGCGTCATTGCGCAGGGCAGCTGAGACATTTCGGTCAAGTCATTGCTCTTTGAAAGATGAAGTTGTGTATAGATGTGCATAGGTTTTCTCATGTTTAGTATCCAGATTAAACCATCTCATCTTAAAGCATCTTAAACCATGAATGTTTTTTTTTGGGTAAGTCGTGGTAAGTCAAAGGAAGCCATGGTAAGTCTCATGCTCATCCATGTTTTAGGTGTTTCCTGATGAGCAAATTGATCCGATGATGGAACCCCAAGGCAATATCCTCCCGAGATCACAGTGACCACTCGTGGGCCCTGCGAGGCCATCGGGACAAGTTTATTGTCCACATCTTTTTAATGCAAATTAAATAAATATATAATTTATATTATAATATAGATATATATATATATATATAATTATATATAATTATCATTATATATATAATTATATATATATGTGTGTATATAATATATGGAATACTAATACTGCATGATGGGTCATATATATATATGCATAGTTATGGTACTCATGTATTTTTTAATGGATTATATCTACATATATATACAATACATTATACTTATACTATAATGTATATATACACATACACACATACATCTACTGGGAATGTACTGTATGTAATCCAACCCTTAATTGGAGGATTGAAGCATGACATCATATGAATATCATGTTCCATCCCTGCAGTCTCACGATGTGATCTGGCATATTGCCGACGTTTATAATACCATCTGGTTATGACATTCACAGTTTGCCATGGAAAGATCCACCCATTTTTAAGAACGGTAAACCATCTATTTCGATTAGTGCCATTTAATAGGAAAATCACCATTTTTAATAGGTAAGCCATCTATTTCTATGGGCCATGTATACCATGGCTATGTTAGTTTACTGGGTATGGGACACTGGGACCATGATCCCGGCTTGAACTCGGCGCCAGGTGATCGTTGCCACCATGCAAATGGATTCTCGGATTACTCAGGCGCCTGTGACAGATGGGAAAATTGATGGATTTTGTTTGAAACAGGAAATCTCAACCGTCTCAACCTCTTTGGCAAGAATAGGATGGGTTGCAACATCGAAGTGGTCGATAATTTGGTTGGTTTGGGTGTCATTCATCTAGTGAGGAAAATGATGATTAACTAGTGGATTTTTGGGGGTTTTCGTACGATGTTCATTCAAGCCCATTTTGAGTAACGAGACGTGGAAAACGTTCAGGATTTGTGGCGTTCACATTGGGCGGAACACCAAGGGACGACGAAGGGGATGACTTCCTAAATGCTGCGTTTACATTGTGGAATGCACAAAAGGAACAGAGCGGGATGACATTGTCCTCTTCCTGTACCGGCTAGCTAGACCTGTGAAAGAAATGCACCGTATCATCCTGCACTCCTACATGCACCATGGTCAATTTACATTGGTTACTTTCTCATAAGTTCGGGATGGTCACCCCTCCCATTTTCATAGGCTTGATATAGCCTTGGTCGGGAATCTTCACTGATGGTGGGATGACCAGGGGCCCCAAATGCCATGTGTTGACGGCAGCCACGCGGATCCAATGGGTCCACATTCCATACCCCCAAGCACTGGTGGCGGGTAGTACGAAGCAGAAACTGACGATGAGACTAACTAGGAATGCAACTGTCATGTTGGCTGTTTTATCGAACATGTTGGCTGTTTTATCGAACCTACGAAAAATAATTGATTGCCGGAATATCATTTAAACATCAACATCATTTAACTTATCATCAGTTGTCAGAGTGCAAGTATTCGATTGACCTTTCACCAGTGTCATACACAAAAGTCACCTGGAACCACTGATATCACGCAGACACGGCTGTATGATCTGAATGGCAGTCATGTATGAGTCCGACATGATCATGCTATCAGATATCATGTTCTGCAGCCTGGCGTCATGCCGGCTGATGTTTCCCACGTCCTAAGATCTTCATCCAAGACACAGCTGCCACGGTGCCATGGCAGGTTGGTTCTGAGAGACAGCCCTACATCCCTCTCATCATGAAGGTCTATGAGAGCCTCGGTTCCTTGCCAGGAGAGTAATGGATCCGAGGGACCCAGGGGATTGAGGGACAGTTATCTCATGATAATCTCATGATATCTCACTTGAAATAATGATGCTTCTCTTTCACCTTTTACTACTCACTAGCCCAAACAGCCATGGTTGATCCTGGAAGAAGCCAATTACTTGAGCCACATCCCAGGCAACAACATGTACAGCGCTCACATGGTCTGTCGCTCCAATTGGATCCCCACGCGCGATGCCATGGTGGCCTTCCAGACCGCAGCTGGAGGCCGGAAGATCAGCATGGTTCAACCATCAACACACGGTATACATCTGGTTCAATGATGCTTTAATTCAAAAGCATATCTGGTTGGTGGTTTGGAACATGTTTTATTTTCCATAATATATGGGAATAATAATCCCAACTGACTAATATTTGGCTAGGATTCAGAAGAAACTCTACACACCACTAGCAGAACGTGTCACTCCCACACCTGTGAGAGATACCACTGGTCCTGTGTTCTTAAATGAGCAATCCCCTGATCATGAGTTTGTTGCCACCTTTCCTCGCTGGATTTGGTATCCCGACGCCAGTAAACCTCGCTGGGTAGCTGAGTTCTCCTTGCCTGAGCATTTTAACCCCCCTGCTCTGATTTCGGTGCAGAATACGATTGCTATTGTTGACTTTCTTTCGAATATTCAATGGAGCCTGGATGATGGTTTTGCGACTTTGTTTCTTGAGCTTGCATATCATGCCTGGGAAGTTGGTGTGCGCCTTGAGAATGTCCAACCCCATCCAAGTGTTTATTCCACCTTGATTCGGAAAGCCATTAACTTTTGAAACCGACGGTTTCCTGATGTGCCTATCCACCCAGGGATCATAAAAACCACGTGTTTAGGTAACGGTAAAACGCATCCAGGCGGGTACATTGCTGGTCCGAATCTAATATGCCCATTAGTGCAAGAAAGTCCCTTGCACTTGCTTTCCAGCAGGGTCGCAATCAGCATCTGACTAGGTGGGATTTCTCCTTTTAAATTGTTTTGGTGTCAATGTTGGGTTTGCATGTTCATTTTGATGAGACCAACACGGTCTAACTTTCTGAACCCCTCATGCGTCGTGAGCGCATGAGCAGCAGTCGTCCGCACTTCTGCATGGTGTGAAACAACTGACTAATATTTTTCAAGATGGTTAAAACCACCAACCAGATATGGGGAACACAAGCATGATGTAAGGCGGAAGAAGTATTGAAAGAGATTGGTAGACCGACTGGCAAAGAGAAGCTTCACACTTTAAGCGTTTGCCATGAATAACTTTGGGCAGGGAATCTCCAGGTGCTGGTGGATGCAGATGATACAGGTACCTTTTTGGTAGTGAACTCATGGTGGTTGATGCTTAATCCAATTCTATCGGGATGCTCATCATAAATCCCTTTGGAAAGCCTACCACCCAGATGACCCACAGGTTGGTTGTTGAGCAATTACAAATGGATAGATAATGAATGACTGGTTGGTGGTTTGGAACATGTTTTTTTCCATATATTGCGAATAATGATCCCAACTGACTGATATTTTTCAGAGGGGTTGAAACCACCAGCCAGATGAGAATGATAGATATATTCATTTTGAAAATGACCGAATTTGTAGATCCAGTTCAAGGGTAGCCCAGTGTTTTTCCCAGTCGCACAGGTGTGTTCAAGGTCATTGTGGAAATGCCCGAGCACAGTGGATGTGATCGCCTGGTGATAAGGCTCCGGGGCTCAATGTGGACAATTTCCAGTGACTCCAGGCCTTTGTTTGGCCTAGGCCTAAACTTGATTTGGATGTGGAATCTGTTTGGGTGGGGTGGGGAGGGGTGTGACTAATCATACCATATCAATTGATATCATATTAATATGTTTAACATTACGGGGTCCCAATTTTATGTGATTTCACCCCCTACATCCATCTACATCCACCATGGTTTCTGGGGTCCCAGGTGCTATTCCACCAGCCCAGCTGACTTCATGGTGAACCCGGCCATGCAGCCCTGCCTCACTTGAGTCACCGAGATGGGTTCTGGACCAAGGGTAGGGAAAGGAGCAGCTTCCAAACACGATGCAGAAAAGTAAAATCCAATCCTACAATTGTGATGAATTACTTTCTAACTCTGATTTTTTTTGTGGTTTATACATGTTTATACTATGGAATACGTAAAAATGCGATACAAGGATAGATCCTTCTAAACTGAACTTGTGACTATGCAGAAGCCTCACCTTCTCTCGGATGCTGAGATACGGGTGACCGGCTGCAGCTTCCCATTAAAGCCAGTCAGTCTCTTTGCGTTCGCATATCACAAGAAATGGTATCCGTACATGGATGTGCATCCACCCAAATATGGTATCACAGGATTTGACCCGTCCCCATATGTGTTGTCCTGCCTGGTGGTTTTGTGTAGTACATCAGCCTCGCTTGTCATTGATTCCACTCCCGCGGTTTGAATCTCCGTGTTTGCTACTTCACTCAGACTTTGCTGCTTGGTGAATCCCCCACTGCCGCTGTAGTTTCGAGTTCTTTTGGTGAAATACACCATCTATGACCATCTGGATCTAAAACATGTCCAAATTGTATCAAAATTGGTACACCCTAACTTCATGGAATCGTTGAATTGTTCGGCCAGGGCCAAACACGTCCTGGCACTGCCACAGGCGCAAATAGTTGATTGGAAGATGAATTTGTTTGGAAATTGTTTATGTCAAATTCGGGTAAATTCGATGAATTGATAATTAGGATGTATAAAATTGAGTTAGGTCAACATGCGTTTGCCAATTTTTAGCTGTACAAAAACTCGTTGAATCAACAAGCCTCGTTGCGGGCGGATACCATACCCAATCAAAAGGTTCCAGTCAATCTCATGAGCTGACAGCATATCCGCTGGTGAAATGTCACCATTGTTTCAAGTCATGGTCTGTCTGACGGCAAAAATAGCAGAGTGGTCAAAGTGACATCGTGCAGGAGTGAATTTGTAAGACGTCCATCAAGGTTTCCGAAGTGTTCATCGCCTGACCAAGCATCAAGAGGAAAAACCCATCCATGGGTGGTATAGAAGTTCTCTAAAAATATTCAGGTTCCGAAAAAGCATGAGCCTTCCGTCTCTTTGAAGTTCCTTTAAAAGCTCAGGTTCCCGAAGAAAACTTCATCGGTTTCATCCCTTTCAAGCCCACTTTGGGTAGAATGAAGGATGCTACACCTTTCGACAATTCCAACCATGTTATCTATCCATTTATCATCCCATGAACAGACTCGATTTCTGGCCCGGCCATGTTTGACTACGGCGGGGTAAATACATATAACATATATGTCCAAGATACATACATGTGACACCCATTGTTTCTCTTGCGTGAATTCCAATGTTGATTTATCAAAACCATTTCTGTTGGTAAAAAAATACATCCTAAGATTAACATCCTTGGGATGTTCCATCAACACTTGGAGGACATCCCAAGAAAGTAAGAATAAAATGGGATAAAATGGCACGGTGTATGATGATGAATACTTCCCCATGAAAATCGTCATCCACAATCCCATAATCCAATTTAATCTCTATTAAACCCCCATTAAACTCCATATATATATATATAAATATATAAACCTCAATTTAAATCCCATTAAACTCGATATAACCTTCAATCAAATACAAATTTCCTTTCCAGTGAAATAACATAAGTAATTATCAAAAATTGCACATGTCTAAACAATTTACCTGTTAGAAATGGTGATTTCCATACCTCTGTTAATTTACCAAAGGGTAATGTCCATTGAATCCCCATTAAATCTTCCCTAAATCTCATTAAACCACCACGGATCAGGCACCTCCCGTTGCCTCGCGCCTGTCGCTTGTGGGGACCGTGGATCCTGCTAGGCGACTTGCCGTGGAAGCGCCAAACATGGGATAGTTCAAGCAGCAAAAGATAGAGAAGAATGGGAATGTATACCCTCTGGTAATTTAACACAGCTATTGAAAATGGCCATTTATAGTGAGTTTTCCCATTGAAAATGGTGATTTTCCATAGTTATGCTAGTTTACCAGAGGGTAACATCTGATGTCTATCATATGTGTATAACATTGTATCACACGTTCATACAATATAAGAATTACTAGTATAATTAGGTGATATATTGATCCCCAATGAATATTTTGCTTTTGAGGGGCCTGAAAGCACCAATCTCTAAGCTAACTCGTTGGTGGTAAAAAGGAGGACCAGGTTTCTGCTTGGAGATAGGAGCCTAAGCTGCCAGCATTGATAGTGGATCCATATGTTGTTGGTATGTTGGTGAAATCCGCATATTTCTTTGAAAGGGGTGAAATTCCCATCTTCACCATGACATGGATCATGACATGGATCTGCGTTTTGTTTCGATGAAGTCAGGACATTTTTCCAAGCCTTGGGTCCAGACTTTTCAGCCCAGCGGTCCAACCACGATGTGGGGCCCTAGTTACATGGTTCATAAACCCCATTAACTATAGTTATAAGATGTTATAAGTATCATAAAACCATCATAAACCAGAGTTATTGGATTTATTTGCACCCACTTAGCTATCATAGATCAGATTTGATCAGCTACAAATCCCCTTAAAGCCCCCATTTTTGCTGGTGAAACCACCAAACGTCAGCCTGGGCTCAGACTCTTGCGCGACGACGTCCCTGAGCCCATGAGTGATGACTTGGACACCATCAGGAGCCGTGGCTGATGTCTACATCTACGTAATTAATCAATAATATAGCTATAGCTATATTATAGTTTATGATCATTCAGTACCATTAGTGATATAACTATAGCTATATATACTATAGTTCTATTATCTGGTTGGTGGTTTCCAAGATTTTTTATGTTTCCATAATATATGGGATGTTATCCTTCCCATTGACTTTCATATTTTTCAAGATGGTTAAAACCACCAACCAGATTTTGTATGTATAATTAGTAATCAATAATCAATAATTAGATAGTCAATAAATATAATCAACCAATCATGTATAATTAGTAATGTATATATATATAATAATGATATAGATCAAATTAATCGTAATTAATCATAATTATGTGTATAGTAATACCCTGCACGTCCTCGGCTATTTCAAAAAAAGTCCTTGTCCCTCTGTTTGTCATATAGAACGACTGTTTCCCACCGGTGACTCAAAATATTGTATATATAGACATCAAAATTATATATATATATACAGTTATACATATGGTTGTATATTAACACATACAAGTTGATTGAAGGTCAAAGAGTTGACCCCTTGCCACCTGAAGAGGGTCTCTCTGATAGGAGGTGTACTTTCGACAAGAACTCCCTGTTCTCATGTCGCGATAACAGTTGCGGTCTGGTGCTGTTCAGCACGTTTCCAATATTCATACAGAAACATGCATTATTTACGTGTACAGTTGCATAATATATAATATGTATATATATATATACACGTATCATATGTATGTATGTATATTATATATATACAGTATATGTATTTACAAACATAACCAAATATATATATATATATATGTGAAGTCCTAATTTGGAACCAGAGTGTCAAACGATACAGTTCTTAGTTCACACGTTGGTCACCAGCGACGTTTCTTTCTGGCTCAGGAGGCGTCACAATGCTGTCCATCGATCCTGCGTGATGATGTGACAGATCAGACATGATCAGACCAGCAACGCTTAAGGAATAGCCATGGATAACCATCCACAAAATTGAGGGGTTGATCAAGAGCATGATACATACCCCAAGGTTGTTTGGCAACCATGACTTGGGGGATCATGGGGATATCTCAGCATCTCCATGATGTTTGGGAACCCACTTGAACTAGACATCTGGCAGCAGTCTGTTGTTTCTTGGGATTCAGAAGCTGCTGATTCTAGGGACTTAGTCCTTGGAATGGGAAGAACTCAAAGAAGTTCTTGCTACATGGGAATGTTTCACCGTCGAGGCTGTCATCATTACAGCTTTGAGATTTGCTGCTGAATTTTCTTGATCCTAGGGTCCTAGGGGGGTCCATAGCCAGCCCGGTCAGACTACAAGGGGTTAATGGGTTTGCGGATCTGTGCGGTACCAATCCCGTTGTTTTTCCAGTTGATGACGCAGGTAAGTCACATTTTTGGGATGTGTTCCCTACAGTTACAGTCCCTTGGAGATCTCTGCAGGTACAGCTCACTTCAGAACATGAACTGACGGCCTGTAATGGTGACAACTCGCTTCAACATCGGGTTACGCAGCAAACCAACGGGTTGTGGCCGATTGGAAGCCGATTGGATGATGACCCAGAGGTGGTCAGATAGCTGGCGATGGAAAATCCCCCATCTCGGGGGAAAGATATGGAAATGGAATGACCATCTATAAATGGGTGATTTTGCAGCCAGGTTAGTGATTGCTGGAGCCTATTTGTTGCAAAGATGTCGTTCACCCAATGGTAGGATGCAAAAAGATAGGTACTCCTGTCATAGAAAGATGATGGCAGACGGTTGAACAAACCGACCCAGAACTCTTCTTCTTCTTCTCCTGAGGGACATCATTGATATGATGGGGAAGTTGGGGGTGATACTATTTTGGGTACTGGTATGCGGATATTCCTGATTCCTGGTTTTGGTGGTTTGTTCAGCCACTTTGATGCACGTTTGGTATCCCTCCAAACTAGCTTCATTGAGAGGGGTGTAAGGCGTGTAAGGTTGGAGTTTGTAGGGGACTTGACACTGTATATAGATGCCAAACATTTATTCAAATCGCGAACAAGGACGCAGGATTTCCACGTTTTTGGCCACTATTTGATGGACTTTATGCCATGCACCACTGATGGCAGATTGGTTTCGCTCGGCAAAACAGCAAACAGTGAGTCGCAGCTGATTGAACAGTTTGATTCTGAGTTGGCAGCCTCTAGATTTGAAGTGGATATGTCCAAAACTGGTAAGACACAAAGCCACCAACATGTTTCGCTTTGGTTTTGTCAGGCGCAGATAAACCATTCTGCTTGAGACCCCCCTACTTGAGATTTCCGAAGCCAGTGTGTAGACCCCCCCACATCCAACTCACACAGGCGGAGAGCTCTTTCATCATTTGGATCGGAGGGGCTCATTCTCCGAGATGGACACGAGGTGGCAGTTGTGTGGTGTTTCTAACCGAATCCTGGGAAATAAGGCTTGCAAACAATGGGCATCAGAAGCACCCAGCTGAGTGGTGGGGCCACCTTGCTCATGACTTGCCACGTTCCAGGAGTTCAACAGGCTGAGGTCCAAACCCTCTGGAAAATGTGTTACATAACTCTGGACAAGCACCATTTTTAAGCGGTCAATCATCCAAAGATGGACCATTTTCCATCGCTGCCATAGCTATGTTAGCTCACCAGAAGGTATTTCATCATGTTCATCATATGTTCGTCCCATCTTGGTACCAGCGATCCGTCTTGGCATGGCAGATTCTACATCAGCGAAATCCTCTTGGGTTTGGAATACCTCCATTCTCAGGCCTGGTCCCATGGATCGGCACAGTCTTGGTGATCCGGGTGCTGGGTGACCAGGTAATAGGATGCTCTACGCACGAATGTTGAGGTTGTACCAGACACAAATGGGATCATAAGATCTTTCAAAATGCTAGGACTGCTAGGAATCTGAACTTCAGGCTGGAAGATCCCCCCATCTCAAAAGATCCTATTTACGTACCATAGATTCTGACTTCCCAGTGCCATATTTGACAACCAGAATCTACAAGTGCAATCAAGTGCAATGATTGGAAATTCTGATTGACCATGGCCCACATTGGCTGCCCCCCATCTAACCTCACCGTTGCCAGGGGATTTTGTATCGTGACCTGAAACCGGAGAATTGCCTTCTGGACTCAGAAGGCTGGAAAGTGCCTGGTCAAAAGGCAAGGAGAGCAAAGGTGCAGAGGTTTAGAATATTGCACATACATTCAGGAAAAAATATCGTTAAAAGAGTACTATATGATACTATACGGCGTTCTCGATCAGTACAAGACTTTATGATGCTATGGTGTTTTTTGGGGTCACAGAAAGCATCTCAAAACCAACACCCCCATCCCAGGATCCAATGGATCCAAATGGTTTGTTTTGATGGACACATGGCAGCGGCCCTCGAACCCTCGTGGCAGGGCACATACGTCTTACAGATTTCGGACTGTCGAAGGTGCCGAAATCGCTGATCGCAATCCGTGCAGCGCGGTTCAAAATCTTGCTGGTTGAACTGGTTGAATATATTATACATATCAATACATGATTATTGTCAGTTTTTTTGCAGCTCAAATGTCATGTGAATTGCTGGTTTCATCCCACTCGTGTCATCTCTTTTCAGGTGAGAATTGCGGAGTGATGAGTCCACACGCTGCTCTCCCCTGTGGATATTGTGGCTCATGGCATTTCCATATATAGTTCCATCCATTTCCTATGACATGTTTTAAAACCTCATCATCGTTGGGTGAACCAGAATCTGTATATTAATAATTTCAATATGTATATAGATAATGATACCTCAACAAGTCTTAAAAAGTGACCAGAAGCAAACAATAGCCTTTGCCATTCCCAGTTATGGCTATCTTCAATTCATCCCGTGGTTTTTCTCGCGGTCAGGAGAACCTGACGCAATCGGCTCTCTTCCAGTCCTTTGTAGGCCGAGATGTTGAGGAAATTGGCCAAACAGGACATGCCACGGCCACCAGAAAATGATGGATGACATTGGTTTGAGGAAAATTCGCGGGAACCAGTAAATTTATCATGTGTTTATTGTTATTTACTATATGGTATTATACTATGTTATATTATATTATAGTATGCTATATTATATATTATATTATATTTTTATTATATTTTATTGTATTTGTAGTATAATATAGTATATTATATTATAGTATATTATATTTTGTTATATTGTATTATAGTATATTATAGTATACTATATTTTATTTTATTATCTTATGTTATGTTATGTTATATACTATATATTATATATTATATATTATATTATAATACTTTATCATATTATTTTAATTTACTATATATATATATATATATCATATTGCATTATATTATAGTGCATCATACTATGTTCTATTGTCTTATTTTATACTTGTGTTTTATTATAGTATATTATATTTGATTATATGATATTATACTATACGATATTCCAATGTAATATTGTTTAATATATTGTGTTATATCATAACACATTATAGTATATTATACTCAATAGTTTATAATATTTGAAAATATACCATGTATCATATCCTATCATATCAGCTTTTATGTTATCTAATATATTACTATATCATAATGTATTGTATTGGATTACTGTGTACATATCTAAATATGTATCTTTATCTATATCTAGATCTCTGTCTATATCTATATCTATATGATATCTATCTATATGATATCTATATACTATATATATATATATATCATATACATTATCTCTGAATTTATGTCTCTATCTCCCAATTCCACTTTGGACTCTGGAATTTGCGCATCGCAAGGCACTGTGCTCTACCTGTCTCCAGAGATGATCCGACGTGAGGGTCATGGTTTGGCCTTGGATTTCTACTGCCTGGGCTGCCTCCTGCAGGGAGCCCCAGAAGTGGATCCAAGGTTCGATCTTCGGATGGGAAGGGCATCGCAAGTGGACTAAATCCCCATTAAAATCCCATCAAAACAATTGAACTCCTGCTAACTTGGCGAGTTACAGCCCAATTACGAAGCAATTACTTCCAACGTGGGTGTGTATCAAAGATTAATATGTAATATATGTAGTTTACTGTCTTCCAACTACATCCAATTACTAATTCCAACTATATTATGATTGGGAATCCTCCCAACTGTGTGCGTTCGTTTCGTGGCGTTCATTTCGCGAACACCAGGTACGTCCTGCTGACCGGAAAGTTGCCTCACTTCACCGGTGATGTAAACCAGGCCCCCAGGGCATTGAAGTGTTGGATATGGCAGATATGGCAGACAAGCGACTGGAACTGACAATATATATATATATACATATATTACACATGATAAAATATATAATACTAAAGATTGATGGTATAATATGATATGATAGATAGAGAATACTAAAGATTGATCTTCCCATGGCCAGCCACGTTTGTTTACCAAAGAGGGAGCATTTCAGAAGGGATCAGAAGTTCAAGGTGCAGGTCGATTTTCCAGAGACCCAGTCTTTGTCACCAAAAATTATATACAATGAAGTGGCGGTCTAGTCTACCGGACTTGCGATTTCAAGGGATCCACAAATAGGTTTAGAAAAAATATGTCAATCATTTTCAACCCATGTTGACGATGATTTACTGTTCTATGTTTCTGCCAATCGGACATTGAGATTTCCCTTTTTTATCACAGGGTTTATACATTGGAGAGACCGCGCCATCCCAAGGAGCACTCTTTCAACGTTTTCTGGCGTGAAAAAAGATGTTGTTTCAAATTATCCCCATTCCCAGATCATGCATGTATTCTATAGCTACCTACATTACCTCACAGCCCTGCCCAGACGTCTAGAATTGTTTATAGATACAGTAATTACATGTAATTACACAAGCACCTATCAAACCGGCATTGGAGGGAATCATCCAAACTATACTTACATAGTTACAGTCATGAAATCGTACCCTGAACTGTTGCGCACAGGATGTTTTTGAGCTATGTAATCTTATGTGGCCACCTACCAATATCATCCCATCTGGAACTCATCCTGTCTGCTGATCTGTTGGATAGATATATGAATTTATTTAATCGATCAGTTTAATCAAATAGTCAGTAGTCAATAGTTGAATGGAATGAGGCATCTAACCCAACAGGATTAGTCATTTGCCAACAGCACATAGCAACCAGTTAACCCAGTGAACTCAACTGAGCGAAGGCTGCTAAACTCCTGTTAATTGATGATTGGTTCGGGGATGCTCGGGGGCTATACTTATTTTATGCAAATTGTGGGGATCATCATCATCATCATCATCACCATCATCATCACCATGATTAAGCCAACGCAGACCGATAAAACCATCTACCCTTTGGTAATTTAACGTAGCTATGGAAAATCACCATTTTCAATGGGAAAATCCACTATAAATCACCATTTTCAATAGCTATGTCAGCCATTACCAGAGGGTAACCCAATTTTCAACTCCACTGGAAAAGCCATCAGCTCTGGCCCTGCCCTAGCCAGCGCCAGATGTGCGCACGGCGAGCCAAGGGCGAGGCCTTTGAGGCCATGGCCTTTGCGCACGGCGACGACCTTGAGGGTTGAATCAGAAGACCAATTGGGGGTTTCCTAAGTCATGGGGGTACCCCAATAGCTGGATGGTTGAAAAAGGGGAAAATCCTATTGAAATGGATGATAACTAGGGGTGCCCCTATTTTAGGAAACCCCCACATGAACACTTATGTGAGCAACAAGGAATAGTTTATCATTATTCTCCTGGTAAACTTAAGCGAAGCTTCCGATTTGAACCCATTGTAGTTGAATATTGACTTGATCAATCAACAGTTCTTGATCAATCAACAGTTCGGCTAAGAATGTGTTTTGATTGCTAAGAAAATCGGGTGAAGAAGAATATGTTTCTCACAAAGAGCAAGAGTTGAACAATTGAATGGTTGCCAGGTTGCCAAGAAACAAATGGACTTGGTCAACAAATTTAGCTTCTGAGACTATTGTCTTAGATACGCGCGACTTAAGCATCCAAGCCAAAATGAACATGAAGTGACTTGACCAGAAAACACGGGGCAGAATGAATAGGACTGTAGCCAATCATCCAATGTGGTAGGAACTCTGCGGCAAGCAGAGCATACCTCCAGCTGTAAGGTAGAATTCAACCAGCAAAATGTGGCATCAATGTGGGGCAGGGAATCTGACGATTTTTTGGGTGTACATGTGTGGGTAAATCATAGTATACCCCACGTTTATCCATGTTTGAAGAAACAGATGATGCCCGAGATCTCCAGGCAGAATCTATGGTGTCATGCAACCCCCCTGCTGGAAGTTGGATCCAGTCATGTTGGACATGTCAGGCTGGGATATACCTCTCCATTTCAGGATCGTGAAAACTGCTATATATTAAACCCATTTTTTGTAAAGCATGGTTGATGGTTCAACCCTGTGTTAAAATGTTTATAATCCAAAAATCATCTCCATTCAGATCCATATCTATTTGGTATAAGCCACATTTTTGTACTGTAACCCACAGGCAACCCACAGGGGAGACACCTGTTGAGGTGCCCAAGCACCTGTCGCCGGCCGCCTCGGATTTGTGCCAACGACTCCTGGAGGACGAAATCATCCAGTCATGGGTTTTTCTCCTAAGTCATGGGGGTACCCCAATAGCTAGATGGTTTATGTTATGGAAAATCCTAAACTAAAATGGATGATTTGGGGGTACCCTGTTGGAGTCGTATCCAGTTTGATCGTTGATAATCAAACATCGAACAACTCATTAACAGAAGAACTTTAGTATGGCTACCAGTATAACATAGTTAATACAACCAATAGACTAACACCAGGAAGTCTTAGTATAACATCTAGTATAACATAGTATAACTTATATGTCACTATATATAGTATAACATAGTATAACTTAGTATAAAATCTAGTATTTAACCCCGGAAAATTAATCAAAAAGTCACCATTTCGGGGTAACACCATGACCAGGCCGACCCGGCGGAGCGGCTGGGCACCAAAAACTCGGCCATGGAGGTGAAGGAGATGGCGTGGCGTGGTGACCGCGGAAGCCTGATCGATATATCTGGTTTAATGGGGATACTAGGATCATATATGATTGGATATGGATACATATATATATATTATGTGGTTTAATGGGATAAGAATGGAGAACATATATATGTATATATATATATATGATGATATATGTATATATGTATATATATATCATGGTTTGTAATGCGATCATAAGATAATGATAGATAATGATTATAGTGGGATAATCATGGATAATTATATGGATAGATAAGCACCATGATAGATAATGGATAATGATAAATCATGGATAATAATGGATAATATTGGGTTACCCTCTAGTAAGCAAACATGTCTGGAAAGTCATCGGACTACACGGGGGGAGATTTTTGAGGAAGCCAGGTTTGATGCCGAATGGATCGGGATGGTTTTTACCGATATACACCCTCTGGTAATTTAACATAGCTATTGAAAATGGCCATTTATAGTGAGTTTTCCCATTAAAAATGGTGCTTTTCCATAGTTATGTTAGTTTACCAGAGGGTATATATATATATCCCAATATATTCTCATGGAGTGGGATATAGATGGATATAGAAAATAGTGATCATGATCCACTGCAATCTATTTAGCTGAAGCGTAACGACCACGGAAATGGAATCGTATATATAGGGCTTTAACCATGAAATATGCGGAGTCCAACCAAGAAGTAGGCGGTTTAAAGATGGTTTTACCAAGAATTCATGGGAATGCAATGGGCATACACCCAGTACATGGGTCATCTTTGATGGGGGTGTTGGATGACATGTCACGCCAGGAGCATCGGTGGTTCGAACAAGTCGACTTCCACAAGGTCTATCGAAAGGAGCCTGCCTGGGAGCGCGGGCGAGGGTGATATTCATGGGGCCATGGTGGTAATCACCTTAAATTGAGATATAAGGCCTATAACTTTGGTGATCTAAGATGGGCACATAGGTAACCGAGTCTTCAGCGATGCAATCTCTGAGGTCCAGAATATGACTATCGTAGCCTAGGGCTTACCATGATGATGTACCCTCCCGCAATCAACCATGGACATGGAAAATCCCCGCTTTACGGAGTTGTGTTTCCATCGAAACCTCCATCTTTACCGGGGTTTTCCATTGCCAGGTTTGATTACCAGGGGGTATTTCAAGATGTTTTACCTAATAGACCTGCCTCACTTGGCCAAGCAGAAAGCTGCAGGTCTGCAGCTGATTTTTTTGGTTGAGATCCAACTACCTTCCGGCTCTGTCCTTCCCGGCCATGAAACACCCCCTATAAAGTTTATGTCATTTGCGACTGGCTGGTGGTTCAGAATGTATTTGATACGACCAATGACAAGTTTTCATGTTTTTCGGGGTTGTTGAAACCATCAGACCATCCAGACATATCCATAGACATATCCAGACCATCAGGAGCCGCAGAGGATCTTCCCGAATTTTCCACCCATTGATCCTCAGTAGCTTGGTTGAAACGGGGGCCTGGCCGACAACGGACAATGAAATGCGGAGTAATCCCTAAGTTATGCGAGAATTCACATGGTTCAGGTGTATTCCAGTGTAGGTTAGGAGAGTGCATTCCAGTGATGTTGATGGTGATGGCAGCATTACCTGTTCAGCAGCAGCATCTGTGACCTGAACTTACCATGGCCAGTTTGCTGGATGTGTGAGGTCATATGGAGGCTTTTGACAGGGCCACGCCATTGGTCTGGGGAAAGCACCATCTCTGGACACAAACCATACGAAACACATCGAAACAAAGCTCGCCGTAACCTGGCCTTGAGGTTGACTCCTGACCAGAATTTTAGCTCCCAGTCAGCGGCTCAGCGACGCACGGCATTGATTACGCAGATTCTCCAAGCATCTCCAAGCATATATTTGACTGTGGTCGGACATGATCGGACATGTGTGTGTTTCACGCCAACGTATTTTTTAGGGCCTTGATATATCTTCTGCAATTGTGCCAGGGAAGGTTCATGAAAGTTCAGCCAGGTCAGCACCAGGAAACCCAAGAAACTCAGCCACAACGGTGCAACGAGGTTTACGAAGATGGGTCTCCCATCACAGCTTTTGGGGTTCAACTCCACTGCCAGGGACTCAGCCAGTTTTTTCGCTGAGGCTCAAATGCGCGGCGATACTATGGATCTGTAAATGGTGATTAGATGGTTAACAAATTCGTTAAAAAATACACATATGCAGTACATATACATATAAATACAAACATATAAATACATGGTTGTGGTTGGTTTAGGGGCCCTCTTTATGCGGGGGTCGCCGACTTTGGACATTGAGGACATCCAGCTGACACATGCTGACACAGTGTTCCTGCACTTTGCTTGGTTAGCCAAGTGTAGAATGTGTTGACCTGTCTGCCAGAGATTTTTATGGCCATGGATCAGTAGCTATGAATACCATTTTTAGGGGATGAACATCCATAAATCCCAGCTTTTTTGATGTGAACTACAGGGGTACAAGATTTTGACCCATCCCCTAGTAGTTTCATGAGTTCTCGACTGTAGTGTTGGCGCATTTTGGGCATATATCCAGTTGGATGTGGTTCCCAGTCTGCAGGTCACAACCAGTGAGCACCTCATAGCAGGTTTCTCCAAGGTGGAAATGAACTGTGCCAGGGTTGAAAGAAATGGTGAAAAACCACGGTGAAATAACCACAGCAAGTTGGGATATAAGCTTGGTAATTGTGGTGATAAATCCTTAGGAAGTAACTTAGTAAATGCTTTTAAGTGGACCTGCACCGCCAGGTAGTCGACCGATTTGAATAAGATGTTTACCAAGCAGAACGGGGGGTGTTATGCCACAACTTGGGGATCTAAACCAAATAGCTACAGATTTCTAACAAAGATGCGGGTTCATACAATCAAAATGAGCAGATCAACCGAGACATATGAAGATGTCACCTCCTAGAAATATCCATAAATTATCATAAATTGATCATGGATTTTCATGGGTGTCCTCAAGGGATTTGTGGTGAAGGATCACCTCCTCAACAAGCAAAGGCATCAGAGAGGAGATGTTGCAGTGCATGAAGGATTGAAGGGATGACGAATTTGAAACAGAATTTTCTTTGACTCTCAGAATCGAAAATCAAAGGATACTCTGGAAAAGTATGGACAACTCCAAGAATTTGGGGTGTAAAAGAAATGGAAAATCCACCCAATCCACCCAGTAAATCCTCTCTTAAACAAACCCAACCCAGTGATGACGGAATATGGCGAAGACAAGCTGTTTGTTTTCCAGTTGATTGATCATCCATTTAGATCCATTTACATCACATCCATTTGTAATTAGTTCCATAAGTTATATTCAGTTGTACATGTACATATATATATTATATTATATTATATTATATTATACTATATTATACTATATTATACTATATATATATATTATATATAACTGATATTTCTACAACTTATATTTGTATAACTTATATATATAATATATATTATATATAAGTTATATAAATAAGTATATATATATATATTATAATATTATATATAATATTATATATATAATATTTATATAATATATTATTTTTATACATATATATATATAATTTATATATACATAATTTATATATATATATATATTCACTGAACTAGTTTCAGGGGGATGTCCCGACGGTCTCATGTTTGGTCCGTGTCGTGGTAACCGTGGCAGCAGGTGGAAGACTAGTGGCTGTGAAGACAGCGGCAGCCCTCCATCACAGTGCTGCGCCTGTCCATTCTGGATGGTTTTGCTGGTTCAAAATCTTAGTTTTTGATGCTTTTGCTGGTGATGGTGAACCATGATGATTAAGCCATCAAAATAGTATACAAAACCATGGTGCTCCATCAAAACCATTCAAAATCTTAGTTCAACCATGATGATTTCTTGATTGTTTTGATGGCTTAATCTATTGTCGAAAATGGGTGTGTTACCATCTACAGTTTCAATGGTGAGTTTTGCCAATGTGGATGAACTTTGGTCGCCTGGATGTTAACGAAGACAGGTGCAGCGCTTCAAGACCTATTTACTAAAACTTCTCTGGCATGTCTACACGCTGTGTTTGACAGCAACAAGTTGAGTTCAATGATCCGTCTGCTCCAGAAATTATTGACTTCCAGATATTGCTCAGAGCTTAATCTGTTTCACCAATATCAATAATTATCTTAAATCCACATTTAATCACCGAATTGAACTAATCGTTTTGCCCGAAAACATATTCAAAAATAACATATTATAAAGAATATATTCATTTATATATATATATATTCAAAAAAGATGAATATGTTTCGGTATATATATATATACATATATACATATATGTTTATTGATTTATTTGCTTATCTATTTATATGGATGCGAGTCAAACTATAATATCCGGAACAGGCCCTGGGGCCACACGCAATCCATACCCCCGTTCCATACCTTCGTTCCATACCTTTTGAGGGATACGATCCATACCTCCGTTCCACACCTCCGTTCCATACCTTCGTTCCATACCTCTTTAAGGACATGAATTCAGATGTTACTTCGTCAATTTTGGCATTGGAATCATTTGGGACGCGCTGGTTTAGCTACTGCCAACTGGCTCTGAGAATGGATTGCTCGTCCCACCGTTGGGGCGGAGTGTCAGATTTGTGGGTGGACCAACAGTAGCAGCTGGCAGTATGAGAATGGAATGCTTGCCCCACCCTCCTTCCAAAGATGCAGGCCGTGCTTGAAACAGTTGCGCACCACTGTGGCTCTGCCGCTGTTTCATGGTTCTTTTGCTGCTGCTGGCACCAAACTCATTGAAGCTTGCGCCTGAACCAACCGCAGTTGAAGCCCCTTGGCTGTGCTGCGCTCGGGCGAGCAAGTTGAAAATATATTATACATAATATATTGCTGCTGAGTCATCCTTTACGCCACCGCCCAGGTGTCAGGTCTCATGCGTAGAGCCGTTGTGCTTAGATCTATTTTGCCATCCGAGTCGCTCATCCCATTGTTGAATCGGCTGCACCAGGAGGCTCGTGGCTACTGTGCTTGTTTGTGATGTTTGTGTGGCTCATAGCCAATAGCATAGTTGCTGTTGATTCTAATTGCTGCTGTAATGTGCCAAGTGTTCGCAGTATATTTCCCATATTTTCCCGTGCCCTGTGCGTCTAATACGATACAACATATATAAATATATAATGATTAGTATAGATTATTATATATTTATAAGTGTTATTAAGTTTCATTAAGTTTCTTTATATTTTAAACAATTATAAATAATTCATAATTATGTATTTATATGTATAAATTTATTCATATATGTTATGTAATTATAGGATGTAGAAAGGGATATTATGGAGGGTTATTTTTGACTTTGTTGTATGGAAATTATAAAAACATATCCTTGGTTATTATATTATTAGTAGTACCGCATCAGGCTATGGCGGAATTTTTGAAAATAGGAAATTTATAGGAGGGGTTGGTTGTTATAAATTACGGATGGTAGAGTGAATGCTTTGATGGACCGAAAGGTGGTTGAAATTTTGTTTTTTGGAATAATTATAATGGTTGTAGTGGTTACCTTACTGTGGTGTAGTGCAGTTGCAGTTGTAGTTGTAGTGTAGTGTAGCGGAGTTGTAGTTGTAATATAGTGTAATTAGTGTAGTTGTAGTTGTATGTAGTTGTGGTGCGGTGTAATTAGTGTAGTGTAGTATTGTGTATTGTAGTTTGGTATAGTGTAGTTTAGTGTAATGTAAGATAGTGTAATTGTAGTTGTAGTTGTAATTGCAGTGTAATTTAATGTAATTAGTGTAATGGTGGGTTGTATGTTGGAATGTAGTTATATTTGTAATTATAGTATTGTGCGGTATAATTAGAAGGATATTTTTGAACAAATAATCTTGAAAAAGAAGATAAAAAAAGGATATAAGGGTATCCTTAAATGGGGTAATGGATTTATTAGGGATAATTCTAAATGTATATATAATAATTTTGCTAATTTTTTGGGTTTAA